CGTACAGGGAGCATAACATCGTAAAATCGTCGAATTTCCCACCAGCACGCCACAAGCCTCGCCAGTGTCACGCTGGGCTAACCGCAGGTGGGCGCATGAGCCGCCACGCCTGACACTTTTGACTTATCGCTCACACAGCCACGGTGCCGGTAAAATGTAACAAACGATTGCCTTTAAATTCGGGGTCGTCGCAGCATCAGCTCGGCCACGTTGCGAGGCTGGGGTGTGCATCGCTCAGAGACAGGAATGAAACTGCCCCGGAGGTCAGAGGAAAGCCTGCCATGCCTGCGGAATGCCCGGTTTCCTCCTAAGACTCGCAACATTTAAACCACCGCGCGTGCTCTCTCTCTCTCTCTCAGAAGGTGGCTGGCTTTGGGCCAGGGGTCAAAGAACCGAGCGGGCAACACTGAGGGGGGCCTGGGTTGGAATCTGGGGTTTTGAGCTGCTGCCCGTGGCTGAACCGGGTTGCTCAAGTGTACAGTGATGGTGTTGGTCCAGTCGCCAGTGCCGTACACAAGCGAAACTCATCGTGATGACATTCGTTGTTTTTTTTCTCCCCATTTTTATTTGGCCGTGTTCCAGCTCTGAGATTTTAAACTCTATCGGTTTGACTGCCACGTGCGGTTGTAAACCCACCCCTCCTCCTGGGTAATACGATCAAGATTTGCTGATATGTACTCATTTTAAATAAATACATTCCCGTTTAGTCGTGTTCCACATCTCTCCGCACGCAAGTCGGTTTACTTTTTTTTAGATACCCAGAATGCTCCACTACAGCTCTTGACAAATTGTTTTTTTTTGGAGAGGAAATTGAAAGGGCTGAGTTAACCTCCCAACCCACACCGGGTTTCCAACCCGGAACATTCCTCTTGGGAGCCGCGGGCTCTGCAGATAGAAGCCTAGATGAGTGAGGGGCAACCGTGCGTGTGCTTTGAGATGCATCAAGATCAGTGGTGGGCCCACGAACCAGTCGACGTTGTCCCATCAGTGATCTTCCAGATGCTCTGTGAGTCTGCATCGACTTGGTCTCGAGATAGAAATACAATCGCATTCTCACCTTGCCGTCGTTTAATATCATTGTTTGTTGATTCTCTGAAGATAGGGCAGCACTGAATCTAGTGATGCAAATGGAAGTTTCACGAAACATTCATTACTTTATATATATATAAAAAAAAGCTTAATATGTACAGCACGATTTGTACGTGTGAAACGCACGCACGCCCACACACATACACAACCTCCTACACACACCTCGGCGTACTCCCCAGTGGACACACGCCCCCCACACACATACCACACACCCACATCTCACACGTACAAAAAGACAAAGATCCCCCGTATAGCCTCACTGTTGGGGCAAGTGCTGTTAGTGAGCACCTTTTGAAGGTGGTTACAGCACACGAGGGGAGGGGTGGCCAGCGCCACGCCCGGCTGCATTTGTCTCCCCAGTGGCGATGTTTACACACCACACCATGTCCTCACTTCAGGGCAAGTTAACCTCGGCCAGTGAGGCCATAGCTACTGCACAGGTTCAGGTTCAATTCCCACTTGCCACAGCTGCTACTATTTTTATTTTACCAGGTAAGGCCCACTGAGCTATGTAGCTCTTTTTCAGAAGCGACCTGGCTGCACACGACAGCTCAAGGAAGTGGCTTATCACGTGGACATTTATAGCAGCCAAATACTTTGAACGCACGTTGATTCTAAATGTGGAGGGCAAAACCGGAGGACCTGGAGAACAATCCACGCGACCACGGGGAGAACACGCAAACTCCGAATAGACCGGAGTCAGGGTCGGGATCGAACCCACAACCTCCTCCATACCAGGCGAGGCCGTTAACATCTCGCCAACACGGTGCACATTTCTCTCTCCCTTGCTGTTAATGAGTACACTGAACAGTTATTTGTTAGCCGTGGCCGGGAATTGAACTCAAGTGGGCCGATGCTTTTAGCGCAGTGCGCTGTCCGTAGCTACTCTGCCACTCCAGCTATTTTTTTCTTATCTCAATATTTTCACTTGCATTATAAAAGAAAGAAGGGGGAAAAAAACACATCCTTCGCTCCTCTGTTACCACCCAACGTTGTATCCAGCTTTCGAAAATTCCCCCGTGGCGGTACATGCCGCTCGTGGACAAAGGGGGAAATTGCCATCATTACTGAGCTAAGTGCTGAGCCCAGCACCGCGCCTGTCCTGTCAGATGTGCAAATTTCGCTCCCTCGCTGTGAACAAGTGCACTGAAGTGCACTGAACAGTCACATGTCCGTTCCTAACATGCATAATAATAATTATTATATGTAAAAGTTCAGCCTTTTTGTCACTTCTATTCTATTCTTGCGCGTGGCAATATATTCACCAGCTAAATGCCAATGTCGATGTCTGCTGCTCGCCACGACGAGCGGGTTTCAGGAGAGAGAAAGTTTTTTTTTAAGTTTTGCCATTCCTCCTCCTTTGAAGGAGCTCGCAGGCCACAGCGGGTTTACTTTTGCCGTCCATAGTTTGGGCCGCATGACCACAATCGCACGCGCTACTGTGGCTTGTGTCCATAATTGTCCATTCGTGACGGAGACGTGAGCATCGGCCTGTCGGTGTTCTGACGCGGTCGGATGGTTCCACCGCCGGTGTCTTTGGGAAATCTCGAAGTCGTTCGGTGCGGTGACGTTTGGATTCTGGACGCTTCCACATTCTTCCGCTCTCTTCGCCAGCGTTCTTCAATACACTGACGGCCAAACGTCTCCCGAATGCCATCTTGGTTATGGGAGTTTTGCTAAACGTACTTCACCTGGCGTGTCCCTTTGTGCTCGTGACCAGCATCCTGTTTCACAGCAGAGGTCTCACTCCGAGTCAGTCGGGCAGCATTATCTTTTCATCGGCTGCGCACTGCTGTGTGCAAGCCACCAGGAAGATGAATGTAATTACCAGCGAAACGTCACGGTACTTAAATTGTAAACGTTGTGGATTTACTGTCCGAGACACTGGTGGGCTGAACAAGCAATGAATTGGGGCATTTTGTTGATGTGACAAACCTTACCAATTGGCTGTGTCGGGTGGTGCTGCTTTAATGACACATTTATAGTCACTGGACAATCATTATCGAGGGCTTGATTGTAATTTTAAAGTTGTTTTTTTTCACTCGTAAAAATGTACGTAGGTGAGTCCAAGGCTGTCATACTAAGTGCATAGCTTCAAGATAAGAGCTGTGGGTTTTTTGGGTTGCAAAGATGTAAGCGTTTCAGCCTACTGACCATCAAGAAGTTAGATTGTTTACGATATGTTCCCTAAAGATAGGATATCGGTCCAAACATTGAAATATTCGTCTCCTGAGTGATAGGGATAAAAAATACTTTTAATGTTGACTTGAACTGTTATTTATTCAACGTGTTAACCCCTGATGTGCCACCCGATGTTAGTAATGTTTGACAGGGGTTAGACATTGGCCTGTGAATGTTTGAGAAATGGAATTTCTGTGGACAATGTTCAATTTGCACGAGAGGGGTGGTGTGATGTTCCCACGTGGTCGATGGTGACACCACCGGTGCCTTCGGGCAATGTCTAAGCGAGACGGTGCGGTAACGTTTGGGTTCTCGAATGATTTACTTTAATTCTTGGATGTCCACATTCTTCCGCTGTCTTTGCCAGCGTTCTTCCATACACCGATGGTATTGGTCGCGAAAGCCTCCGTGTTAAACTGACGAACCTCGACGAGGAGGATACTTTTTTCTTCAAACCAGAAAATGATGGAGCTGATTGTGATTACCGGCGAAACGTCTCCATCCGATTGTAAATGTTGTGGCTTGGCTCTCCAACACACCGGTGGTGCTGTACTAGTATACTACACTATACACTACACACTAGTGCTGTACTAGTGACGAATTGGCAAGTCCTGTTTACGTGAGAAACCTTACTGTGTCGGATGGTGGTGGGTTTAACGACACGTTAATTTATTTACGCGATCTAACCCAACAACCTATATTATGGATGATGATGATGATGATAATTTACATATTTTTTTGGGATAACCTCGAGATACAGGATAACTCCTCTCCACGGCGATACACTTGGTGATGCATATCGTAGAGTCCTGTCATCTGCAGGGTTATCCGCGAATTTGTGTCACTCATCCGCTAAATCAACCGCGGGTGGGGTGACTGCACACCCTTCCTTTGATGAACTTTGGGAATAATTTGCGGATAACAGGATGGTCAATGGGGGCTCTGGCAGACTTTAACACCCGCGGATAATAGGTGTCGCGGGTGATCGGGCTGTGGATAAGAGGAGTCCTCCAGTATGTGATGATGATGATGATGATGATAATTTTGTGTAAATGCTGCTACTGATATTGATGATAATGAGAGATGATGATGATGATGTTGAAGATTATGATGATGACAGTCTATTTTTATGATGTGGACATAAGAACATGATGACGATGATGATAGGGATTAAAATTGTGATGACGATGAAAACGATGAGAATGACAACAATATTAACGATGACCCTGCCGATCATGATGACGGTGGCGACAATGAAGACGATGATTGACGGTGTATTTTTATACTGATGAAGATGACGACGTTACGACGACGTTACGACGACGATCGTAACACTGGCGATGGCAACGATATTAAACGACGACGACGATCGTAACGACAGTGCCGATAAAGATGACCACCACGACGACAACTCTGCTGACAATGACGACGTTAACGACGACAACAATGCTGACGGCGATGTTGACAACGATGTCAACGACGACGATGTCGACGACGACGATGTCGACGACGACGATGTCGACGACGACGATGTCGACGACGACGATGTCGACGACGACGATGTCGACGACGACGTCGACGACGACGATGTCGACGACGACGTCGACGACGACGCTGACGACGATGCTGACGATGACGTTAACGACAACTACGATGCTGACGACGATGCTGACGACGACGTCAACAACGACGACAAAGCTGACGACGAACGTTGGATCTTCCTCCCGCAGGTGTCCTCTCCGGGGACGCCCGTCGAGCCGAGGCCGCGCCTCTGCCACATGGTGAAGGGCCCCGGCGGCTACGGCTTCAACCTGCACAGCGAGAAGAGCAAACCGGGCCAGTTCATCCGCGCCGTCGACGACGGCTCCCCCGCACAGCTCGCCGGCCTGCTGCCCCAGGACCGCATCGTCGAGGTGCGGCTCGTGAACACCCCCTCCTCCCCGCCTCAACAGTGCGGCGCCAACAAACGAGACGCGTGGCCAGAGCTCGCAAACGGGCTTTGATTCCTTACCCGTACCCGTACGCGGCCGCACCAGGGTCGCAAACAGGTACCCGTACCCTACCCGATACCCGGCCGGGTACGGGTACCCGATTGCGACCTCTGGGATGAAGCCATGTTGCAGGCGTGGGTGGGTTGATTCTAGGAACTTGAATTGTGAGAAGAGACAAGATGTTGGGAAATGAGTGACAAACAGTGACTCACCAGTGACTCACGGCCTACCCGTACCCGGCCGCACCAGGCTCGCAAACGGCTACCCGTACCCGGCTGGGTACGGGTAGCCGGGTATCGGGTAGGGTACGGGTATCGGGTACCCAGTTGAGACCTCTGCGCGTGGCCCTGCGGGAGCGCTCTTCCGCGGTGTTGTCGACGGAGCTGTTGAGGTTTTTCTGTTTGTTTGTTGTTTACCCACTGCCCCGAAATGTCGCTGAGTATGTTTTTGTTTTTGAGGCCACAGTGTTCGCCACCTCGTTTCATTACAGGTGGCTGTCTCGGACAAATCCCGGTCGTTTTGCGATCCACTAGCTCTTGTCGGAGTTGTAGGAGTTTGTTTAAGCTGTGTAATTCGGTGAAGAAAAAAATCAGCAGTTCAAAGCATTATGGGAATTTCAGGCCTTTGCAGAGTTCTGTAAATGCGCCAGGGTGAAGACGAGCCAAGAGCCTCGGATATTTTTTGTTTAAAGTCGCAATTTTATTCCTTTTAAATTTAAGAGTAAAGCACCCTTCTCCACTTGACGTCTGGAGAGCCCAGGATTTTTTTTGTTACCGCATTGATGTTGTGCTCTGGAAAGGGAGAGCGGGAGAGAGAGAGAGCCTGCCAGAAAATGAAATCTTTGCCTCGAGATACGAATCTTTTCTTGAAAAAATTATCTCCCCAGAGATGCCCCGCGATGGGACCTGTGAAAATGAGTCTAGACGAAGCTGAACTCTGAACTCCGGTGAAAATTGGCAGCTCTGGTTAACTCGAAACAGTTAACAAAACACAACGGCACTGCTCGTAGGTGAAGAATTTAGATGGTTATCGGCATTTGCCGTGGCCCAGTGCGTTTCTCCGTCCAGCGGTATATTTGTCTGTGATACATTTCCGTCTAGTCTGTTTCATATGATGTCCGTAAGATCAGTCTGTACTTATGTGTTCGTGTATGTAATATCGGTCTTTTGGTCCATCTGCCTGTGATGTTCGTCTCGTATCAGTCATGTTTGTCTTTGTCTTTGATGTGTGTCAGTCGGTGTGTAATGTGTGCCTGCATAGTCCGTCACCCAAGCCAACGGTGGACATTCCACATTCTTGTTATGGGGCGCAAGGATGTCCACTGGAATACAACTCTTTACTTCCCGCAATATGACCCCAAACAGTTTCATGAAGTCGTTACGCGATGTGTCCCATAAAATATGTATCCTGTGCAATGTTCATTGTCGGAGTGCATTGTCGATGCGCACGCCATCTAAGTGCAATCGCACGGCAAAGACACCGCACAGGAATGAACGCACATGTTTTTTGAGAGTCGCGGAAAGTAGAGGGATGAATTTTAAGGGTGTCCTGGGAAGGGGTAGATGGGGCAGATGGTTTCACAGCAGATAGGGAAGCCAGACAGTGAAGCTGAAATTGAAGACACGTCGTTCAGAGAGAGAGAGAGAATCGGTCGATAGCGGAGGAGGATAGGAAGGGGGCGAGAGCCACGTGGACTTGAACAGCAAAAGGAACCCGACAGGTCAGATGGTCGGGGATGTGGGATTCAGGACCACGAGCGCAGAAGCAGCAGAGGAAGCGACCTCCTACTAAGCACAGGCTGACGGGGGCCTTCGGTAGAAGGTTTTGCTTGCTGTAATGGAGAGCGATTGTGGAGGGGAGTAGAGTGAGATGAGAGGGGAGAGGTAGGAGAGTGCGTGGAGGTGAGTAGAGTGAGATGAGAGGGGAGAGGCAGGAGAGTGCGTGGAGGGGAGTAGAATAATACGTGAGGGGAGAGGTGGGGGAGAGTGCGTGGAGGGGAGTAGAGTGATACGAGAGGAGAGAGGTAGGAGAGAGCGTGGAGGGGAGTAGAGTGAGATGAGCGGGGAGAGGCAGGAGAGTGCGTGGAGGGGAGTAGAATAATACGTGAGGGGAGAGGTGGGGGAGAGTGCGTGGAGGGGAGTAGAGTGATACGAGAAGGGAAGGCAGGAGAGTGCGTGGAGGGGAGTGGAGTGGGATGAGAGGGGAGAGGCAGGAGAGTGCATGGAAAGGAGTAGAGTGAGATGAGAGGGTAGAGGTGGGAGATTGCGAGGAGGGGAGTAGAGTGAGACGAGAGGGGAGAAGTGGGTGGAGGTGAGTCCATGAAAGGATCGTGTTGTTGGCAGGCTAGATATATATTTTTGCAGGTGGTATGGTAGATAGATTGATAGGGCATGAAGATTGGAAAATTGTAAACAGAGATTAAATTTGTTGACAAGTAGACTGGCAGATTGGTAGGTAATTATAGGGTAGGAACGGTTTGTAGGTTGGTAGGATAGGCCAGTTAAGTCGGCAGATTAGTTTGTGTCAGTGCAGGCCGGTGAAGTCGACAGATTAGTTTGTGTCAGTGCTTCTTGGATAAGCGTGAGAGATTGAGGAACACCTTGGCTAGCGTGCCCACGTGCCGCCCCCGTGTGTCCCCCCCCTTCCCCCGCCCTTTGCTCAGTAAATGTTTAGGCGGCTCTAACTGGGCCGCCTTGGCTCTGGTTTCACGGTTAATAAAAATAAAAATTCACCCTTGGCCAACGGTCTCTGTCGACCGCCGTCCGTTTAAAAAAAAAAAAATCCTCCGGTCAGCAGCCGCGTTGCCAAGATCGCCATGTTGCCAGGATCGCCCCGTTACCAGTATCGTGCCGTTACCAGGATCGCCGCGTTTCCAGTATTGCCGCGTTACCAGAATCGCCCCCTTTCCAGGATCGCCCCGTTACCAGGATCGCCCCGTTACCAGTATCGCAGCGTTACCAGGATCGCCCCATTGCCAGGATCGCCGCATTGCCAGGATCGCCGCTGTGGGTTTGGACTGAAACCGGCAACGACGACAACGGCAAAACAACTGAACTGGGAAGGGAGAGAGAGAAGCCACAACGGTTGTTTTTGTTAATTGAGTGCAATTGTGTACAATAGCCATATCAGACATTAGCACGTGTAAATCGGCATAATCATCGGTTCACTGCAGCTCAGAGACTCAGAAGTCGCACGAGGCGTGCGGTGTAGTTAGGAGATGCGTGCTCGGCATTTGAAGTCCTGAACACCAGCATCGGTGATCTCGCCGACCAATGTGTTCATCAGCTTTATATCCGGGCAGCAGAGTGAAGAAGGGAGCTCCTCTCCTGGGCGCAGTGCTCAACGTTGCTAAGCCAGAAAGACCAAAACACTCAAACACGTGCTCATCAATAACACCGTGGCTATAAAATGGAGAAGAAACGTATAATAGGTGACGTGTCGGGAAATGTCTCGGGTTAAGTCCAAGGGACATTGCCCCAAGCGTTGCCTATTATATGTATTCTTTGCCCGTTTACTGCCACAGTGTTATTGACGATTGTGCTTTGGCCCTTTTTTTTATTACGTGTGGTCGTGCACCACTGCCAATGCCGTTTTATGTATCCGGCTTTTTCACGAAAAGATTAATTGAGTAGAAACAGGTGGTGGAAATTCCCGCATTCACATGGCAGGGGACCCACGGTGGCCATCGGGCAACAAAAAAAACAACCTTCTGTTGACTGCTTCTCACAAAGTGGTGCAGCCTCACGCCACCAACACTGGGGGGGGGGACCGATGATGGTGGTGGTGGTGGTGGTGATGGCGATTACGATGGTGGCGGTGGTCTGGTTGTTGCAGAAGATGATGCTAATGCCCACGATGATAACGATGACGGTGTCTGATGATGATGGTGATTTAAACTGACTCTTAAAAGTTGGGCAACCCTTGCGAGGGATCTCCCAATGTAGTTGTGTGATATCCACTTCTGGTGGGCCGCTCTCGATCGCGGTGCATTGCCCCTCCTCCGCGAGATTTCCATCTCGTGGCGTGGCGCGTATGGCACAAAAGGCGTTCGAATCGAGGGGAGTTGCAGGCGAATGCCTAAAATGTGGTGATCGGAGCCTCCGGCATTTCCAGCGAATTCCGAAGTGTCTTCTGCACGTGCGCGTGTGCGGGGAGCCGCTGCGGACCCTTTTTGCTCCCCACGACGTGCCGTGCGCGGCGCTTCTCTCCCGAAAAACAAGCGCCGGCTGTGCCAGCCCCCCGGTGTGGAGGGGGGGGGGGCGACGGGGAGATGGCTCTCGCAAACGGCGTCGCGGCGAGATTCTGTACGCTGTAAAGTGCGCGCGTGGTGCCCGAGCGCTTGCCGACAGACGCACAGGCAGCAGAGTCGACATGCGGACGATGCTCCACGTATCCGTCTCTGCGCGTAAAATAACGATGAAAGTGTTCGTTGTGCAACTCTTGGCCGCACGGCCTTCTGCGAGTGCGTCATTTCATCAGCAACGATTGAATACAAGCAAATTCTGGACGAGTTTCGACACAGTGGTCTCATCAGCAGAGTCAGGCTTGCTTGAATCAATGGTCCTGAATTGTCAGATGTTACAGGTAAGGCCCCCTATCTCTTTGTGACATTGGTCTTAGTTCTTTGTCCCCGAGTAGCGACGTTTCCACACCACACCGGGTACTCCTTTTCGGCTCAGTCGATCTACGGGGGAGGTCCATTACTGGTTCGGATATTCGTCACTGGTGTTGACCGTGAGCGGGAATCGAACTCGGGCCGCCAGGGTCGTGGCGCAGCGTAGCGCTAACCGCTGCTCTGCTGTTGCCCAGACATAGACACTCACAGACACAGAGACACAGAGACACAGATGACACAGAGAGGCACAGATGCACAGAGACACAAAGACACAGACGCATAGAGACAGAGACACGGATGCGGGTTCCATGGCCGCAGCGCTCTCTAGTGCGAGCACAGGTGATGTCCCGGCGTTTAATTTCACCCGCGCGTTTGCGTGAACGCCACCCCCCCACCTTCCGTCGGCACTCATCTCCAGCCGCCGCCACCACATTTAGCACCAAAGTCTGCCCTGCGATTATTTTCATTTTGCCCGCAGCTGCCAAAACTGCCGCTCCGAAAATAGCGCGGGTGGGGTGGTTGGGGGGTGGCCTGCTCGGTCCGACCACCCCATGAGCGACGGAGGCAGCGGAGATGTTCAACTACCTGGACGAAGCGCGCCGAACGATGACCGCGGCGTCTTTCGTTGAATATCGCTGACGTGTAGATTTTCTTGTGAGTTTAAGTTTATTCCGCTTTGTTCTGTCTCGGTCGCGCGTCGTGAGGGGGATGATGTGCGACATGTCCAATTCGGAACTCGCGCGGAGCGATGCTGCGCCGCCGGACGGTGCCAGAGATCTGCCCGCGGAAGAAAATGTCACAGGAACTGGTTCTGAGTCCCCTGCAATGTGAAGAAAATGTCACAAAACTGGTTCTATGACCCCTTCAAAGTAAAGAAGATGTCACAGAACTGGCTCTGAGTGAAGAAGATGTCACAGAACTGGTTATGAGGCCCCTGCAATGTGAAGAAGATGTCACAGAACTGGTTCTGAGGCCCCTTCAAAGCGACCTCGTACCGCGCTCAGTGGCACTGTGCTGTCCCACGTGGTGCCACTTCATAGAGGGATGTTTTGTCAGCATGGCAGTCAAACCGAGATGTTATTATTGTTATTATTTTAATTGCGTTCAGAGCTGGAATTTTGCCAAATTAGGAGGATAAAAACCCCCCAAGTTTTATTGGTCACCGGTTACCGGAAATTCTCCGCGGGTATGTCACCAAATTGGTGGCTCAGGCGCAGATTGGAACCAAGCTTCGCAGCGGCGCTGCCTCCAGTGCCGCAGCCCGTGAGTTATCCGACCTCCTCTTACGATTATAATTTTAAGCCCGAGGAGTCTCACTGCTCAACTTGGCAACGGCACCGGCGCTCTCCAATAGCCTGGCAATCTCTACTGGTTGACAGAGAGATGAAGGGTGCCCGGGTTGGCAATCAAACCCAGGCCTTCCCTGCCGCGTGGCGCGAGTGTTGCCACTGCGCTGCCGCACGGTGACGGTGACGACGACACGGGGGAGGCCGATTGAACCCGTGTGTTGTGTTGTTGTGGTGGTGGTGGTGGTGACGCTGCAGGTGAACGGGGTGAACATCGAGGTGAAGCGGCACAGCGAGGTGGTGTCGCTGATCAAGGCCGGCGGGGACGAGACGCGGCTGCTCGTGGTCGACCCCCCGGCGGACGAGTTCTTCCGCCGCTGTGGCGTGTCCCCCTGCCCCGCTCACATCGCCGGTATGCGCTCACCGCCGCGGCTCACCAATGCAGCTCACCAATGCGGCTCACCAATGCAGCTCACCACCGCAACTCACCACCGCAGCTCACCACCGCAGTGCACCTTCACAGCTCACCACCGCAGCTCACCACCGCAGTGCACCGCCGCGGCTCACCACCGCAGCTCACCAACGCAGCGTACCTCAACTTACCGGTCCACACTCACCGCAGCTGACCGCAACTCACTCGCCACAACTCGCTCACCTCACCTCATCTCACAGGTACACACTCATCACAACTCACCGGCACACTCACCTCACGACACCTCATCAGTACAAATTCACCTCCCTTCAGCAGAGTGTACACACTCACCACAACGCACCAATATGCACTCACCTCACCGCACCTCACCGCCTGGTATTGCCAGACAGTCTCCCAGGCGAGTACTCGCCTGCCTCAAACCTTGCTGCCAAAACTTCCACAGTGTGCACACACGCACATGTGGAGCAGGGCATCACCATGCCAGGCACCACCTCATCAACTCTTTGTCACCTCGTCACCTCCCCACCTCGTCGCCTCACCACCTCACTACGTCGCCATGTCACCAACTCACCACCTCACCTCTTTGTTACCGAGCCACGTCGTAACCTCGCCACCTCGCCGCACACATCTCCGCCGTTGTGCTCCGGCTGCGATGGCTCGTTGTGTGCGAGAGGAGCGTCCTGGGAGTTTCCGATGGGCTCATTAACGCGTTGTTGTTTTCACATTCTCGCATCCTCAAGGCGGTCGTTAGTTTAATTGAGCTCTGAGGTGTGGGGTGAAGTTTCAGTTGGCGTGGGGTTGGGGGGGTGGGGGTGCGGGCGCGTAGCCCAGCGTTAAACAAACCCTGCCAAACGTGACGCGCTCGGAGCACGGAACAGTCGAACGTGCCAGCATTATTAATCATAATAATAATAGCCGCCAATGCAAATTGATTCGTCAAGGCCGGCCGTTGAAAAGCGCTCCACCTCGCTCTCGTCCACCTCTTTAGTTCACAACCCGGAGTCCACCTTCAGCAGCTGTCCCGCGCTCTCTCTCATTCCGTTGTTTTCCCGTTGCGTCGCATCTAGACGGATGCCTCCCGTTGGCCAAGAGCACGCGCCGTACGTGAACCTCTGCTTTGCTCGCATTCTTTCTGAGAATTCTTATTTCTACTATTTTATATGTTACCAGGCGAGGCCCACTGAGCTCCATAGCTCTCATTGAGAAGCGGACCTGGCTGTCACAAACGATGACCCACCGAGAAGTGGCTTATCACGTGGAAATTTCTAGCAGCCAAATGCACTTGAACACGTGTTGATTAAAAATGTGGGGGCGGCGGGGGGGGATCGGAGGACCTGGAGACATATCCACGTGACCACGGGGAGACATGCAAACTAAAAATAGACAGCAGGTGTCAGGTTAGGGATCGAACCCATGACCTCCTGCATACCAGGCCAGGGAGATAACATCTCGCCACGGTGGCGCCCATCTTTGCAGCCTCCTCTCTTAAAGTCCTAACGCTTCCTGCCGTTCATTTCCTTTGGGCGTTATACACAGTAGTAGTAGTAACGACGTTATTAGCAAAATATGAGGTCATTAAGTTTTCTCCCACTCATATGTCCGGCTTGTGTTTCGCCAATCCCAAGTTTCAGATGGAAGCGCCCTCACGTGGCGCTGTGAATAACTTGGTTCAGGACGAAAGAAATGGCAATAAGCGTACAGGGTGTTCTTTAATCCAGCAGTGGATTGACAAAGCCCTGCGAATATTATTATGATTACTACCCACAAATGTAGCTCTGCTGATCATATCTGGATTCGAATTAACGACGTCCATTTCACCGAGATGATGGTATCGGTTGTGTTTAACCCATTTCCGTTCAAGGCGACTGCAAGTTTCAGGGTGGGTCCCGTTCGCCGCCGATTCTCGGAAGGCACAAGGGGTCAGCGTGAATATTATTTAGAGAGGCGTAGCGCCGATGTTTGTAAAGACATTGCGCTCACCGCAGAGAACCGTAGCAACACGACCGCTGATCTATGATAGCTGGCGTGCCAAACTGTGCCACACGCCCTCCCGCATGGCCTTGTGGGAGCCTCGGTACAAAAAAGTCATTTTATCTTCTTGGTTCTTTCGGTTAAGTCACGTAGGAGGGAAGTAATAACATAATAAAAATAAAGCATAATAAAATAATTCTCACGACGTTTCGGCCACAACGCAAGCAGCCGTCCTCAGGTGAAACCAGGTCTGTCGAGGCGACAGCGTCACCTGAAGACGGCTGCTTGCGTTGTGGCCGAAACGTCGTGAGAATTCTTTTATTATGTTTTATTTTTATTATTTTATTACTTCCCTTCTACGTGACTTTACCGAAAGAACCAAGAAGATGAATCCCTGCAGTCACGAAAGCTTTAAATCGAAATTTAAAGTCATTTTAATCTTAGCTTTCCTTCAGGTTCTGTTCCGATGGCCTACACGTACGTCATCGGAACGGGAAAGGGTTCGGGCCGCGTCCCACCAAGAACATCACCAGAGTTCCCCTCCACATCGAGAATCAACATCACGCGTCTCAGAGTATTTAGCTGCATAGAATTTCCACGTGATGATCATCCACTTTCGTTGAGCTATCATCTGTGGCCATTTCGCTTCTGAAATAGAGCTCCTATAGCTCAGTGGGCCTGACCTGATAAAATACAAAAAAATGTATTTCGATTTAAAGCTTTCGTGACTACAGGGATTCATCTTCTTGGTTCTCTCGGTAAAGTCACGTAGAAGGGAAATAATAAAATAAAAAAATAAAGCATAATAAAATAATATACTAATATAATAATTCTCACTATTTTATTATGTTTTATTTTTATTACTTTATTATTTCCCTTCTACGTGACTTTACCGAAAGAACCAAGAATACAAAAAAATTGTTTAGTTTAGGTCGATGCGTGTACATCCCCTTTATAAACGACAAATGAAGGGCAATCCGCAGTTGTGCGCAACTGTGGCCATGCAACCCAAACTATGGAACCACAGAGTTAAACCACTGCAGTCTTGCACGCCTCTTCAATGGAGGAGGAATGGCAAAGCTACACAAATTCTCTCTCTCTCCTGAAGCCGCCTGATGGCTAGCGGACCGACATTGATATTTAGCTCCTGAACATATTTCCGCACGCAAGAGAATGTAATATAACCACCCACAAATGTTCCTCAACATAATTGGTCCGTGTGTTGCGGCGAGCCTCCCAACAATATCGCGTTTGCCATCGACTCCCGAGCGGTTACTTAACGGCGCGAGACACTGCACGCACGCAACGAGCAACTGTTCTGTCCCGTTGCGGTCAGTTGAGCGCAGAAAATAGGATCGCATCAGCTGCCCCATCGCCAAACCCTTGCAAGCCGCTCACGGCCCAGCTCGCCATCACGAGGCCTGCGCAGCGCGTTTCGGCGGCGGCGGCGGGGGTGGTGGCCGCGGTTTTAAGCCTTGCTTATTTATTTATTTGCAGCAAAGTATCGTTCTCGAACAAAGCAGAGCCTTCACGCGCGTAATTATGCTTTTTTCCCCCCCCCCTTTTTGATCCAAAGCCTCTTGAGTGGCGGGGGTGGCTGCGCGTGGTGTTGGGAGGGAGAGGGGGTGACAGGGTGGCACGGGTTGATGCGGGGAAAACAAGCGGCGCTCTGTCGCTCTGTCGCTCTGTCGCTCTGTCGCTCTGTCGCTCTGTCGCTCTGTCGCTCTGTCGCTCTGTCGCTCTGTCGCTCTGTCGCTCTGTCGCTCTCGCTTCGGGGAGAATGCGACCCGCCGGCGCTCCCCCTGCTTGGCGTCCTGCGCATTTGCACCCCCCCCCCCCCCCCGCTGCCCCCCTGCTCGCTCCCCCCCGGCCCCCCCTCCGCCCGGTACCTTTTGCGTTTATTGGCAACACGGGGTCCATCGCGGTTGTGGGAGTGGAGTGGGGGGGGGGGGGGTCGTCCGCTGTGCGTGTTCCTGCGCCGTGTTGCACAACGCCGCCTTGCTGCCTGGCCCAAGCGTCATAAATCGGAGTTACATGAGAAGTTTAATTGTTTATTGACTATTTCTATTTCGTGACTTGCGTACAATTTCTCTCTATGTTGCACTCCTGTCGTTGTTTCGGCTTGTCTGCTGCTGTAACTTGCTGACCCCGTGGCCCTACTGGACATGTGTGGAAAAAAATAGCGTCGCAGATCATCGGATTCCTCCTCCAGTTTAAAATAAAGATTCTGAGCCCGAGTTGTTTGGCACGATGCGTGACGTTTCGCTTGCGCTGGGAGCTTCTCTGGCGAAAACGTCGGACATCGACGGGCCGGACACGCTGAGAACATCGCGGAGAGTGGCATGGCGCGCGGCCGCCACAAACTTAACCATTCTGGCAAATCGCCTGATGATGCTGGATGTAATTACCAGCGAAACGTCATACTACTCAAATTGTAAATGTTGTGGATTTATTCTCCAACACACCGGTGGGCTGTAGTTGTAACGAATTTGCGCGTTGTTTACGTGATAAACCTTACTGGCTGTTTCGAGTGGTGGAGGGTTACGACACAACATTTATACTACTTACGATGTCACCCAATAACCTTTATTATGAACCATATTGGTCGCGAAAGCCTACTACGTGTTAAACCAACTTAACGCTATCGCGTTTCATCGCCGTGCTTCACCTCCTGTTTTTTTTGTGCTTTTTTTTTTATTTCTCAGGTCCCTTGCCACAGCCCCTGCCGAACGGGACGCCGAAGAGCCGGGTACGCAACTCGTTTATCTACGGCGTCGCCGCACTCACACGGCCGCCGAGGCCAAGCGGTTTCTCTGCTCAAATGAGCGTGGGGCGGGGGGGCGGTGGTGGTGGTGGTGGCGGTGGTGGTGTCTGTCTCCGTCGGTGATGGTACCGAGCTAGCGGTGAAAATTCCATGTTCCTTTTGTTCGGGCTCACCCATCCTCGCGACACCAACCGCTACCGACTCCCCACAAAAGGAGTATCTCGCGTGATGGACTGCGAAGAGACGATTGGTCGATTAAACTAAATAATTATTGATATTTCCAAGTAAGGCCCCGCTGAGCTCTTATTCAGAAGTGACCTGGCTATCACAAATGTTAGCTCAACGAAGTGGCTCATCAAGCGGAAATTCGCAGCAGCCAAAGACTCTAAAAGCACGTTGATTCTAAATGTATGGGGGAAAACCTGGAAGACCCAGAGAAAAATCCACACGAATACGGGAAAAGAGACACCCAAACACCAAATATACAGGCGTTAGGGTCGGGATCGAACCCGCGACCTCCTATATACCTGGTGATGTCGTTAACATCTCGCCAACGGGGCCATAATTTCTCACCAAATAGTTTCTGTGTCAGTGGTAAATACTTCCTGAGAACAGTGAAGAATTCTCACTCCCACAAACATTGCTCTATTTTACGATTACAATTCGTATTGTCCAGCTTGCGGTGTGACCAGGATGCCTCAACTTAATAAAACAAAATTGTATGGTTTGAAATCCCGGGAAGTAATTGATTAGGCCCATCGACAGAACTCGCACTCGGGTTTTGTAATTTCCGCTGGCAAGGCCCCAATTAGCTACAAGGATGACGATGGCCTAAGACGTTAGCAGTGGTGGCGGTTACAGGACATGGCAGGGTGGGAACAACCTTTTTGACTCGATGCAATGAGCAACAACGATTTGATTGATAGACAACAGTGGTTAGCCAATGGAAAAAACTGTTTTGCACCATAAGAATGAGGAATTTCCACCACTGGTTAAAAAAAAAAAAAACAGATTGACATAGCCTAGTAGTAATTTGAACAGGGAGGCACTTTGACCCGAATACGTTCATGACTGAAATCCACACTGAAGCACATGTTTGTGTTGCACACACCATGCTTGTATCCGAGTGCTCTCTTAAAGGGAGTTATAGTTTACCACCCCCCACCCTCCGTGTGTGTGTGTGTGTATGGAGCGGTGGTGTAGCGGTTAGCGCTACGCTACGAACCTGGCTATCCGAGTTCAATTCCCGCCTCAAACGAGTACCTGGTGCGGTGTGTAAACATCACCACTAGGAAGACAAAGACGTTACAACTCTGTGTATGAAGACAGTCTTGTGTGGCTAACATCGGGGGGGGTGGTGAATCTTTGTATCTGTGGCATTCAGACCAACGGAAGCCTCTCCGAGAATAACAGCAGCGAGCCTCCGTCTCCCAAGCAGCCCGGCGACTCTCCACCCTCCCCGTACTCCCCTCCGGTGAGCCCCGCTCACACAGCCGCGTGTCCACAGGAGCTCTCTGTGGCTCTCTCGACTGCGAGCAGCTCCCGGTCGATAACACCGCGTTCGCTGCGCTTAAACCCAGCGGCATTTGTTCTTGCTCCTGCCATCGAATGTGTGTCCGATACCTGCACGTGTGTGTGTCCTGTATTCTATATCATCATCGTAAATCATGGGGAATCCACCGTCTGGATGGAGGCATCTCCACCACCATCATCATCAATATTGTCAGCCATGACCAATCCACCGTTGGAGGAAGATATCTCCGTCATCACACGCCCCACCCCACCTCCAGGGCACCCCCCTCCCCCTTGTCCCCCGCCCCCCCTCGCGCTACGAACCCCAACGTAGTCGTGTACTCGCTTCGGTTGTAGCCGCGACGCAAGGTTTTATTATTGCTACTATACCTCCGTTACTATTTTGGTCGTGCCATTAGCGAGCGCTCGTTAAATGAGCCCAGTGGGCCGTGGTCGCATTGGCCGCGGTGCGGCGGCGTTGCGCGTCCCTAACGTGACCGCAATTACCGACTAACGAGGCACGGACACGCGGGGGTGGCCCTCTTCTCGCGCTTCCGATTCTCCTCTTTTCAGCCACGGCCTAATTGATGAGCGTTGCGACGATTACGAAACCCGTGGTCCCGGGCACTCGACCAGACGACGGTGAAAGCCTGATTCGAATCCAGGTTTCGCGCGCTTGTCGGATGCGCTTCTGCGGCCGTCTGGAACGCGCTTTTCCTTCCGATATTAGGAAATCACTGGAGCGAATGCACTGTTAAATCATCTGGATTGACAACTTATTTCTTTAGAACTGCTTTCCGTGTTTAGTTTGTTGTCCTTCCCCCGCACCTCCGATTCACACGTTTGGCTACGTACGGTGTGAAAGAAGTTCAACGGGCATACAGGTTTCAGTTGACTGTGAATTAAAGTAATAATAATTTTTTTGGCGAGACTGCGTTGGCAGTCGTGCTCGAGTGCGACGAACTATCGTCCGCTTTCACACCGCGTTTGAACAAAAAAGGCAACAGGGCTACAATTGTATTATTTGTTTATGTTGTGAGCCATTCCACGGCATCCAGGGTGTGGTGGCAGAGTGGAATTCGCTTGTTGCACCAGAGTACGCCGTGTTTGCATTGGGGCAGCCGAGTGGAGAAGTTCACTCGTCCCACCGGAACGCTCGTGGTTCTATCGGGGCGGTCATCGGAGGATGCATCCACAATGTCCTCTTCCTCCACGCGTCGTCGTTGTTGTTGTTGTTGGGGGCGCTGTCGAGAGCGGCCCACCGCTGTCGTCGGGGCAGAGAGAAACCAACCATTGTGAGAAAAGAGAGATTGTAGCTCATCGGATTCCGCCAGTCTAAATATAGATTCTCATTGTGACCATTGAAGAAGGGCCATTGCCCGAAACGTCGCCCGTTATGGTTTTGCTTCCCTGTAAGGCCTGCACAGCGTTATTGACGAATGTGTCGAGCGGCTTTTTTTTGGTGATAAGTGTTGTGCAAGTTGTTGGTGTGGGCCCAGTGACTTGTGACCGCTCTAACACACCAACCCTTTTGAGGCTACGCGCTACGGGGTTCCGTGTTGATTCTCACGCAAGTCGCGAGTACGTTCGTAATAAAAATGCGTTGGAGGCGTAGCAAGATAAGTACACGTGCTTAAAAAACAAGTCTCCTTATCGTGTCCAAGACAAATGTTGATAGTTGAACGTTCGTATTTTATGCATCTCGAACGCACGTGAATAAGAAACAAAAATGTGTTGTTTTTCAAACGGTCATCGGCCATGATTTATCCACTGCTGGACGAGAGGCTTTCCAAAGCATCACCGTTCTTCACGTTCTCACAATGCAACAATCCGGAGGGCTCCTGCACGTGAACGCATGTCACCGCTCCGTCTCCCTGGTTGACGTCCGCTTTGAGCATAATATCTCCTTTGGCTGCCTATTCACTGTCAGGCCTGACCACTTTCTAATAAGTGGAGGAATTGATCTTGTTTGTGTGTGTGTGTATGTATGTATACATTTTTAACCTTTTTCGCACCGTACGTAGCCAACAAGGAGGTGCGTGGGGGAAGGACAACAAACTAAACACAAAAAGCAGTTCTAAAGAAATTAGTTATTTTAGATTTCAAAGTGCACTGCTCAAGTAGTTTCCTTCAAATCGGACACCCGAAAATGTTTTGTTTTCTTTATGATTCGATTCAGCTTATTCTCACTCTGAATACTAAATACTTAGTTGATGGTCATGTGACAAACTCCTATTGTCATGTGACCATATACTGTATATAACAATCAATCCACGTTTTCCAATGAGAGGCCTGTTCAACCGACCTTCAGAAGTAGTTCTGCAATGTCATCTTCTGCGGGCCGTTCCCTTCGGTGCTGATATTTCTTCTTCATCTCACATCGCTATGCCCGTGGCGCAATTAAACCCAATCGGGAGATAATTTGGCAAACAAACTATAACACATAAAAATCGTGGCTCAATACAAAAGTAAAAAAAAACTATATTTACTGCCAGACTTGCACAGGGGACACAGTGTGTACTCCTGCGCCTCTTGCCAAACAACAAAAGACAAATGCTGTTTGGAAACAACACAATTAATTGATAAGGTGCTTGTTTAAAGAACGATGCAGTGTGGCGTCTAATGTTTAATTAATCTGCGGAACTTTTCCCACGTCCCCCTGCGTGCCTGCCGTTGAAAACGGGCCACACGACCAAGCCCCGGTGGTTGGGCCCGAGCCACGTCACCGTGAGCCATCGTGTCCTCGTTGACACCCCCCCCCCCCTTCCTGTCCCCTGCCCGGCACTGTCCACCTCCCGTCTTAGAATTCGCTAGCCGTGTGTGCGTGTGAGCGCGTGCGTTTGTGTGCGACCGTATTTGTTGCGAGCGGTAGTGCAGTGGTTAGCGCGTCACCATTAGCTTGCTAAACACGGATAATCCAGTAAAATCATGAGCAGCTGAAACCCGGATTTGAACCCATGATCTCATCACCGCCTGCTCCCTGTCTCTGGCAAAAGCCATTACGAGCCCACGAAACCGCCACCCGGCAGCCGTTAGAAACATCTCAACGAGAGCGCGTGTTTTGTCTTGGCTGCATTTCATCCACTGCATCTGCAAGTTGTGTGACTCGCCGCCGTGTTGTTTAAAAAACAAACTTGAAGGCGGTGAAGCGAGGCCACACCTCCCCCCCCACCGCACCTCCGATTAACGTGGTTGGTTACGTACGGTGCGCGAGCAGTTCAACACCGTACGTACATCCGTACACAGCGGTGTAATGGTGATCATGCTTGCTGCGCTTGCAATCTTAGAGGTCGCCGGTGCGATCTCCTGGCGTGGCAGTTGACGCAATGGTGCGAGTTTCTGGTCCACCCAGCAGTATGAATGGGCGCACCGCTGACAGTCGTTTGGTAGTTCGCGTGGTGAGGTAAAGTTGTGGGCACTCGCTCGCTCTTCCAAGATTGTCTTGCCGGCGTGGCTGGGCAGGCCGCAATAACCTCCAGAGGTGACCTCCGGTGGAGGCTCTTCCGCCAGCAGCGGCGTGAGCGAGCAATTTCAGGGCTGCACCGCCACCTCTGGGGCAGAGTAAACGTGGTGGGAATTGCGTCCCGACCAAGGCCTCGTACGCTTTGAAGGGGTCGTGGAAAAATCACAATTTTGGTCCACACCCATTGTGCGTTATTATTCGGTGTAAAATTTAAGAAATGTTCTAGTGCATCTACCTATTGGCTTTCCACATCAATATTACCCAGCAGCAGACTATAACATCACGGCACGGTGGCCCGATGTTATATTCCTTGCCTGGTATGGAGGAGTTCGTGGGTTCGATCCCGACCCTGACGCCTGCTGCTGTATATTTGGAGTTTGCAGTGTCTCGTTCACCTTGGTCGCGTGGATTTTTCTCCGGGTCCCCCGGTTTTTCCCTCCACATTTAGAAACACGCGTTTAGAGTATTTGGCTGCTACAAATTTCCACGTGATAAGCCACTTCGTTGAGCAATCACTTGTGGCCAGGTCGCTTCTGAAAAAGAGCTACATAGCTAGCTCAGTGCGCCTTACCTGGTAAAATAAAAAATCGTTTTTTTAATAGTTTATAGTTCTATGCAAGAAAACACGGGACTGGTTTTGATCGTGTATAGGTCTCATCAGCAGAGTCGGGGCTTGTTAAGCAAATGCTGCTCTGTTGGCAGGTGTTACTGGCAAGAGCTCTCTGTCTCAACTTTGGCGCCATGTCCATTAATACCAAAGGAAAAGCAATATTGCAGACGATGGGTGGATTTGCACCGTGCCTCGTGCCACCGCCGTTCGCTACTGATTAAACGTAAAGTCTGTTAACTCAATCCTTTGCCACGTCGGCACATTCACCCATTAACGAACGTCCAACCTTTGAAGCCGATCAGCTGAACAAAGCACATGTTAAGACTGTTCTCTCTGCTATTAACAATACGAGAGACTTTGGCTCGTTCTTTTTTGCCGTCAGCAGAATGAGGAAATCGGCAAAGAGACACATCACTTATCAACCCACTTGCACGTGCCTAGCGACGTCGGCACTCCGCCGCTCACATTTGGCGCAAGGACTTGACAAAGCTTGGCAGAACGTAGTGGCGGCGGGGGGGGGTTAGGCTACGGTTGGCTACGAACGGTGTGCGAACGAAGCTCAACGTATGCACGCGCGTACATTATAGGCGCCACGCTTTAGTGGAAACCTTTCCGCCGAGCGGGAGTTGGGGAGGCGCTCTGCGCGCGCGTGCCGCCGTGTGCCCCGCCTGCGGTCTAACGCACGGCTCGCCGCTCTTCCCCTTGCAGGCGAGCGACGGGGACGCCAAGCGGGACCCGTTTGCCGAGGTCGGCCTCGACCTGCGCCTCAGCGTGGCGGACGCCAAGGAGAAGTTCGTGCGGAAGCGCGGTGGCCGGCGCGCGCCCCCCATGGACTGGAGCAAGAAGAAGGAGCTGTTCAGCAGCTTCTGAAGTTCGCACGTTGTGCACTCACCGCCCCCTACCCACCTACCCCCCCCCCACCACCCAACCCACCCCCAAAAGCTCACAGCGCGCACGGCCCTTTTCATCCACTGCAGCCGCACAGCCTCAGCCTCCAGAGCGAAACCTCCCAGCAACCCACGGCCCCACAGGCTCCCCCACGGTCTCCCTCGCAGTTCCCGGCCACCGAGCTTCTCAGCCCCCCTCACTCCTCATGTCCCAACCCTCCCAACCGACTTCCCAAATTACAACCTCCTCCCTACCTCCTCCTCCTCCCCCAATATCCCCAAGCTCCTCCTTGCCTCCTAGCCTCCAAACCAAATTCCCAGAAATCATTTACCCTCTTAATATCCCTGCCTTCCAACCTCCCAATCTGCCATTCCCAGCCTCCCAGCCTCCCAGCCGAGCCTTTTGATCTCCCATCTTCCCAGTCTCCCGTTCTCTCAGCCTTTCCCTTTTTGCCCATTGGTGCCTCCCCCCCCCCCCCCCCCCCCCCCCCTCAGTGGCAGCTCGTGGCCTTGGTTTTAAGCAGGTGACAATCTCGGAAGTTTTCCTTTTTTTTCTTTCTTTAGTAATTTCAGAGCCATGCTCTCGACTTCTTGTCACGAAGCAAAGGCCATCCTCATTTGGACTCTCGGCGCTGGCTCGTGCTAACGTTGTCATTCGCTGAACTTCTGTGGCGGACAAAATAACGTTGTCGTATCTTATAAACTCCTCGGGGATCGTCCTGATTCCACCGAGACCACATCTGTCAACGTTTGTTTGTGTCTGTAGGAGTAGATGCTTTTGACAGAACGGACAAGCGGATAAGACACACGGACGCTAAAGGCAGAGATCCCCTATACAGCCGGCAAATAATATTTGGGCCAGTGCTGTGAGCGAGCGTTCGTTGTGGCCAGCACGGCGCACGAGCGGGTGGGTGGCAGCCACCACCATGCGCTCGGCAGACTTTTCTCATCCCGGTGCCGAAGGCTGCAATTTAAGGCTGACGACCTCGTGGGAGGGCCAGAATCTTTGTCTTTGAAACTTCAGATACCCAAACGGACGGATAGATTATTGTTTTACAAACTTGGATTAACGCCTGCATGCCTCGCCTGGAACTGTCACTTCGCGTTGGAGTTTGATTGCCGCTCAAACCAGAACCACAAAGCTGCTGCTGCCACTTCCCCAACAACACCCAAGACGATTCCGGAGTGAACACACGGACATCGTCAAAATCAGTGTATGCGTTTAACCTGCCATAGTCTGCCCCGACTCACCTCCCTCTTGTCCCTCGTCAGAGAAAATACAACATATATGTGTATGATATTAAACACGCATGGTGATTATATAGAGCGGCAAATACACTTTTACCATGATTTATTCTCCCACACACACACACACGCACCTACCGCCCCTAACTCCCCCACGCTACTCCCACAATGCACTTGGCTCACATGGCACGCGGTCAGTTTGCGGTAATTGACTGGACAGTTATGTGGATTGATAGGATATTGTATTTTATTTTATTATTATTTTTAGTTTCCTTCTTTGTTATTGAATAGAGGAACATTTGGATGTAGCTCGCAGATTTGTAAACGGTCCGCCCGGGTTAAAGGTCACGAACTATGACCTACGAAAATCACGGAGTCCGCTCCTTCAGTTCATCTGAATGAATTTTACCACGATTACGGAAGCGTAGATTTTGTTGTCGTCGTCGTCGATTGCGAGTTGATCATTTATTACAACCAATCCGATTTATATTTGCCGACGAGCAAAGGAAATGACGTGTCGGGAATTTGCAAGTTTGCTTCCACGGATTGTTAATTCATCGATTAGCGGTCGCATTTTGTACTAAATTTTCACGATTCCTTGCGACGGTTTCGGCTTTCTAGCGTGTAGCAGTTTTTCCCGTCGGCCTTAAAAACTGGAAGCTCAGTGTTAAAAGAGATTGTTGTTGTTAATAATTTTACTTTAGGTAGGGTGGGGGGGGTGAGCATTTGCGACGAATACACTCGATTTAACCCGTTATCTCGAACTAACACGCTCAACGTCGACAAAATAAGCGTGCTCGAGATTTAGTTTATTTTTCTAGCGCGATGGTGAACCTCCTTTCCCCACGATTTCGCCAGCACGTTCACGTGATGGCAACTTCTCCCCCCACCCCAACTCGCTCGAAGCGGCATTAATATTCAACCCGAATCGTGGCTGACGTTTTGATTGGCAGTATTTCAGTTTCGACCGTTGAGGCTTTGCTTTGTATGACTTTGTGACGCAAAAGTCGAGGTGGGAAGAAAAAAATATTTTGGCATAGAAAAAAAATCCCCACTTTTGACTTTTCACTCTGTGCATGCAATCTTCTAATAAGGGTTCAAATGTTAAAATAAAGAAAAAAAATCTTACAAAAAAACCAATGTTCAATTTCTACTTGAGTTTTCACGAGTTTGAGAAAGCCGACGACTCATCTCTCCGGGACGCTTGTCCATTGCCCTTTATCCAGTGGAGGAAATTCCACATTTCTCTGACAGGGGTGGGGTGGGGGGGGGGTGGTAAGTGTATCCACAGGACAGCCGTGATACTCATATTTATCCTTCTCCGAGCGAGTAATGATAATGATGACGACGATGTGATGAGCCGCCGCTCCCTCACCGCGGACTTGGAACGTGCGACCTTCCCGATTTGCGAGCGAGCGCCCAGGCTGGATAATAACGAATACGTGTCTGGTGCATCGTGCGCAAGCTCCACACTCTCAGGGTGTCGTCGCCTTGATGGTTACAGGTGGCCTTAGCTCCATGGAAAAGGACAATCTCGATTAAACTTGTGAACATATGCTTGTTTATACGGCACGCCTCTCTCTCTCTCCCCTGTGGACTATACTTACTCTAATATATTTTTGTACGATTGTTTGAAAGCCACTCAAAGTGTTTTAATGCGAGGAGACCCATTTTATATGGAGGCACCTTGAGCATTGCCCTGTGCTCGTAGGCGACTTGCGCTAATGATGCACCAATTCATCGATTGGTATTCAGTTCACGATGCATATACGCATCGAATCGCACCTGTAAGAATGTTTTTGTTTCCAATCGGATGTTTTTTTGTAATGAATTCACGTGATCTCCCCCCCCCACCCCCCTCCAGCCACTACACTCGCCAAGCTGGCAAAACAATAATTTAATCTTGAATCGAGTCGCTAATTCTACACACGGACATTCATTACGATCGCCGTGAGGATCAGGTCTCGATTCGTTCCATCACTCAACGGGCAACTAACTCCAGAATCGGAATCGATGTGTATTTATACTGCAGGAGGAATCCCATGAGCTATAAAGCTCTTTTTCACAGATGTCAAGTAGGGGGGCGTCAGAACGTTACCACAACACACAATACAAAAATACGTTAGGAGTGCAACGTTTTGGAAAGGTAAGCAAATCACTCAAAAAAAAATGTTATTTAACCAGCTAAAGCCCACTGAGCTATTAGCTTGTTTTTCAGAAGCGACCTGGCCACAAATGATCGCTCACCGAAGTGGCTTAGCATTACGTGGAAATGTAGAGCAGCAGCCAAACAATCTAAACGCATCTTCTTGGTTCTTTCGGTAAAGTCACGTAGAAGGGAAATAATAAAGTAATAAAATAAAACATAATACAATATTTCCCACAACGTTTCGGCCACAATGCAAGCAGCCGTCCTCAGGTGAAGACCAGGTCTATCGAGGACAGCTGCTCACCTGAGGACGGCTGTTTGCGTTGTGGCCTAAACGTCGTGAGAATTATTTTATGTTTTATTATTTTATTACTTCCCTTCTACGTGACTTTACCGAAAGAATCAAGAAGAGGAATCCCTGTAGTCACGAAAGCTTTAAATCGAAATCTAAACGCATGTTTCTGAACTCCACTCTGGGCTCTCGAGCCAAAAGTTGCACTTCAGTGTTGAGTTCGCAGGTCGTGATCGGGGCAAGCGTGGGTTGTCGTTGTTTAAAGTTGGGCAGCCCGCACGTCGCCGATTGGCCAATGCGGCTTCTTCTGCGACTCCGACGTCAACTCTGCGTACGATAGGTCATCGTCTAACTTGACGGCCACAACAACCGCGGTCGCCTCCCCTTACGAACTGTTGGGGCAAACCTCATCGCGGTGGCGGGAGCGTTCCATTTACATACCCTGGAGAAGAGGTGATGATGGTGATGGTGATGATGTTGAGGCAACATTAGCCAGGATTTTAACGTGACGTTCTCATGCCCGGAGAGTTCTTGGCACTACCGATGGCTCTATTCTAATGAATTGTACGTGGTAATATGTAAACAAGCACACATACACGCACGTACTAAAACAAAATCGTACGTTCATTGGTTGTTATCCGCATAATCAACGCACCACTAATTTTTGCAGTGTTTAAACGTTCGCACGATGCAGTGTCGCATAATTTACCCGGAGTGTTGGAAGGATTGCGAAATATGTCACCTGGAAATGTTTCATTTTAGATGAATGAATTTATGCAGCGCCGTCAATCCGCACACTGCAGTTGGGGGTCAAAGGCCGTGCACGTAATGAATTCGTGGATCACCACCAATGTTGGGCTGAAACCATTACAGTTTAAGCGCCCTTTCACGTGGTAATCATCGGCCGTTGGCAGTGGTCGAGAAGAAATATCCACACGAGTTATTGGTACGGATCGCAAATGCGAATTTGTCCAATCTATTCTATTTTAATAACTGTAATGACAACTTAATGGGTTCCTAATTCAAGGTCAGAGAAATGACTCCATTTATCTGAACATCAGTCACCGCGTCCGAAATGTATTCATTGGGGGAATTAAATCTCGCGGAGGTATAATTACGGTCCGTCCAAATCTGTTTTCCCAAATCGTTTTTAACTCGCGTACAACGGCGCTCACTGCGGCATAACGACAACAAAATCGGAAGCCTCGAGTGGCGTGCGGAGATAATTTTAAGACGAGAAAATGATGCCAAATTATAACTTGTGCATCAGCTACCGAAAACCATTCGGCGTGCTTCGTGAAGGTTCAATAAGCCTCTTCAATGAAAACACGTGCCCATCCGCGACGCGACCACGTGCTGCGCTCGTTTGTGCCGTCTTGCGATTTGGGGGGGGGCACCCCCGATGACATCCGCGACACTGATCGTCGTCAAGGGGTGCTGGCCGTGATGACATCTGACCTTGGCTGTGAGTTTCCTTCAATACTGCGTGACAAGGCATACGTCACAACACCGGTGGTTTGATGGCATTTCTTTTAACGAAAATTGTACCCTACTCCAGGTGGGCCACTTATAACGACTAATCGCAAGACGGACTGAAAATTACTCCTTAAAAAATAAGGCAGGGGACCGCGCTTGTAAATTCAAGGCGTGGCGTGGGACCGGTCAAGCCTCTGGTTTTTGGGTGACCGTCTCCAGTGCTACTAAGGGCAGCCACGAACGTACGTTAGCAAATGAAAGGTGTGCGTGATAACACTGGGGTCACCATGGCCGTAACAAGCAAACACAAATGTGGGTTTCCCGGGCTCGGGGTGTTGGCCACCCTGAGCCAGTGATGGCAAATTCCACATTCCCATGGCGGGGAGCAGCATGTCTACGGCGAAACCGATGTCGTTTGCCCGCAAGGCGGTGCACGGGATGTTAGTAGGCCCGGGTTTAAGGCTCGCCGATGAATGTCCTGAAAGGTTCCACGTCTGTTGACAATCTGAGCGTATGGGACAGGCAATGGAACGGTAACACTCGGTAGTTGGATTGTTGTTGTGGATCTAATTGGTTCGTGCACGTGCAAGCAAGTGGTGCTGTGGGCGCTTGGAGTTGTGAGAGTGTGGTGGTGGGGGGGGGCAGACACGGGTAGGGTGTGCAGAGGAGATGATCATCGAGGAGAATCATGTGGTTGTCCCAATAATAAACGAAGCCCACGCCATGGGAATGTGGAATTTCCGCCACAGGAGGGGGGTGGCGGGGGGGACTTGTTTGGGCACATTAAGGACATTTTCACTGTCTGATTTGAAAAGAGGGAAGTTGAGGTGGTTTAATTTGCAGCAAAGTGGCTCCAAGTGGTGTTCTAAATATTTGCCGTTTGTTGTTAAGCAGAATGTGCACTTTCGCGTCTGATCTTCCGCGCTTCGAGCATTGACTTAGTCCATCGTGATTGTCACCACGGGTCGATAGAATGGGTTCTCACTTTGTGATCGATCAATTGTTGGGGTCGTTCTGTGGTGAGACTGGCCCTCGGTGGTGCCACCCGCAATTAGTTTTGTAATGCGGTGCCCGGGCAACCTTAACAGTTGCTCCCTAACAACGCTTGCCCCGACGATACGATCTGCTTGAAAGAGCGTGCCTGTAGCAGAGGCGGAAACGTAGATCGTGCATGTACAAAGGTTGAGTGTTCTAAAGCAAGCAATCGTCACTTCTGAAATAATGTACTACGTTCTTGCAAGGCCTGAGGATGACATTTTCCCATCCATTTGACCGGTCTTTAATCCCCCCCCACCCTCAATATATTCTCTCATCAATAAATCACTGAATAAATTCATTTCCCGCACCTTCGATGAGCACGGTTGAGGCTACGTACGGTGCGAAAGAAGTTCAAAATAGACACATTACACCCCGCCTCTCCGGCAATTAGGCCCCGTTGTATTATCATCAACCAGCAAAGTTAATTCATCCTTAAGTTATTGGACGTTGGTCAGGATTCGTGGTGAAAAGCACCAACTCCCTCACCGCCACCTGATGATGTTGTTGTTGTTGTTGAGTGGGGGGAAAATACTTTACCTTGTGCTGGAAATCGTTGGGATGAATACCCCTAACAGCCGACTAGTCTTTTAAGAGGTTCTTCAACATGGTATGTGTATATGACAAAGCATCATGATGATGATTATTATTGACTATCCCTTTTGTTTAAAAAAAAACGTAAGAAGAAAAAAAGAATGAACTATATAGCGAAGAGTGTATATTTGTAATTGTAAGAGTAGATGTTTTTTTCTTCTCTTGAGTGGTAATCTTCACTTTAAGTGCTGTTTTTCTTACGTTGCTATCAATTGTATGATTTCCCCCTTAGCGCATGCCTATAGCGTTGCATCCGAGACGCTGCCGTTCATCGTTTTGATCGCCACTGAAAACGGTCGTCTTGTAAAGCTTCCTCGTGCTCCTATTCAATTTATGTACAAATTAAAAAACACACAAAATAAACCACTTATTAAATTTAACAATGCATACAAGATGAGAACGCATATGTGCGGTTTGTGTCTTGCGTGTGTCTGCGAAACGAGTGGCACGTGTTCGACGTTTTCCACCCACGGCCTGCAGCGGTGGCGAATATCCCAAACCGCTGCCGAGGTCGCCACTAGGTCGACTCGGCCCTAAACGAGTACCCGGCTGCAGTATTGAGACATCGACGCTGGGAAGATGAAAGCTGCCGGGTGTGGTGCTGGCCACAGCACCCAATTATTACTCTTTGGTTCTATGTGTGTGTCTCTCTCTGCTTGTGTGTCTGTCTTTGTGTCTCCGTGTCTATGTTATGTCTCTCTCTCAAATTTAGCAATCTTTGGAAGAACGTAATCAACCAGGTGGGGCGTTGACTGTTATGTTAGCCGACTCTCTGTGTTGTATCGCATTGTATTTCTGAGTTTACTAGGTTTGTTTGTCTCATTCATTTGTACCTGATGATGGTTGCTTGTGTTGCAATCGAAACGTCGTATTCTACTATTATTTCATTTCGTTCTACTTGACTTTACCGAAAGAACCAAAGAGTATAAAGCTCTTTTTCACAGGTGTCCAGTCGGAGCGGGTAAGAACGTTACAACAACAAACAATATAAACACAGTACAAGAAAAGTAAACAAATCACCCAAACACAAACAACTATAACACCAAACCATTCCCCATCCTACCAGGCACAGCCCACTGAGGCATTCACTTATCAGAAGCGACTTGGCCACAAATGACAGCTCAACAAAGTGGCCCCATCAGTTGGACATTTCTAGCACCAACATAATCTAAAAAATCTCAGTGCATGGTTCTAAACACGCCAACCTTCATGGGTGCTCGCGAACAACACCTGCCCCATTCGACAGCCTGCCGTCGGCTGTACGGGAGGAGACTTGTGTGTCCGTGTTGTGTCACTCGAGGGGAGTGGTGGTGCAGTGGTTAGCGCACTATGCTACGAACCCAGCGAGCCGAGTTCGATTCCCGCTCACGGCCAACACCGGCGACGATTACCTGAACCGGTCCTGGGCCTCTCCCCGAGGTCGACTCGGCCTCAAATGAGTAGCTGGTGTGGTGTGTAAACATCGCCACTGGGGCGTGATTGCTGGCCACCCACCCACCCCTCCGCGTGCGACTCGCGAACGGCACTTGGCCCCAACAGTCTCTACAGCCTATACGGGGGATCTTTGTCTTTGTTGGGTGGAGCTCATCAGTGGCTGTTGCTGTGATTAAACAAACCGAGTCACCGGATTGCCCTGCGGGAGTTTCTTTGCGCCGAGATGTTTAACCACGTTTCATTTCCACAAAGGGGGTAAATATTTTACCTATCCTTCTGATGACGATGATAATGATCGTGGTTCAGAATCAATCTGCCACCAGGATTTTAACCCCGCGGGCCCCCTGAATGTGAATTGTGCACTTCGACCACGGCGCCGTGACATTAAACCCTTTCGTGGCGCCCTCATTCACAGCCCGGGCGGTTTATTGCCTGCTCCAAGTTGTTGCTTCCTACCAATTGGGGTGTGTGGGGGGGGGGGATCGGTACAATTAGTTCAAACGTCAGAACAAAGAATGTGTGCGTGGTGTCTATGCCGTGACCTTTAAAGTTTAGTTAATTTTTTACCCAACCCCAGGTTTAAAGCGGTCTATCATCTCGTTCCCAACGCTGCTGCTGCTGCCCATCTCTCGTCCTGGCTGTCATCTCCGTCTCTTCCCTACCCGATCAGGGGCCTCTGCTGCCATCACGTGGAACGTTACGGAGGGGGGTGAGCTGTGGACGCGCCTCGTCCAGAAGCAACCCGAGAAAGGGCGCAAGACCCCCAAAGTAGCTCAGTGGAAATTCGTAACACATTTGGAACTTCTTTTTGGTTCTTTCGGTAAAGTCACGTAGAAGGGAAGTAATACAATAATAAAAATAAAACAATAAAATTGTGAGAATTATAGTATTTTATTTTATTATGTTTTATTTTTATTATTTTATTACTTCCCTTCTACGTGACTTTACCGAAAGAACCAAGAAGATGAATCCCTGCAGTCACGAAAGCTTTAAATCGAAACATTTGGAATGGATACAAATAGTGGCTCAGGATATAATCCTCAGCTCCATACATCTCTGCCTCTTGTCAGTGCAGTATCTCGTCTGTCATCTCACTAGGATGTTATGAATTAAAAAGGGGGCTACCCCAAAATGACATCTGTGAAAGAGCTTTATAGTTCATCGGATTCACCAGTATAATACATATTCTGATTCCTGTGCATGGTCCCCAATGGGCGAGCAAACCATAGCTGCGGGACCCCATTACCCATCACCAATATCATCATCATCACGAGCACCGTCGTCACAGCCATGCTCTACCCACTGCTGGATGAAGGCCTCACCAAAGCCATCGCCACGTCTCCCTGTCTTGCGATGCAACAACCCACGTGGCTCCTGCGTACGAGTTGATTGAATCACTCCGTCTCTGCGGTGGATGTGAACATGGAACACACATCAGCGACGAAACAGCAGAGCTGCGAAAACCTAGATTGGTCGGGTTGCTTTAGATACCCGCAATGACTAGCTTGGTGAAGAATGCTGAAACAATCATCATTATGACACAGCATGGGAAGGTCCTTAGTAAATCAGTTGATTAACAAAAAGGTTGTTAATTATTATGTATATTATATGAGGTCAGTGCCAATGCCTACTCAGGCCCACAGAGCGCTGAGCGATGCGCATCTGTCGCCAGTGAGAATTGATTTTCATTGGCTTTTTAGACATGGGTGTGTGCGGGTGGACACAGGCAGGGCTATCCATGAGCAAACTAAGCAAAATCTGAGATCAGTGTTCTTCATTGCAAGGCCCTGCCGGCCACTGGCGGTCCCTGATGGCCTTTAGTGCGGCCCCGGACAATAGACAAATCGTGAAAACACCACCCCACCACCATCATCAGCATCGTCGTGTTGCCGTCAAACTCAACAATGGTTTCAAATGGTGTGGCGGAAACCCACTCACGCTGATGATGTCCTATCGGCGAAAGTACCCCCCCTGCCCCCCCTTTGAAAATCGGTAAAGAACACTCGTCTTACTCTACGTGACTTTACCGAAAGAACCAAAGAGTATGGATCCCTGCAGTCACGAAAGCTTCAAATCAACACGTGTCTTAGATGGCCAAGCAGCTCGATGGCGCCTGGATTTATTATCACGAGAGATTAATTTAAAGCAATAAGCTCAATCAAAATGCAAATAAAGTAAAACACGCGAATTACGGGAACATAAAACACCGAACTCATTTACATCTCTTAGTCACATCTCTACTCTTTGCCTACGTTTCTCCCATCTCAGTAAAAATCACCCTCTTGTCTCTCTCTCTCTCTGTCTCACGAGGGCTACGTAAACTTAGAGACGAACCCGTCAAACACAACTTCTTCGGGTCTCCCAATAGGCGAACACCACGACTCCGTGTCCACGTGTGCGAGCACACAGACCATGTAGCCAGTGAATCAACAAAGGGCTTCACGTACACATCACATAGCCATTGCACTGCATGCCAGGGACGCCTCCAAGAAGTCTCGGGACCCTTTTCATGTCCTGCTCGAGACGATTGCTGCCACGGTGTAATGATTAGCACACCGAGGTCACCGGTTCGATCACAAGGCACAGGCAGTTCAAACATTGGGCAAATTTCAAAACCATGGGTCCTCCCAGCTGTATAACATTGGTTCGTCACATCTATTTAAAAACGAATAACTATTTTATTTTGACCAGGTAAGGCCCACTGCGCAAAATAGATATTTTTCAGAAGCGAACTGGCTATCACAAGCGCAACGCGGTGGTTTATCGTGTGGAAATGCATAGCAGCCAAATACTCTGAAAGCAGTGGTTCTTGACCTCGGTTGCACGCACGGCCCTGTGGGTGCGAGATGCCCTTTCTGAGAACCAAAGGGGATGAGAGGCTGCAGTAAAGGTGAAGAACCACCGCTCTAAACGCACGTGCCGACAGCGATCCAGTCGATCAGCCGGGCTTGTGCAGTGGGGGGAGAGCGGTTAGGTATTGTCGCCTCTAACCAAGGCGTCTGGCCACAGTGAAAAAGTAGACCAAAATACCCTTCATGGGGAAAGCTTACTGAGTGCTCTCTCTCTCGTGAAGGCCCTTCCACTGGCAGTGATGCAAGCAAGCACATTGCATCGCTGCTCTTTTACCGACTTGGGATCTTCGGCTAAACAAATTCCTTAAAGTTTTTTTTTACAGAGGGTGGGAGGTGAAGAAACCAAGGTGACTGGTGGAACACCCCACCCCACACACTCACACACACTCACACACGGGAATAAACCAAGACACTTGACACGGGAGGCGGGTTGTCTTGTTACACGTGGATTTACTATTCTCCAAAGTCGTTTTCACCTCATTCAGCGAGCCAGCGTAGCGGCGGCCGCATCACGTGATGATTGGCCGGCCTTTTGCAGACACATGCAGAAGCGCATACTGTGGTCGCGTCCTCACAATCCTCTGAATATATCTAAGAAACCGTCTGAAAAAATATATATTTAAAATAAATAACGCACATGTAAATAATTCACGCGAACTGCTGCTGTGACACTCGTCCGTCAGGCATTCCCCGACTTGCCGACTCCCATTTGTCTCGGTCTCTTTCACTGCCAAATCATTCTAAGTTAAATCATGAATCGTCGTCTCCATATATCCACGTAAAAAATTAGAAATCAACCTTTTTGGGCCTTCCAGGAGCCCCTTCAAAGAGGGCTTGCCGAAAGGCTCAAGAGGCCGGTGGAATAAACGATGATTTTTTTTGACGTGGAGATGCAGAACGGGGCGCTTGGGCAAGGTTTGACGCCAGATCGTCGCTCATCGGCTCTCATCGAGCGCGAACACGTGGCAACCTCGATGTGTGTGGCCCCTCAAAACGGAGCATCTTGGCCACGTCCAACGCACAGATTCGGGAGCCTTCCGGTTTGCGCGTCGCACTGAGAGCGGGCGCCGAGGAGACAGCAGCGAGGCGCTTTATTTAAAAAATGTACATCATAAATTACGGTAATACTTTTGTGCAAAACCAAAGCTAAATCGCAACTCACTGGCCGCAAAACAAAACAAACCGCAGCAACATTTCTAGAGCGGCGGATGTAAGACTCCCGAGTAGGACTGTTCGATAACCCGCAGTCGTGAATTCAGCGTCCCCCCCCTTCACAGCATTGTGCCGATATGCGACTGCTGTTGACGCACCGGTCTCCTCGTACGTTTATGCGGAAAGAATTGCGTGCTGGGGTCAAAGGACCCGACCCTCACCGGGAAAGTCACACGAGTTAAAATCCCGCTTGGTGGGTCAACGCAGCCCGCCCAGTTGGTAACCTTTTGTGGTCGAAGACGCGACTTTGCAAGCCAACAGCGAACATTCTATTTTAAAGCATCCCCCCCCTCCTCCTCCGCCCCATTCAATGGCATTTCCGCCACGAGCTCAGAGGCTACAATAAGATGAGTGGCAACCAGTGATCATTTGACCGTGGAGAAGATCTGATATTTGACTTGCCGCTCCAGGCAATGCTCTGATATCTGGGCGATATCAAGAGGCAATGCCCTGGCATTGGGGTAAATCGTTGAACCGTGTATCAATAGGTGGTAATGAGGCAACAGCTATGATACGCAGCAGCAGTGTGGCTTTACCACAACAAGGCGATTACCTTAACGACGCAACACGACTGCCCAGACACCCGGCTTACTTCGACACATAAACAGGGAGGGGAGGGGGCGCAAGTGCCAGTCCTACTGTGTTCATCGTAAGATCAAAACAGCGCAAATATATCAACCGCAAACCCATAACTACATCTGCTAGTCTCTTTACGGCACGGGTAAAGCCCAGTAAATCCAAAGGGCAGCTGTAAAGGACTTTATGGTGTGTCGAAAGCATTTGGCAGAAACTCAACTTGGATTTTAAAAAATAACTGGGCCCCCAGCCAGAGGAATATTATCGAGAACAAGGCAGGGCCCTAAAACCTTACATGGGACAGGAGCCCGTGGGTGAAGAGTTGGCCTGCCTGTGGATTAATTAGGACAGGGTGGACAGATTTCGTGGGCGTTTAAGAACAAACTCTTGGGCTCACGGATGCAGGCACATGGCAGGTGTGGAGGGAATCAGGAGTCCATGCCAGAGAGCATGAGATCCTTGCCATGGGACTTGGCATCGTAGATAATCCATACACGGGTCGATTTAGGTTTTACGCAACCTAAGGGCTTTAAGTTTGACGCAAGCTGGAATTTTTACGAGCAAATTATTACTCTTACGTTTTGTTCTTACCTGGTGTTGGATTAACACGGCGTTCTTCAACTGGCCAGATCTGACCTGCAAAGACTCTTGGGAGTTGCCTGAGGAGTCGTAGCTCGTTGAGAGATATAAAGAGATACGGTAGACTGAGATGAAAGAGCGATAAAGATGAGATAGAGATGAGACATCTGTAGACAGGAGATAGAGACGGGTGAGAAACAAGAGTTGTGAAACGCGTGGAGATGAGGCACAGCTTCGTAGTCGCATGTCACACACGCTGTGACATGACATCACGTGACATCACGTGACGTCATAATGCCTGCGCAGGTGACATGTGACGTGCCGTGGCCCGCCAGAAAATGTTCATTATTTCATTAATGGGGGTCTCAGGAACAGTTATAAGTGTGAATGTAGAGGTGTTGCTGGGTTGTTATCTTATTTTAATTCATATAGTGCCTTGATTGATGTACATTTAACTTCTGTGCCAATCGGAGGTGCGGGGGAAGGACAACTAAACACAAAAAGCTTCATAATATGAACAAAGAATTCACTATTTGTACAGCAGAACAGTGCGATGAGATGAGTTGATGACGATGGTAGTACATGAATACGAGTATGTGTGAAATACACGATGACGAGTGACAATGAGTGGTTGATGACGAGTGAGTGCGTTGAACGGGTAGTGAAGTTGATGATGGGGAAGGCAGAGGGGAAGAGGAGTTTGGGGTAAACGAATGGAAGAATGAAAAGTGGACAGTGAGGCTGATTGTTTGACGTGCAAGGGGCAGCTTGTCCCAGTGTAAGGGGGCCAGAAGCGAGAAAGAATGTTGTGCGTGCGCGCGCGCGTGCGTGTGCGTGTGCATGCACAGCGGCGAGAACATTCGGGGCAGGAGGGCAGTTATGCACTTCAAGTAATATTGGCAAATGCAAGCGTTTTCCCTCCGGGTCAATCCGTCACCGCCCCCCCCCCCCCCGCCATCTCGGCGAAGCCAACACGCAGGGTGCGCCACTCGGCGCCACTGACAACGCTTGCACTCACACAAGGGGCGCTCGTCAAAATCAAAACGAAAAACCAAAATCACCGCCGCCACCCGTATTAGACGTACAGAGCTCACTTTCACCGCACGCAACTGAACTTTGAGACACTGCCAAAAAGTCAGCAAAGAGCGAGGCGGTGACCCTGCAGGCGCATTTCGCTATAACATGCCCTCCGAGCCGACCACAGCTATTGCCCCGCAAGCTTTAACCGAAGCCCTCTGGGAAGACGGGCGAGTTACTGTGCGCCGGTTCAGCGTCGTTCGCACTTATACGTATTCATCATCTCGTTGCTTAAAATCGTTTAATGCTATCCGTGTCCCCCTACCCCCCCCCCCCCCCCCCACTTTTCACACGAGTTCATGGTTGTCAGGGCGGAGAGGACCGCACGCGTGGGGGGTAACGACGGGACGGCGAGCTGGCGATTGGCAGCTGGGAGACGTCGTCTCGAATATCTTTCGACGTCGTCCATCTCGCTCACATGACATCGTCACCGCTGCAAAGGGCGGAACGAAGGAGAGTCATCGTCGTCAGCATCATCAACGTAACAATCATAATCATTATCACCAGCATTAGCATTATCCCCACTACCAACACTATTGTTATTAGCTTCATCATCAACTTTATCGTTCTCATATCATCACCACCACAATAATCACATTTGTCATCACCATCAACTTTTTATCCTCATCGTCACAATACGTTTAAATTTCATCATTACCATCGCCAACCTCATCTTCAACATCATCATCAACACGATAATTCTCATTATCAGTCATTATTATCACCATCAGTATCACAACTGGAATGTCACTGGGGACAACTAAAAAGAGATGCGACGCCTCGTGCATAGTGTCTCGTCCCACGGTCTCACCGCACGGCCTGAAACTGGAGATGGCCAAGCCACTCCTGAAGGCCCTCGCCGCCCTCCGTCCCGGGCTGGTCCTTCGTCCCTGGAACCGGCACGGGTTCCGCGTGGGCGGCGAAGGCGTCGCTGAACCGGAAGTGCCGCAGCAACGCGCCAGGGGGATCTCCGTCACCACCGCCGCCACTCGGTGCGGATACAAACACGTATCCGATGTCTTTCTCTTTGTCCCACAATGCCGCTGGGTGCCACAGACGTTCCGGAAAATCACGTCTCTTAATGTGGGATCATGAAAAACGCCGTTATCATGCTGCATCTCGACGTGGAAGTGCACGTCAGGTGAAACGTCAGCCGTCGCGCGGTCAGAATGGCTTCTGCAATCGTAATGCAGAATTTTCCACGCTGCTGCGCATGTACACGTTGGACGTCTTTCGCACCGCACGTAGCCAACCGTGATAATCGGTGGTGCTGTGGCGGACACCTGCGTTGTTATTTATTGTGAAGAGTTTACATCCACGGTTTTGCCCATCCCCATCTAGCCCTCCGGTCTCTCTACGATCTGTGAAGAATAGCCACATTGATAATTGTTTTTTTACCCTTCTATCTGGCAACAAAACTGACACCTTTTTTAAAAGGAGTCATGTTTGCATAGACCACAATACCTGCAACCATAATGCAAACAAAAAACATAACTCTGATAATATATGCACTGTCCTTGAAGTTTATTGGTCCACACCCGAGACAGCTTTCCTTAGAGCCTAGTCTCACATGGGTTGGACCAGATGACGCCAAAAGACTGGCAAATGAGGTTCCAATGGAATAGCCACATTGTCCAAAAAATGGCCCATTATACACTTTTTCATTTTAAGGCAGTGTTATTGACGAATGAGCAGAGTTCTTTTTTTTTACTATTATCTTGCGTCAGCCTCAAGGGCGCATTAAACTTTATTATTGCGTTCAAACTTTTTTCTCTCCAAAATATCAATATCATTATTACTTAGGACTTTGCCTGAAAGTGTCACCTTAGTACCACGTGAAAACTATCACCCCTGCAACATGTGTCCTACAGACGAACTCTTTCATTGCTTTATCGTGGCCATAATCGTCGTTGGTAATTGTTGATTAATTCACAAGACAGTAAACCTCTGGCTTGGTACAGCACATTTCAGCACTGTAAATGATTCTGCGGTAAAGGTGAACACCAGAATTAAAATCCATTTTCACTTCCAGATGCAAAACAAATGTATGCACTTACATTTTAAGCATGCGCTATATAGAGACGCAAAAAAATGTAATGATTATAACCGCGGTAGTTAAACTACATTCCTCTCTGCCCACCAACCTTTGAACTGGGTGTGCATGTCTATTGTGGACACGCCACGGTGGCGAGATGTTAACTATCTTGCCTGGTATACATGAGGTTGTGGGTTCGATCCCGACCCTGGCGCCTGCTGTATATTTGGAGTTTGCATGTTCTCTCCGTGGTCGCGTGGATTTTCCCCTCCACATTTAGAAACCTGCATTTCGAGTATTCGGCTGCAAAAATGTCCTCAGCCACTTTTGTTGAGCTATCATTTGTGGCCACATCGCTCCTGAAAAAGAGCAAAATAGCTCAGTGGGTATTACCTGGTAAGTAAATAGTTTAACAGTTTACCAAACTGCACATGCGTGAACTGTGCACTGTCAAGGTGCACGCCACAAATGAGAACCACAATACCTTCCTGATCTCGTCAAGGAGCATAAACCATCACGCGAACCTCGGTCATCCTCGCAGTAGCAGCTTTTGGCTAACCATAAAACGAAGACCGTCACTGCATTCAGATGCGCTTCTGCAGCCGTTGGAACGCTTTTCCTTCTGATATTAGGAAGCCACTGGAGCTATGCACTTTTAAATATCGATTGAAAACTCTTTTCTTTAAGACTGCTTTTGGTGTTTAGTTTGTTGTCCTTTCCCCACATCTCCAATTAGCACAGCTCCCTACGTGTGAAAGAAGTTCAACATACATTCATACATACAAGGTTATGCGATGATATAGAAGACAGGAAGAGCCAGACTGTGGGAGGAAAGTGAACTGTTGCAGACAATGGATATCCATTGTAATTTATACTGGTAGGAACCTCCTGGTTACACCAGCCCACAGGGGATTATTGTGTCCATCCGCCGTGCAGGGAGTGGGTAGGGGGGAGGGAGGGGCTGGGTGGGGAGGGGAGGGTGGGGAGGGGCTGGGTGGAGAGGGTGGGGCTGGGTGGGGAGGGGCTGGGTGGAGAGGGTGGGGCTGGGTGGGGAGGGGAGGGTGGGGAGGGGCTGGGTGGGGAGGGTGGGGAGGGGCTGGGTGGGGAGGGTGGGGAGGGGCTGGATGGGGAGGGTGGGGCTGGGTGGGGGGTGGGAGGGGTGGGGCTGGGTGTGGAGGGGCTGGTCACCCCGTGGTGCCCTTATAAAACTCAACGTTTAACCTACTCACGCCGGCTTGTGCCCGCCCTCACAGTCGGGCATATTTGCGGAATACACCACGCCGCCGTTGAACCTGGCCACTGACCGAGCAACCCAACGTTCCTACCAGCTCCCTCCGCAGGAATGTGTTATGCGTACATTAACCCCCTACACCCACCCTGGCCTTCACACCTGATTAGCTCACAAGTAACAACATCACATGTATCACTCTATTTAAGACCGAAGCAGGAGGATTTCTCCACAACTCTGGCTGTCGCCTGATGATGCTAGTTGTAATTACGGGCGAAGCGTCGTACTCGAATTGTAAATGACGTGGGTTTACTCTTCAACACACCGGTATGCTGTACTAGTAACGAATTGCCATGTTTTGTTTTCCTTGACAAACCTTACTAATTGCCTGTGTCAGGTGGTGGTGGGTTTAACAACACGTTTATATTTACGCGATCTAACAACAAAAACCTCCGATGGATAATATTGGTCGTGAAAGCTTCTTTATCTTCCCCCCAGTCTAACGTCTACGGAACAAGAGTCGCCAAAAACACAGCGTAGATTGAAGCAATAACGCGAGGACTTTTTTTATGAGACCATGTTGACATTTAATAATGAATTAATTCACGAACGTGGGGGCGGGGGGGGGCGTGGTGCGTAGGTTGCAGCGCTGCCAGATTAAAGCACGTCAACCGTGTTGTCGTAGTGATTATAGTGCAAGCACTACAGGTTACATAACGGCTGCCACAAGTGATCCAGTGTAGGCTTCAGGAGTGAAAAAAAACAAGCCAGCGTAAGTCGCAGCAAAGTGCACCTTCCCATTTTCCCATTTTGCTCGGTGGCTACGAGGTTGTTTGAACACTTTGCAGTGTTGCAGCGGAGGCCTGGTGCAACGTCAGAATAATAATTATGATTACTATTTACACACCCTGTTCAAGCCACTGCTGGATGAAGGCCTCCCCCGTGTCATGTCCACCAAGGTGGTTGTTTGACCATACTTCACCACAATGCTTAGCGCGGGTATATGAAGGTGGGGGGGGGGGGGGTAGGGAACAATTGGTTCAGACACCACTGATGTTATTAGCGGCCGGGAATTGATAAAACTCAGGTTGCCGGGTTCATAGTGCAGTGCGCTAATCACTACACCACCGCTCTACCACCGAACGATGTATGAGGGTGAAAATTGTGTAACATGAGATTTAAATAATACTAACTTCACAAACGGGTTAAAATAACTTGGATGGCTAGAGGACATATTGCGTTCGGCTGTTGTCAGCATTGTTCCGAGATTGGAGGCTGCAGTTGGGAAATGTGAGGACACATTGAACACGCGGTGTTCGAGTTCCGCCCTCTGGTGGCTTGAATCTGATTATTTCCACTTGCTCATTTCGTCTGCCGGTGTTGCCGACGCTTCAACTCGTAACGATGCGCCGATTCGTCAATCGCAATCGGTTCCTCCACTCGTGACACGTGCATTGAAATCATACGCATGAACATCAGTTATTTACAATTCATGTAATTATATACCTAAATACATTCAGGACCTACCGCCAAATCACTCGGACCGGCATAGTCAGGAGTCGGCCAACTGCAACTCCGGAGCAGCACACGGCTGTTCAAGGACTGCTGCCTCGTATTCAGCACGTAGTCCATTGCGGCTCTTGAAATGTAGCGTTTTTTTACCAAATTGTTATTTTGGTTGCCGAGACCAGAGCACGGTAAAGTATCGTCAAGTAACCCCCGTGACCCGCACGGCATGGGAAAGTCGTCACCCGAAAGAGGACTGACCAGAGGGCTGTATGTGTGCGCTCAGACCAACAGACCGAACGAATCCGTATAAACGAGACGGTAAAAATTCGATAAAAATGGAATCGATTTTTTTATCGCATTGTGACGATTCATTGAATCACTGCGGAGGGTGGGAGAGGAGGGATGGGGGTTAGGGTACGTACTGGCGTGCGCTTCCACGGGCCCCGACGAGTTGGCGAGGGGAATGAGCAGGTGAGCTTTCTCCTCGTGCAGCAGGTAGAGCTGGTGGACAGCGCTCTGTGCGGCCGGGCAAAGAACAAAAAAAGAGACGTTGAATCAATGAATTTGCGATGGATAATATGTCGGTTAAATCTAATCGATTGTTCCTGTGCTTTTTATGCTTGCGTATGCGTTTGTGCGTGCACATGTGTATGTGTGCGCGTCCACGTGTCGTGGGGAGCGGTAGTGTAGCGGTGAGCGCTCTGTGCTACGAACCCGGCGACCCGAGTTCGTTTCCCGCTCACGGCCAACACCAGTGATGATTATCTGAACCGGTCCTGGTCGACTCAGCCTCAAATGAGGACCTGGTGCAGTGTGTAAACATCACCACTGGGGAGGGAAAGGCGGTCGGGCATGGTGCTGGCCACCCACCCCCTCGTGTTCTGTTCTGGCCTTCATAGGTGCTTGCTAACAGCACTTGCCCCTACAGTCTGTTAAGGCTATACGGGGGATCTTTGTCTTTGCACGTGTCTGTGCGTGCACGTGTGTTTGTGCGTGCATCTGTGCGTGCGTGCGAGTGCTCGCCGCGGAGTCAGCCGGCGCCCCGCGGCCCCAGAAGGCAAAGGCATCGCGTCCACCGCCGACCACGGAGAGCACGGACACCCCCGCAGCGCGGCTTCCGCTTGCTCCCAACGCAGCCGTCCACAGCGCAGAGCCCGACAAACCATCCAGCACGGACACCTAGGACACGAGACACGCGGGACGGATGCACGCATGGGCGCACGCACGCAAGCGTGCCGTCGGGCACACGCGAGGACGGACTCGTGAGACGGACGCACGGGCAGCAATAAGACGAACGGTCGGGTACATCAATAGGAGCGCGGACAGGCGTACGAACCGATGCGCAAACAGCGCTGAAGAACGCACAACGGTAAGACCGCACCTGCGATTAGCACGGTTGGCTATGTACAATGCGAAAGACGTTCAATATAATACAGAAAATGTAAAACACACAACCCATAAACTACGTGCATCTATTTTGCTTCCTGGGTTCACTGCTCACCTGCATGAGGCCTTGGCCCAACTCGTGTTCCACCAGGATATCCGGGATGCTGTCGTTGTTGAAGAATCCGTACACTGGCAGACTAAAGATAAATTGCATTTACAAAAACAACCCATTCATGTTTTCTTCGTCAAAGAATAACTGACGATAAGACTACACCGCCGATTAACACGGTTGATCTACGTACGGTGCAAAAGAAGTTCAACATGTGTACATAAATCTACGTACTATATTTAATATAACACGTAGGCTTTCGCGACCAATATTATTCATAATCAACGACCGGTGGGCTAAAGCAGTGAACTATTTGTCTTTTGTCAACGTGACACTTTTTTTTTTACTGATTGGCCGTGTCGGGTGGTGAAGGGTTACGACACATTTATAAATAACGCGATCTAAACCCAAAAACGTTGATTATGAATGCATTTAATATCCTTAAAGAAAAAGCACGACAGCCCATTTATGTCCTATGATTATGTTCGAATAACCTTAATTGTGCAAGACATCCCATTAAACCAAGGCCTGCTAAGGAGATCACTGGTCAAACTTGGCCTGGAGGGTGTTCACTCCTCATCTGACGTCCTGACTTTCTGGAATTCTCTCTGCTGCCATATCACCCACAAAATCTGCTCAAGAAGCGTCCTTTTCTCCTCTGGTTGCGATTAAACGTTCATCTCAACGGTCATCTACGTTGTGATAATTAATACTGTACTAACCCCGGTGAATTTCGAAATCGCACTTGCCATCTTTGAGCGTCGCCACGAACTCACCCCTGAAAACTACTTTGTGTGTTTAGTTTGTTGTCCTCCCCCCGCACCTCCGATTAGCGCATTTGGCTATGAACGTTTGCAAAAGAAGTTCAACATACATACATCTACTTCACTTTACTCCCCTCCACGCATGTTACGCTCCACGGCAACACATTCTACCAGTCAACCTTCGCTTCCCACGATCAAATAATTACACCCACTGTTTCTGTAAGCGTCTAGAGATGTGGTTGCATTTAGACGGGACTACAAATCCACATTGTATGAATGGCAATGAAATGTTTTTTTAGAAAGCGTCCTATGCGTCGGGACATCTCCATACCTGTGAAACCCCTTATCAGTGCCCGACCTTATTACAGACCAATTCAGACCTTATTGGTCACCCCGTGCCCCTTATACATCTCAACGATCATTCCACAAAGTCTCACAAGGGAGAAATACAAACAGACAATTCTTTTGCCCGAATTGAAATGGCTGTACACTGTATGGACCTGAAAGCCCAATTTTCCTGTACAGGAATGCGGGTAAACCGTATGGGTTGACAGCTATGCATCTCAGAGCGTTCTACAACGCACCTCAGCTCAACACATTTGAAAGGGGGCACTCCCAGTCTAGCAGCCGTCAGCCTGTGGGCACAAGGTGGCTTGGCACCTGGCCTGCAAACTGGCATTAGTCTTCCAGTAGGGGGGCGACAATTGCAATGTATTATCCTAGTTGAGTAGTCTGCGGGTAATTTGGAATTCTAGTTATGGTCTGAGCAGACGAGGGGCGGGGAGGGGGGGGGAAGGGGGCGGTGTGCGAGAGTGGCACGCCGGTGTGGGCACCTGAGCAGCCGAGACACGGAGACCTCCCACAGCGTCTCCAGGCCGGAGGCGTTGAGCAGCCGGACGTTCCCAGCCGCGGCGACGAGCAGGGCCGGGTGTCCGCGCCACGCCCCCACCGGGATTGGCACCACGGCCTCTATCGGACCCAAACTGGAACTGGTCCGATCCATACACACGGGACGGCAAGCAACAACAGGATTTACACCCGTGTGGGTGAGCCGATAAATGAACCCTCGATCACTGGCAGGCAATACTATGGTTACTGTTCCACAAACTTCAGTCGTTGATTTATCCACCCAACCTTGTTGACGACTCTTTACCAGACTGATTGTTTCGTCTCATCCATGCCGTGCTCAGCCACCACGCTGCACTTCACAACAACTCTCACTCCACCACTCGGCCGGCCTGCTTAACAATTTGAGCCTGAGCCCAGCGACAGCGGGAAGAAGAAGAAAGAAGAAAAGAATGAATGAGGGTACCGATGCACCAGCACGATGCCGGTCAGGTTGTCGGCCATGCCAGCCCACGCGGCGGCGTGCGTTCGCAGGGTGGGGGCCACGGTGGAGCGCGAGGCCGTGCTGACGGCGCGCAGGTAAATGTCCGCCAGGGACAGCGCCTGCACCTCCCAACCTGGCATCGCGGCACGTTCGGGGGGCATGAAGATAAATCGTCACGGTCGTGTCGTCATCGCCACTAATCATGCTCACCGATCTTTGTTTTTGTTCCGATTGCTTTGCTTCGTTACTTTGTTTTTGTAATTTTGGCACCAAGGTGGTGAGATGTTAACTACCTTGCTTAGTATACAGGAGGTCATGGGTTTGACCCTGACGCCTGTATATTTGGCGTTGCGTGTTCTCCCCATAGCTCGCCGTGGTCGCATGGATTTTCCTCCGGGTCCTCCGGTTTTTCCCTCTGCATTTAGAATCAACACGCATTTAAAGAATTTGGCTACTATAAATGTCCGCATGATAAGCCACTTTCGTTGAGCTATCAGGTCGCTCAGAGGGCCTTACGTGGTAAAATACAAAAATCGTTTATAGTTTATTAGTTTTAACTTGGTGACCCAGCTCACTCTTGCAAATTATTTCTCACTGGGTAAACCAAATAAACATGATCAATATCATCTTCAGCAGTAGCAATACTGTCATGGTCAGTAGCAATAGCAGCACCATCAACAACCGCAGTGCTAAGAGCATTATCAATGGCGACATTAAAAGCAATCCGAATCACCACCAAGATTGTTGTCAGCAGCAGCAATATGATTAACGTCACCTCAAGAATGACCATAATCAACATCATGAGTAGTAGAGGCATCATCACCTGAATTATAAATATATGTATATATATATAATTCACAGCCCTTCCAACCAATGTTGAATGAAGGCCTCGCCACATCGCATCAATCAAGGGGATCGTTTGACCATACTTCACCACGCTGGTCATTGCGTGTTGGTAAAGAAGGAGCGTGTGACCAGGTTCCGTTTCAGATATCACTCACCACCAATTTTAGCCGTGGCCAGGAATCAAACTCAGGTTGCCTGGTTCGTCATGCATCGCGCGAACCACTGAGCCGCCACTGGGATACCAACTCTGCACAGTTGGGTAGTACCGTACCGGACGCGATGAGCACGAACGCGTCTCCATGCGCCGTGAAGAGTAGCCGCAGGGGGAGTGGCTTCTCTCCCGGGGCGATGGCGTTATGTGACACGGCCGAACCAATCGGCTTCCCCGACGAGCCGGACAGGAGCAGGAAGGAACCATTCTGGTGGCAAGAGATTTGCAGTACCCTGTCAACCCATTGCTGGATGATGGCCTTCCCCATGCCATGTTGGTTAAAGAGGTTTTTTAACAATACTTTACCACCCTGGTCCGTGTGGGTTGTTGAAGGCGGGTAATATTGATATGCATGTCAGGAAGCAGAGTAAATAGATAATGTTGTCCTGCTCCCTGCTGTCCACCATACATTATATATATAAATTAACGAGATAAAATAAATATTACAAGCACAATTTTACTTCGTGTAAGCACAACAATGAACTTCAACAGAGGAATAGTTATTTCTCTGAAGGACGATTAAGAAACTGATGAATAGTGAAACAACACTTAAAGGATCACACAGATGGGTTATGAACCCACTTGCTGTACTACCTCCTGGCCACTTCTCAAGCCACTTCGAAAACACAGCAGGTTAGGAGTATCAAAGCTCACAACGATCTGTGTGTGATCCACCAACCTTCGCCACTGGATTACAGAAGTGACTCATTTTTTAATTCTCTCTCGTCACGTCCATTACAAGGTCGCACGCAAACGCCGGATATCCTAGCAGCGGCGTTTGGCTGGCCATCGGACAAAGACGGTCACTGCATCGCGCCTTTTCAGATGCACTTCTGCAGCCGTCTGGAATGCTCTTCCTTCTGATATTAGGAAGCCACTGGAGCTATGCACTTTTACATAATCTAGATTGAAAACTCATTTCTTTAGAACTGCTTTTAGTGTTTTGTTTGTCGTCCTTTCCCCCGCACCTCCGATTGGCACGGTTGGCTACGTATGCTGCGAACAAATTTCAACATGCATACAACACACACAAGACATCACCACCACTAAGGGAAGGCTTTTCTCGAGAGGTGCATTTCCGGAGTGTCATACCGTTGAGGTCACAGAGGGCGCGACCCAGAAGAGGAGATCAGGGGTCGTGTCCCCATCGAGGTCACCGACCTCGAGGGGAGGGGTCAGCACCCGGGGGGCTTCGTCCTCCGCCCCCGTCCATGCCTCCCAGATGTCCTTTCCTGCGAATGCAGCACAGGGCCCAGCATTAGAGCTGGGGACTCATCAATTGAAAGAGGCAGCACAGTTCCAGTTAAGACACCGGAACCAGGCTCCGAGGGTGACTTCTGTAAACTAACTGCGGCCTTTTAACTGGGCCGATACCAGAAGCAGTCGCTCATTGTGACCTCCCGGCCACGTTGTTAAACACATACAATGGAAATGTAAAAAATAAAAACAAATCAATTTTAGTAAACAAAAATATTGTTTAACCTAAACCATTCATGGATATGACAAACTCTTCTCGACTCCTACTCCCTAGCCCTGGAGACTTTGGACTCCGATCGTGTTTTTTTTTATTGTTCACAATTGTAACTTTCTGACCCCGCCACCCACTGGACATCGGTGAAAAGGAGCTTCATGGCTCATCGGATTTCTCCAAGTTAAATAGAAAGTTCAGATTCTGATTTAGGACAGCGAGTGATGGGAGAGAGCGAGACAAAGGGGGTGGGAGGAACACAGTGGGATTGGAGGAGTCATGTGACACGTGGCACCTTGGGGCTCACCAAGTGATGGAAAGGCGGCCCAGGAGGGAGGTGCGAACGTTCCTCAAACTGTTTCTGGGCCGGTTCCCAGCGTCCATGGAAACGGGTCATTAATTTGGCTCCCCGAGTCCTGAGTTAATTTGCCCATTGGGGATTGTTCAAACGTTATACCCATTTCACAACGTACGCTATGGAATAAAGATTGTGGACACATGTCACCTGATGAAGCTAGTTGTAATTACTGGCAAAACGTCGTACTCAACATTGTAAATGTTGTGTGCTGTACTAGTAACGAATTGGCATGTTCTGTTTATGTGACAACCCTTACTAGTTGGCTGTGTCGGGTGGTGGCGGATTTAACGACACATTTATATATTTACGCGATCTAACCCAAAAAACCTATTATGGGTTGTACATGTGTGCTTTTTAGAAGCAATGATACGTTGGTAAAACTCTATTTTTCGAGAATAAGCACTTTGAAATGCTGTTGTTGGAGGGAGGGGGGGTGGGTGAAGGATTGAAGAAGCAGATACTGTGTGTGTACTTTTTAAGCTCGTGACAAAGTGGAACAATACAATAATTTGGCCGCGAGTCTTCAGTTCTAAGAATCCTTCATGGCTTGGCTTAATCGGATGACGGTGATCGCTGGCTCACATTATCATCCTTGCAAATTTATATTCTTGCATGCAAAAATAATTTAAAATAAACAAGTTATTTACCTAAGAATCACCCATTCGGGTCTCATGGCACTTTTTTAAGGAGGGTCCTATGTTGGGTTAATGCCGCTCACTTTGGTTTAGTTTATTTTGTTTCAGCAGGTGAGAAGTCAAGAGACCATCAAGATGAGTCTCATTTGCAAGAGCGAGCTTGGCCACCGATATGACAACAGCAATAGCGTAAAAACATGACGCAAATAGAAACCGGCGTGGAAACAACTTCCTCACAAAGTAATCGAAAACAGTACACAAACACGAATCATTATAGATATCCCATTATGAAAGTTAACTCGGGAAAAATAACTTAAACAACAACATTAATGGTAAAAACAAGCTGTGTAAACGTCAAAAACGGACTTAAGATTATTGCATGACCATCAGGACAAAGATTGTGGTTTTAACTTTCCGTGTTTACATCGCCAACCCGTACAGATAGGCCCGAGTAAGATGCGAGCATCACGTGCCGTTATCCGCGACGATGCTGCGCAGCGGGCCGATTTCTCCCGACAGCAGGCAGCGCCCTTTCTCCGCCTTGGAGCCGCCGTGCTTCCCGTCACAGCGCAAGGAGCTGGGCCTCCCGCGCAGCGGGCGGCGCCACAGCCGGGCCCCGTCCACGCCCGACAGCGCCATCACCTCCATGCACCCGGAGGCAAACCCTGCGGGCCCCACAGTGGGAAAAAATTCCGCGCTCAGGGATGCTGCCGTGGTGCAATGGTGAGCACAGGTGAATTGACGGTGCAAGTTCCTTAAACTCTAGTTTTTTTTATTTTACCAGGAAAGGCCCACTGAGCTATATAGCTCTTTTTCAGAAGTGACCTGGCTATCACAAATGATAGCTGAACGAAAGTGGCTTATCAACATGTGGAAATTTATTAGAGCCAAATACTCTAAACGCATGTTCATTCTAAATGTGGAGGTAAAAACCGGAGGACCCGGAGAAAAATCCACGCGACCACGGGGAGAACATGCAAACTCAAAATAAACAGGCATCAGGGTCGGGATCGAACCCATGACCTCCTGCATACCAGGCGAGGGAGTTAACATCTCGCCACAGTGGCGCCCACTATGTCCTCCCAGCAGTACAAATGGATAATTGCAAGGCTGCACATTTATCTATTTTAATTTCTCACCAAACGTTTTCTCGGTTTCTGGCAGATTGAGTAGGCACATGACTCGCAGCAATACCGAGAGATATACTGGATGCGGTATGCCGGATGCGGAAATATTTTTCAGGTTGCTGACCCAAGCAGACCCGGTTGGTATATGAACCCCCTGAATTTTTAAAGCAAAGCACAAACCCAAAAGAAACAAACGGCTCTTATCTTGTGCTACACACTTAGTCACAGTCACGTGCTCTGTCATAGCACTGGAGCTGGAGTCAGGTAAAAAGTTGCACCTAAGTTGCATACATTGCATATTAAATGAGTCCACGACACACCATTGGATGCGTGTGTAAGAAGCTAAAAAAAAAAACGTTTTAATCAATAATTCATTAAAACGCATTGGGTGATGGCGCAGTGATAATGGCACGTGCTTGACAGTCTCTTCCTCATTAAGGGGGCGTCCAATCCCACGTGTCCACGCGAGTGAGTTTGTGTAGCTATGAGACGCCAGACTTTTTTTTTTTAGTGAGGTTGGGTCTTGGCATGCCGTGAGCCCGGGTCCTCACCGGCTTTGGCGCAGCGTGCTGCAGCGTCACCGCTGTCGTTGAGGGTGCGGTACAGGACGATCACGTCCGGGGTGGGGTCCTTGTTGACGCGCAGCATGGCTACCGCGATGGTGGACTCCGCTGCACGGGTGAGACAGAGACACCACCGTGAACACGGTCGCTGGCGACCCTTGGCCGAGCCCGTTAGCTCGCCGCATGTGAGAACGCGAGTGCCATCGAGCGTAGACGAAAGTTGGGAGTCATCGAGAGAAGGGAATTAATGCATCACACGCCATCAAATTGATTAATTGTCCGGATTTGGGGGAGTCACAATTCAATTTAAAAAATTAATGATTTTTGGCATTGTTTTCACCGCCTCGTTCATTCCATTAGCCTAAAAGCTTTGCATAAAAAGCACAATTAATGTGCTTCGATGTTCATCGATCACATGATTGTATGCAGGTATCGTGCGCAAGGGCATCCATTTTAATCGTCACAGTTCACCTGAACACGAGATGGCAGTGCACCGTCTCACATGCCCTGCTATAGAAGCGATTGTCACATTGCAATAAAATAGAAAACGTTATAGTCTTCAGGGCTGTAAATTTCATATGTAAAGGACAAAAAAGACTAATGATTTTTTTCGTGCCATCACTGGCGACCAGACCAAGAGACTTTCAACTTCAGCACCTTGTTGAACGATGGTGTGACTTAAACCCAAACCTGTACCCGCGCCCAGAATCTCATCAGTATCAGCTCCGAGTCTCCGACATCACCACTGTGATCCTCCCAAGCCACCCGGCCACCTCCACATCTTAAATTGCAACTTCCATTTCACCGGCGACAGCTCCTCCAAACGTCAAAACAAAACCCGTCACCGTCGATACCTACCGTGTGCCGGCAGCGCGACCTCCCAGGCAGCGCGTGGGGGCATCACAACGGGGCACGGGATGAAGAAGGCGAAGACGAGCACGGACAGGACGCAGACGAAGAGCGCCACGATGAAGGCGGCCGTGCGCATGCGGCCACTCCGGCTCTCGTTCCGCGCCGGGCCCTTTCCGTCGGCGGTGCCGCGTGCGCTCTCCGCGTCGCCCCTTGTCGCGCCGCTCTGCTGCTGGCGCGGGTTCTGCAAATCGCCTGCGCAAGGCGGTGACGCGTTGAGCGGGGGTGATGACCGTGAAGAAAGAGGGGATGGAAGTGGCCGGCGCTTCTGGATGTAACAAGCTAACGGTTGCTGTGATGTTGAATAGAACACCATGTAATATAGCCGTTTGAAGCTTAATAAAGACAAATTGAACAAAAGGACTTTATATGATCAGTTGTAAGAACCGCTGTCACACTGTTATGTAAGTTTAATGTATGGGTGTGATGTTGCTGTGCTCGTTTCAGACTGGAACCTAGAACTGCTTTTTGTGTTTAGTTTGTTGCCCTTCCCCCGATTAGCACGGTTGGCTTACAGTAAGAAATAAGTTCAACATACATACACGGAACACACAGCCGAGGTGCATAGCTACAATATAAGAGCTGTTTGCATTATTGTAGTTTTGTAATCTCCAACTAAAATTTCAACAATTCTCATTGTCCATCCCCTTTATTCTTGAGTTTTTGTTGGTGCTCATGCACCCCTGCTCATGCAGTCCTTCAACTTTTTAAATTATATTTTCATCGTGGTGCCCAATAAATTAGAGCCCCCTAATCAAACCACTGCAGGATAAAGGCTTCCCCCCATGCCGTGTCAATCACGGGGATTATTTGACCATACCTCACAACGTAGTTCAGTGGTGGTTTGTGAAGGGGGCATCGACAACCGGTGCAGATATCACTCGCCACCGATGTTAGCCGTGGCCAAGAAACTAACTTCGGTCGCCGGTTTCATAGCGCGATGCACTCACAACCACACCACCCCCCACCCCCCGCCACCCCACGAAGCATGAGCGCCGGGGTCCCTGAACGCGGTCTCACCAGGGCCATTGGCATCCGCCTCGTCGCTGCGGAGGGGGCGCAGTTCCACGTTGCTTGCGTTGTCGAGGGCCGGTCCCTTGGCGGCGGCGGCATCATTATCCTTGGCACTGGCCGCCTGAGTTTGCAGCGGCTGCTGGTTGTTGTTGAAGGTGTCCATGGCTCGCGGAACGGCGCTGCCGTTGGTCTTGCTGTTGCCGCGCGGCTGCTTGGCGGCGCCCTCGATCCTCTCGTCTTGGTCCTCCTCCTCCTCGTCTTCCTCCTCGTCCCCGCTCTCCTGGCTGTCCACCTGGGCCAGAGGGTCGTACTCACCGGAACCGCGTCCCTGCTTACCTAAGACGGACAAACGCCACAACTTGGACGGATACGGCAGCGGTGACGGGAGAGCGCAGGTTTGAATCAGTGCACGGATCAAAGTGTGGTCAGATGAACTCCCCACGGACCGACGTGGGCTGGGAAAGCCTTTACCAGATCAAACCATGAGCGCATTTGGTATTCGCAAAGTTTCTATAGCAGTACAAGGCTATCATGAAGGCGTTGTGTTTTCACAGACGAGTATAGTCTGCAGTAGTTTTCATCCAGCAGGAAAATTGACTAAGGGCTATAAATGATCACTTTAATTATTTTAGCGTTAACATACGAGCATTGATCGGCAATGCCCATAATAAAGGGACTGTGTAGACTATAGAGATACAAAGGTATCCGTAGTAAAGTTTATGTTATCAAATTGCAAACTTGCAGAATCAACTTGTAATAATCATTCCAATGTACACAATGTTCATAAAGCGTGAAACAAAAAAGCAATGTGATTTTAAAAGTATGTGTAAAGATTAAGTTGTGAATAACAATAAAGCATAATTATACCAGCGCAGCACGATAACCGTTACGTAAAAATTTACGTAAAGTTTTGAACTTTGAGCATTAGAAAAGTTGAGGGAATAGACAAAAAAATTCATAAATCATGATTTCAATCAAAGTAAAAAAAAAGCGTTGACGTATAATTTCAATGTGCAACTTAAACGATCTGAACCAACAATTGGACGTGAAAACGTAATGTAAAACAAAGTGAGTCGGTGAGTTGACTCGATGAATAGTTAGCGAGGCGACAGTCCGTGCTTTCACCCTCAAGGAAACGGAGCGTTAAATCGAAAAAAAATCGTCTGATGATTGACCGATTTGGAACACGATGCCGTTGATGCGTAACAAATTAACAGGTCGCGTGCAGCGAGGGGTTGAAAGTTGAAAAGGACGTCGTCAGGTCCCCTTCCGTGTAACCAACACCAGCCGGCAAGCTGCTTACTAACGCAGCGGGCAAGGTTTGCACTAAATCCTTCAAAAGAGGACACATGATTCGTCTATACTGTACTGCGTTTGCAGTGCTGCACAAACAACAGCAACAACAAAAAACTCAACACGCTCGTCAATAACACCGTGGCCTGAAAAAAGGAAGTACATATAATAGACGACGTTTTGGGCGATAGCCCTTCTCTTTCACACCATATGGAAACGTCAGAGAGGTACAGGGCTGTACAATGTACCTCTCTACATCCTGTAAAGAAGCGCCATTGCCCACAAACGTCAACTTTTATGTAATTATTATCTTTAAGTCGGTGTTTTTGACGACGTGTTGAGCAAAGAGGACATCGCTGTGCTACGGTGCCGAAATGAATAATCTTCCCGATCTGAATGTATGCCTGCCCCCGGGGGCACAGTAAGCTGCAGGCTTGGCTCACGATTGAAACGGCTGCGAGTTCAAATTCCACTCGGGGGTAGATTTAGCTGTCGGCAAACACCGGATTGTGGTCCCAAGTTGGTGAAGGTGATTCTACATTGTAGGGATTATTATTTGGATGTGTTTGGGCGATTTCTTTACCTTTCTTGTACTTTGCACAACTGTCATGATTTAGTACTGTTTGTTGTTGTAATGTTTCTTATCTGCCCCTACTGGACATCTGTAAAAAAAACAGCTTCATAGTTCATCGTATTCCTCCTCCAGTCTCAATAAGTATACTGATTCTGATAAGTCAACTGCGACTGAATTTACACCAAGCCAGTCATTATTTTTACGAGATCTGGAAAAACGATGGCCTCAAATGACCTTAGCCTGGATATGAACCCTCTCAATCATCAATATTTATATTTATTATTTACCCAGGAAAGCCTCATTGAGGCTTTTCAAGCAAGAAGCAGGAGTCGGCTCCCGAGTTTTGAAAGCAAAGCTGTGAACCGTTAGGGGTTAGTCTAAATTTACACAGCTGCGTAAGAAATGCCAGCGGGTGTGAAAGTGGCAAGCACCATTAGACTGGGTTAAGGACACAACCCAAAAGGCAGATAGCAGCTCTTAAATCAGAAATACGTCCATAGGCTGTGTGTTTTTATGCCGTCCAACATTAATTTGAAGCTTCATTCACGAAAAATAAAGACTTTAAAGATCAGGTCAGGTGTTACTTTTTTGTGCACCAGTGACAGAGCACTACGCTATCGTGTCTCACCCTAATTTTATTTTCGCCTATTTCGCTCTGCATTAAGGGTAAGGTTCGTCACTTGTATGCCCAGCATCATACTTGCTCCGGCAGTACATATACTAATGTCAAGGACTTAGTCAAATAAATCACAGTGAAGTTTAATGCGATTGCTTTATTGCGTAGAAGTCAGCGAGCGACCAGGCTGAGAACATCAACTCAATTTACGTGAAATCCCAATTCAATCACAGGCGGCTGCCTGGATACCCATACCAGGATTTCAGTAGTGTTGGCTCAGCACTCCTGAGCTCTGCACGACTGGGGCCACCTCACCTGACCGTGATAATTAGGTCTCTTTTCTCATGAATGAGGCATCAAATGGTAGTAAGCAACACGATCCACACACAGCCTACGTGGACATCGATACCAGAGCAGTTCGTTGGGCTGCGTCCTCCGTTAGAGTGAAGCAGCGATAGAACAGAGATGAGGTTTATTATTTCCCGGACAGCGTATTTAGTCTGCAGGATGGAGAAGCTGGTGGTTACATACTGACAGCCGATGTTCTCAACCTGCAAAAGCACACATTGGACAACAAAGGTTAAACTGCAATGGGATAATTCTACCAAGTAGGCCACGTCAAAAAGTAAAGGTGTGGTGGACCCTGGCTAAACACATTTACTGGCCAGACCTGGGGCCAGAGGTGACAGTACCACATTACTGTGGTGGGAATCATTTAGCCAGGGACTGAAAAATAGATGACACTACGCCAAGAGCATGTTAGGTCATGTGCAGTTATGTCAATGTGACGCTTAATCTCCAGTGGCCTATCTGCCTATATCTCTGGCACCGTGCCAATTCTAATTTCAGAGTCTGCATAGTGTTAGCTGCCTATGACAACAAACACTGTGTTAAAAAAACTGTTTTTTTGCTCCTGGGCAGTAAGTGTTATTTTCTAATTGTTTATGCCTCAAAAGTACAGAAAATGGCTATTATTCCCCACAAACTTTGCTTTTGTGACCAGGACAGTGATATTTTGAAATGTACCTATTTTCAATGAGAAAACGTGGTGTGCATTTGTGTCATTCCTTCACATAAAGTCCTGGTCACAAGAGAAAAGTTTGTGGGGAATAATATCCATTTTATATACTTTTGAGGCATAAGCAATTAGGAAATAACACTTACTATCCAGGAACAAAAATCGTGTTACATAGTGAAATAAAACCGAATGTGCACAATCTCATCAGATCTTGGAAGCTAAGCAGGATTTATCTTGGGTAGTGCTTAGACGGGCGACCACCATGCACAAACATGTGGTTATAAGCTGCTTCGGGACTATGAATTGTTGTACTCTACTTCTATAACCCCACATAAACGCCCCTTGCGTTCAAACACCCGCACCCGCCTCAATACGGCATGAGGGGGCCCTCATCCGGCAGTAAATTGACAAAAGTAGCCGTACATATGCATTGCTAGGTATTGCAAATAAAAAATGGAATGGCAGCCAAGGTGGGAGGGACATGCATGCGATGCCTTGAAAGATTCAACAAAGAGTGGCACAGCGGCATGAAGTTGAGTGAAGTTATAAGATCGCAAGGGCGAATACCCATGATTAAGCTGGCAACACACGACGCATTTGTGTTTTTTTAATCGTATACGTTGTAATGGGTTCACATGAACCGCCACATTCATCGCAATGCTAAAATAACCCATTCTTAAACCGCAACAAATGTTACACCCTAAATGTTGAAGATGCATGAAGGAATCCTGTCAATCGCAGCAACCCACAACCTTTGGGATTGAGGTCCTTCATCCAGCAGTGGACTGAACAAAGTTTACAGTGCAAAAACATCACATCGTTTCATATAGTCCAAGTACAGGATAAACGTAAAAAACGGAATACAAGATCGATGTTAATGTATGTATGTTGAACTTCTTTCGCACCATACGCAGCCAACCATGCTAATCGCAGGTGCCGTAGGACAACTAAACACAAAAAGCAATTCTAAAGAAATTAGTTTTAAATTTAGATTTAAAATGACATAGCTCAAGTGGCTTCCTAATATCGGAAGGAAGAGCGTTCCAGACAGCCGCAGAAGCAGATCCGAAAGAGCGCGATGCGGTGACCGTCTTTGTTCGACAGCTGAGCCAAAAACCGCTGCTGCGAGGAAGAGCGGAGTTCGCAAGATGATGGTTTATGCTCCTTGACGATATCAGCAAGGTATTGTAATGATGGTTGTAGTGCACCTTAGTCCAGTGTTTCTCAACCCAAGTCCTTGCAACTATGATACGGCGTTCTGTGATTATGTGCAAGGTGCAGAGGTTTAACTTGCATATGAACAGAAAAAGAATGGGAATAACAGGGGCGATTCGCTAGGAGTAGCGATTTCAAGGGTCATTGCCCGAAACGTTGCAAATTATATATTTTTCCTTTAAAAGGCTACAGTGTTATTGGCGAATTTGTTGAGTTTTTTGTTGTTGTTGCCCAAGCTCGGGTGTTTGTATCAAGGCCGTAATTATAATATCTATCGGAGGGAACACATACCCTCCAATATTCAAATACGCTCAAAATGTCCCCCCCAATATATTGCTATAAAATAGATTTCTGTTGATACGATTGTGGTTATGGTTGTACTTTATTAATCCCTAATCTCTGCCATTACAAACAATGAAACAAGAAAAGGTACAAAAGAAAAAACAGAGCAATAAATACAATACACCAGTAGACATTATTGTAAAAAATAAATAAAAATAAATCCTATGTGTTAGCGAATTGTTTAATATTTTAGGCAGGAAATGGCAGGAAATGAGTTTTCAAATTTAGATTTTTTTTCTGGGGGGGGGGACCCCAAACCCCTGGAAGATTTGGTCCCCCCCAATGTTGACTCCATGTCTACAGCCTTGCTTCAAATCTCATCGGATTCCTCCAGGACAAATGAAGATTCTGATTCTAATTCTGTTGGTGGATCGCCCAGAAAACAAGGGCTGGGAATGCCAAAATGTCTGGGCTGCTGGTAACCAGAAGGTGGCAGTACAGCAAGCTGGTTGTTGACCGTCCTGCGTGGATGTTTTTGTGTTATTTTAAAGATATACTCGTATGGATATTTGTCAAATATCGTTAGACACACAGGGTCTTCCTGAAAATGAGTGTTGACGGTGAAGCTTTCCTTTACACATTGATTTGTAAAAAAAATTCCACCGCACTGTTAAGTGATTCTCTGTATCTTCTTGGTTATTTCGGTAAAGTGACGTAGAAGGGACATAATAAAATAATAAAACATATGACAATTAAATTCCGTTATGTTTTATTTTTATTATTTTATTATTTCCCTTCTACGTGGCTTTACCGAAAGAACCAAGAAGATGAATCCCTGCAGTCACGAAAGCTTTAAATCGAAATGATTCTCTGTATCTTACTCATCCACAGAGTCCAAATAATGTAGTCGTATGCCGTTATCTCGTGTGTCCATCACGTTCATTGTGTGGCGATGTCAAAACACGTTCGATTATCCATAAAGCACCTTCATATTCTGACGGTTGTATACATAAACACACATGTAAGGTAAAAAAGATGCTGATGTTTAATTTACAAAGGAGGCAATTGAGTAATGCCTCAATGAACTCGGTGAAAATCGACGGCCCAACCCGTCACGCATTCATTGAAATTCACCACGGCGTTTCACATCGCAACAAAATAACAGAGATTTAAATGAATTACGTACGTTAACTGTACTTACGAACAATTAAAGAATGTTGACAATCGTATCCAGCAGCGGTTACGACCACGTAACGTAAAAGATGAACACTTATGTTGCGTCGCGCGATAAAAGTCATGCAAAAATGTATATATACATGACCTACGTTTGGGGAATTCTCGCCTTTAGTCACGAACACACGCGTATGATAATAACACTAATGTATTCTTACTGTACTGTTAATTCCGAATTAAATATTTACGCGTCAAAACGGAATCACAGATTTGTGCTGGTTGAGTCCTGGTGTCGATATAAATGGCACTACGGCGAACTGTGATTCATCATAAACGTATGACGGTCTTTACGCCATGGATGAAGCTGCCTTTTGGCGAATAGTAACATTTTAAAACATTTCCCATCACATTTATAAATGTGTTTTAACACAACGGAGGGCGTGATTTGCGGCACCCAAACGGATCGAATCGACGTTTAGCGATTCCGCAAACCCGAATCGATTTCCTCAACCTACGTCGGCTTACACGGCATTCGAATCGTACGCGGAATCGTAAACAGGAATCGAACCGTCGATTCTCACATCCACTTAATTTGTTGAATCTAACGCAGCCTCGGTCGCTCGCGGCTAGAAACCGGGGGAGGGATCGTGGACCAATTAACAAACAGGCCCCGCCGCCGACAAACAAATTGCGGCGCTTCGCCGGTAAATCCGACCGACTGCGAGCGGGGGGAGGAGGCGAAACGTCGCCAAAAGGGCCACGCGAAGCCGCGCTCACTTACCCGGAAGCTTCAGTGCCCTGCTCAACGCAGCGGCCATTTTGGGACGAGCGCATGGGGCGCTACCATCTGGTGCGGCCAGGGGGGGGGGGGGGTACGAGGATGGAATAAATTATCATAATTACTGCAAACAACTTAGTGTTGTACCGATATAAAATATAATTTCGATTTAAAGCTTTCGTGACTGCAGGGATTCATCTTGTTTCTTTCGGTAAAGTCACGTAGAAGGGAAATAATAAAATAATTAAAATTAAACAAAATGATAAAAATAAAACATTAAATAAAATTATCACGACGTCTCGACTGCAACACAAGCAATCATCATCAGGTGTGAAATCCACAGCAAGAAATTTCGAAACGTCGTGAGAATTTTTCTTGTTTTATATTTATACTGCAAACAACTTAGTGTTGTTAACGATATAAAGTATAATTTCGATTTAAAGCTTTCGTTCTTGGTTCTTTCGGTAAAGTCACGTAGAAGGGAAATAATAAAATAATAAAAATAAACCAATAAAATAATAAAAATAAAACAATAAAATGAAATTCTCACGACGTTTCGGCCACAACACAAGCAGCCGTCTTCAGGTGAAGAAACAGAGCTGTCATTAGGACGCTGTCTTTCCGACAGCTCTGTTTCTTCACCTGAGGACGGCTGCTTGTGTTGTGGCCGAAACGTGAGAATTTGATTTTTATTATGTTTTATTTTTATTATTTTATTATTTCCCTTCTACGTGACTTTACCGAAAGAACCAAGAAGATTAATCCCTGCAGTCACGAAAGCTTTAAATCGAGATATAAAGTATTATTTGTCTCGGTTGGATGCGCAACGGTGTATAGGTTACAAAGTCGCGCATCCGTCCTGATGACCACTTAATCGCCCGCACCCAAGTACAATTTTTGTGCGTGGATGTCTTTGCATTGACGGGCTGGATGTCCTTCTCGCTCAGTCACCGATGCTGCGACATACTAAGCTGATGCCTTGACATGCTAATCTCTTACACCATTGGTACCTCATTTGCCAGTAAAAAAATTGATAATTGGTTTTTTACCCTTTTATCTGACTAGGCTCTAAGGAAAGCTGTCTCGGGTGTGGACCAATCAACTTCAAGGACAGTGCATATCATTATCAGAGTTATGTTTTTTGTTTGCATTATGACTGCAGGTATTGTGGTCTATGCAAACATGACTCCTGGTAAAAAAAAAGGTGTCAGTTTTGTTGCCAGATAAAAGGGTAAAAAAAACAATTATCATGCTAATCTCTCACAATACAATAGCCACTTCCACAGCCTCAGGGAGACCATTTCTAGCACCGCCCTCTTACTTTGAGGCTGCACACATCTCAGGCCTATCTAAGACCTTGTTTCAGTAGCTTTGTCTCTCTCTCGCCTGAAGACGGTCGCTTGTGTTGCGATCGAAACGTCGTGATCTATTAATGTTCCATCTACGTGACTTTACCAAAAGAACCAAAGAGTATGGATAAAATGTTAGTTTAACACTTTTTTTGAATGTCACTTTTTTAATTCTACAGAGCAGTGTTTTTCATCGCAAGGCCCCTGGTGGCCTTCAGTGCGGTCCCCGACAATACACAAGTAGTGAAAACACCACCCCATCATCATCATCGTGCTGCCGAAGCACGGTGGCGCCATCTCGAGATGGCCTTAATCTAAGTTATCTTATGGTTGTTGTTGTTTGACTTGCATCCCACTGGGATTTTTGCACACAGCGTTGGTGTACGGTGTTCTTTCTGCAATATTTTGCTGCCTTTTCTTGGATTTTCTGTTTGCACTTAGTCACATATTCACTTTAAGATGTTTTTTGTTCATGTTTTTTTGTTTGTTGCGGTTGCACCCGATTCAAGAGCCGAATGGCTCACAGGGCTACACCAATAAATTTACTTGAACTTGAACCTACGCGGCCGACGCGTGGTAGCGCCATCTCGAGATGACGTACACGGTGGCGCCATCTCCAGATGACGTACACGGTGGCGCCATCTCGAGATGACGTACACGGTGGCGCCATCTCGAGATGACGTACACGGTGGCGCCATCTCGAGATGACGTACACGGTGGCGCCATCTCCAGATGACGTACACGGTGGCGCCATATCCAGATGACGTACACGGTGGCGCCATCTCGAGATGACGTACGCGGTGGCGCCATCTCGAGATGACGTACACGGTGGCGCCATCTCGAGATGACGTACACGGTGGCGCCATCTCGAGATGACGTACACGGTGGCGCCATCTCCAGATGACGTACACGGTAGCGCCATCTCGAGATGACGTACACGGTGGCGCCATCTCCAGATGACGTACACGGTAGCGCCATCTCCAGATGACGTACACGGTGGCGCCATCTCCAGATGACGTACGTGGTGGCGCCATCTCCAGATGACGTACACGGTGGCTCCATCTCCAGATGACGTACACGGTGGCGCCATCTCGAGATGACGTACACGGTGGCGCCATCTCCAGATGACGTACACGGTGGCGCCATCTCCAGATGACTTACACGGTGGCGCCATCTCCAGATGACGTCCACGGTGGCGCCATCTCCAGATGACGTACACGGTGGCGCCATCTCCAGATGACGTACGCGGTGGCGCCATCTCCAGATGACGTACGCGGTGGCGCCATCTCCAGATGACGTACACGGTGGCGCCATCTCGAGATGACGTACGCGGTGGCGCCATCTCCAGATGACGTACGCGGTGGCGCCATCTCGAGATGACGTACGCGGTGGCGCCATCTCCAGATGACGTACACGGTGGCGCCATCTCGAGATGACATACACGGTGGCGCCATCTCCAGATGACGTACACGGTGGCGCCATCTCTAGATGACGTACACGGTGGCGCCATCTCCAGATGACGTACGCGGTGGCGCCATCTCCAGATGACGAACACGGTAGCGCCATCTCCAGATGACGTACACGGTGGCGCCATCTCCAGATGACGTACGTGGTGGCGCCATCTCCAGATGACGTACACGGTGGCGCCATCTCCAGATGACGTACACGGTGGCGCCATCTCGAGATGACGTACACGGTGGCGCCATCTCCAGATGACGTACACGGTGGCGCCATCTCCAGATGACGTCCACGGTGGCGCCATCTCCAGATGACGTACACGGTGGCGCCATCTCCAGATGACGTACGCGGTGGCGCCATCTCCAGATGACGTACGCGGTGGCGCCATCTCCAGATGACGTACACGGTGGCGCCATCTCGAGATGACGTACGCGGTGGCGCCATCTCCAGATGACGTACGCGGTGGCGCCATCTCGAGATGACGTACGCGGTGGCGCCATCTCCAGATGACGTACGCGGTGGCGCCATCTCGAGATGACGTACGCGGTGGCGCCATCTCCAGATGACGTACACGGTGGCGCCATCTCGAGATGACGTACACGGTGGCGCCATCTCCAGATGACGTACACGGTGGCGCCATCTCTAGATGACGTACACGGTGGCGCCATCTCCAGATGACGTACGCGGTGGCGCCATCTCCAGATGACGTACACGGTAGCGCCATCTCTAGATGACGTACACGGTGGCGCCATCTCCAGATGACGTACGCGGTGGCGCCATCTCCAGATGACGTACACGGTGGCGCCATCTCGAGATGACGTACGCGGTGGCGCCATCTCCAGATGACGTACGCGGTGGCGCCATCTCCAGATGACGTACACGGTGGCGCCATCTCCAGATGACGTACACGGCCGACGCGTTGGTGGCGCCATCTGCAGATGACGTACACGGTGGCGCCATCTCCAGATGACGTACACGGTGGCGCCATCTCTAGATGACGTACACGGTGGCGCCATCTCCAGATGACGTACGCGGTGGCGCCATCTCCAGATGACGTACACGGCCGACGCGTTGGTGGCGCCATCTCGAGATGACGTACACAGCGTTGGCGGCGCTCTCGAGGCGGCCGCCGTTGGAGTTGGTACGGCCCGTGACGTCACGCGGGTGCGAGGGTGGGGGTCGTGTGGCGGGAGGAGGAGGGGGGGGTGTAGTCGCCGCCATTTTTCTTCGCAGGGGGAGAGGGATCCGAGGGTGAAAGGCGGCGCCGCTCACATCGCTGCGGCCTTTTTCCACCACCCCCCCCCTCTCGCTTTGGTTCCCATTTTAACAAACTTGGTTGTTCGCTCGCCTCTTTAATCAAATACGTAACAACACACTCAGGACGAATCCGATAGCTTCACGGGGGTTTGAAGGGGGCAGTGCGAAATGTCGGCGCAGGCGCAAATGCGGGCCATGCTGGACCAGCTGATGGGCACGGCGAGGGATGGTAAGTGCCGCGGAGCGAGAGAACTTTCCTTAAGTTTCTCCCTCGATAGGCGAGGGGAGGCCGGGCGGGCGGACTGGGTTGAGGGGGGGGGGTTCGGCAGTGACTCGATTGCGAGTAGGCCCCAAAATTTGACTCGCCCCTCAGTTCAAATGCGCCACCTGTGCTGGGTTTATGCTTCTTAAATCGTTGCGATGTGGCGGGAGGTGTTCGTTAAGGGCCTCGTGTGTGAATTGTCGATCGAACGTGTAGATTTGACGAGAAGTGGTTAACATTTGTTTTGTTACGACAGTTTGCGTGGGCCACTAAAAAAAAAAAACCCGCGCGTTGCAAGTTGAGGGCCCGTTGTGACATTGGCGATACGGCGAACGCGGTTAGGATTGAGGGTTTAAAATAATTGGGGCGGTAATTGTAAGCGATTTAAATTGTAAAGTGCGTATGTTTGTAATGACACTTGTGGAGAAAATTGTGTTGAGCTCCCCCTTGTAATGTAGGTGGCTAATCGATGGTTGTAATTGGCTCTACGTGTTAAATTAAAATATATAAATTGGCTCGTTCACAATCTGTCATGTCCGTATAATATTTTTAGTTCCTTTTGTAATAGAGTTCATTTAGAATGGATTACTTTATAATCTCGTAGGGTTTCAAACTATCAACAACTTTGTTGTCAGTAAACTAGATAATAAATACTGTTATGAATGTATTGCAATCGTTAACAATTAATGATAATGGGCAATTTTATAATCAAGTGGTTAATTTGCCAAATTTTTTGTTAAACTCTCAGCCCCTTGATTGTCCATTGTATAGCGCTTAACGTTGGGTTTGAGGAAGTTAATTTATATCGCCTAATTGTATCGTGGACTCGATTCTGGCTACGGGATAACCTCCTTGGGTGACATCTGAACCGATTTTAGGACCGACTTTGCCAACCAGCGTGGTGTGAAACGTAGTCAACCTTCGCGACCGACACAGCATTGAGTTTGCAAATTACTTTGATGACCCTTATTATTGGGTAGCGATGGTTAATTTAACAAACCGTCATGCTTTTTTAATGTAGGTGAGCCATCACAAGCTCTGTATGCGTTGCGTGATTTTATCTTCATTAAAATTATATTCAATTCTCAAACCTTAACACAGTACACTTGCTATGTAAAAATAATTATAAAGCCATTGATATTGTTACTCGTAACATAAAAAAACATATTGGCAACATTTTTTACAAATCCCTAGTATTTTTCCAGATTTGTTAACGTTGGTAATTTTTCAATACAATAAACACGCTGGGCTGCATGTTCTTGGCACTCAACAACCATCCCATAGCCGGTCACATAGTCGTGTGACAGCACAGCATACTCTTACTCGTTTCAAGATGTAAGGAATTCTATAGCACATCAGTGAACCATATGTTGCTGATAGTTGTGTGGACTGCACATGTAGCTTGGACCGGCTCCGTGAGCTTGACGCTCATCAGCTGAGCCTTAAATTGTTTGCACAATTAGCCAAGTGCATCTCGTGGTGCGTGGATGTTGTAATAGCAGCCGAGAGCCACCACTGTTAACGTTCTAAAACCGAAAATGGAAAAAAGTATTCTGTAATATTTTAGTATCAATAGGTTATTTCCCGTGCTTTGTCGGTGTGGTATTGTGGGATCACTGCTGCTGCTCCTGGTGCTGATCTTTATAACTGAAGGGTTTCAGCGGTACATGTTAGCTCCTGCTTTCACATAGCCCGCCATCTAATGATATCAATATGGGGGGGGGGGGCGTGCAAAGAAAGAAGCCTCTGCCATCGACCCACCTCTTGCCAAAACGCCGCGCGCTCAGACAAGGCAGCATCAACCGATACAGTGTCAAACCGACTAGGGGAGGGCATCCACCCACCATGGTAACGTTATGGATTCAAGGTGCGGCGATCTTGTACTGCGACGCAGTACTTTCGGTGCTGTGGGCACTGCACAAACGACGTCCTCCCGCTGCCACTGGAAAACGGCTGTGGTGGTGTGTGAACCAGACCTCTGAGGTCAATTATCGCAATTACGTGAATCGTAATGAATTGCAATCGCGGGTGTAATTGTCATTTCAGCTGACGTTGCCCCGATGACTTTCAATATAGTTGACTTCATGACTGGTATTCACCCACCCAGTGCAACCAGTCGTCACTGATCCGTTGCTTGGACGTACCTTCAGGCTAGTGGTTCTCACTGTACATGCCTTTAGTCCCAGCATGGCACCTGCCTTTTTTAAATGCAAGTTACGTGGTTTCTCTGTCGGTCTTTATATTTCAATCTGTGGCAATCACGTTAGTAGTGTGGTATAGTGTATTGAATATGGGCTGCAGTTATGCTGACAGAGGACTTGCACCAACATCGAAATGATGTTGACCTTCGCCTTAACTACGTTGCGTGATCTGTTAGAAGACATGGTAGGTCGACATTCCAGGCAGTGGTCTTAGAACGGATAGGGAGAAAAGCAGAATGGTCAAGTGGCACAAAGATGACTATGATGACCGTTTTTAATCCATGTGCTACATACGAAATGTGAGTGCAAAGTTTGAGACATTGAAATGCATACAGGAAGTTTACACAGATATACTGACCATCCCCCAAAGGGCAGTGTATTTCTACTCTCTACTCATCACCTTCTAAAAACTAAATCCTCCCTGCATGTTTTCCATATATGTATTATGTTTTGAGATGCTGTCTCATTTAAACAATTTATACATCCAAAAATTTTTTTGGGTAATTTATTCATGTTAACCAATTTTCTTGCCAATTGAATAGGCACAATGGAAATTCTTGTGAATGATCATAACCATTGTGTCATGGCCTTGGACATTTTGCAGCAGTGTGCATCCAAAGACAATGCCTAAGAGTTGACATGTGCACCCCAATTCCTTGGAATCTCCATAATGAGTTACACGATAATATATTTACACGATAATATATTTACACGATCTAACCCAAGAAAAACCCTTTATTGTTGATAATATTGGTCGCGAAAGCCTACGTGTTAAACTCCCTTGCAATCTGACACCTTTGGGTTCCAGTTTCAGCAGCTTCTGCTATGAGCCCTCCAGGTTATGTCATTGGAGTATGACGTACGATTGTTGGGCATGGGAAATTCAACTGCGACAGTCTAAGGCCATGCTCTGCAAGGAAAATTTCAGGGCAGTAATTTCTGGCAATCATCATCATCGGCTATGGGTTTAACCATGAGCGACTATGCCAATTTGGATGTGCAACGGAATGTAGTGACGGAATTTTCTGCAGCCAATCAATGCCATTCCTCGGTGAAGGGTGTGTATGTTGAATAAAGATTGGTCTACAGACTATAAATGACCTGTTGATTAGGGATGTGTGGTAGGCCTAGTACTAGTCACAATATGATTATGGATGGAGTAGGCCTAGAACGAGTCACTAGTTACCAGACAAGCAAACAATGAGAAGGCTTTATCCCATGCATGCTATATTTGGATGCCACTATTTTTTTCGGGTTTCAGAAAGTGACGTCGGACGGTCACGTGTGTTCCATCTCAGATCTGATTGGACGTTGCTGCTCCGTTGCTCACTAGGTGCTGCTTGCATCGGAATTGTTCAAATTTTGGACAGTGAGACGTTTACGGTGGGAAAAGCTACGCATCTATTGCCGGTGGTAATTGCCGGCAATGATTGCCCTGAAATTTCCCAAGTGGATCATGGCCTTAAGGATTGGAAGTTGCACGGAGATAGGAATAACTCGCCTGTTGCTTTAAGGTGCACAAAATCATTTTGGGAGGGAATTTTAAAACTGGTCTTTGGTGGTCATGATGGAGAGGAAGTCTCGCATTCAAATTCCGTGAGGTGTAATGCGTGAGGTGCGTTGCGTGCTTCCGTGGTTCAAAGCCGCAGAAGTGGACCGGGGTGGGAGTGCAAGGACTGCAGCTTGAGAACCACTTGCCTAAGAGGCCTAATTTGACATTTTGCTATATGCGTGACACAATTTGAAACAAATTACTCGCATTGCAGGTTCATTGGTGCAATTCTTTTCATAGTTATTTCTGAGCACTGCTGCCTGTGTGAGCCGATTTGCCGATCTAGTTTATAAACACCTTGTGCCAAATTCTCCAGCTCAAATAAGGTAGTCAAATGTTGCATTTGGTTTTTGAATTTGCGGACCTATGTGGCCCAATTCCATTTCAGCAGTTTAAAAAGACAACATTTCATTTCATTCTCTTGCGATACCTGCATCCGCATTAAAGTGAGGTCTCACCTTACCGGTTTAATAGGGTATCGGTCGATTCCTAGTTTGGAAACAAACAAATAAAATGCTGCCACAAGATATGATGTGCATGCTTAAACCCTTTCCGCAGACAAACTGTACATGTGTACGTCCTTTTATTTTTTTTCACGAGACAACCTATTGATGGCAGTGTGCAGTTTCATAGCTTAATATTTGTTGGCCAAATTCTGTATACCTATTAAACAATTGTGGCCCCCTTGTTTTATTTGCAAAGGTTCAGTGTATCTTTGCCTGCCTACCTCAGTCTGCAAGGAAAAAACAGAAAAGCGTCACATTCGCCGAGCCGTGAGTCATGCAAAAAAAATAAATTTTAAAGCTGTGTTATGAAATGTGGAAAGTGCTTCGTGATTCCGTCGAATTTTACGCTCTAGCGTAAAAAAAAATGAAAACACCGATGTGACCGTTTTTGTGAAAAAACACCCTGGTAAAAGAGTTTACAGTTTCAACATACGTTGCTTGAAAGGAGCCGTAAACTCGAGAGAGTGCAACTATTTTTATTTGCTCTCGAAAGCCTAAAACTTCGCTAAGTTTTTTTTTTATATGTGTAAAGCACTCTGGACATGCCTAACGTGTTGTTGGTTGAATCGTGTACAATGTTTGCCGTTATTGGATTGTGTCTACTTCTGACTACGTGTATCACAGGTTTGTGGCTGACAACGTTTTTCCTTTTTAGTGTTCTGCGTGAGGTATAAAGTTTGTGCAGCTGACCAGATAGTGAAGACGTGAAATGGTGTTGTGTGCGGCAATCGCAGTGTGTATTCTATCTTTAACTTTGTGTTTTCCTCTCTGACATTGTGTTCATTATGTATTCAGAGGCATCCTCCCTGAAAAAAAAACTTGCATCACACCTAATATATTTTAAGAACACTGATATTTACACATTTTTGCCTTGGAAATGTTTTCATACAAAATGTGCATGATGAGTTTTTTTACTGTTTTGTATTGACATTAAACATGTCATTCTGCTGGATTTTTATGGCCTACACAACAGCTGTCAAAGGGTGTGAATTCCCTTTGTTAATGTTTTACAGTCCATGTATTTTTCTACGTAACTATATCCCAAGGCAATAGCATATATACCCTAGTGCAATCAACTCACAATTTTGCCTCGATCACATATCAAAAAGCAGAGCTTTGTCCCTGCCGTCTGTAACAAGGACGGTGCGCGATGTATGACAGTGCATCCGTTATGAATGGTGCAATGCAAATTGCGCCTTTCTGTCTCCCTGCTATGTAGCAAAGTGCTGCTTCCGTATGAGATGTTGCTGAGAAATTGAATCGTATTTAAAACCCATTGTTGCAGGTGACGTCAGTCGACAGCGCATTAAATTCACAGACGATGTTGTCTGCAAGAGCCATCTCCTTGACTGCTGCCCCCATGACACGCTGGCGGGAACTGTGAGTACAGGCTCTGCCTTGGTGCTTCTGGCACCCAGACAACTGTGAGTTTTCTTAAGGGGAGAATTGAGCAGGTTGGTAAAGGGTTGGCTACGTACACGGGTAAAGGAATTATCCCACCAAAAGTGGGAATATTTCAGAAGGAATATGCAAGTCGGCATTAAACGAAGTGATCGATTAATATTAATTGTTACCATCATGGTACATGCAACACATGTGTAGCAGTTGATTATTCACCATTTGTTAAATTTACATGTAAATTGAATCTAAAGGCTAATGAGAATGAACTCGACAGACGAATGCAAATTGTGACAATTCACCAAGTTGATATGGGGTGAGTCATCTCAAGCACGCTGAACAAAAATGCTCAAAACAATCAATAACACTGCCTTAAAGGAAAACAATTATAGTAAGGCCACATTTTGGGTATTGGCCCTTCGTAGCACGTAAATGATGTGGCAGTGTTAAGGTTTTTGTTTATTGTGCTTGTGCACCACAGCCAATGCAGCATCATAACATGCACAACAAAGCAGGGTCATGCAATTTGATGATATGTTTAAGTCGGCATTTGCATTGTCTGTCGGTGGACAATAATATCGATAACTTGTAGACATATTTACAAGTGTGGGACGTTAGTTCTAAAATGCACTGTTCTCATACAGACGGTGATTATATTTCCTGCCCAATATAAATATTGTCGTCTTGTGTAAGTATTAAACAATGTTTGGCTTCTATTTCAGAGAATGGATTTGGGAGACTGCCCAAAGACGCATGATCTTGCTCTTCGTGCTGATTATGAGATAGCTTCAAAGAAGAAAGACTACTTCTTCGAAGTGGATGTAAGTATACATTTCATTCATTGCTTTTGTGTATGTGATGAAAATATATTTTGATAAGATAATTATTCTCACAAAAATTGGTCCAGAAGGCCAACAGGCTGATGGACCTAAGTGTTATTTATCTATTGGTGGTGACACAGATCTTTATTATTTCCTATTATTCAGCAAGACAGGGTGTTCATTATCACAGTTTTTTCTTTTGTACTGAATGAGTCCACAGTGTTTGTGGAGGGCTATTGCCTTTTACACCAGATAACCCAGCAGCATCTGTATGCCAAACCTTACTACGATCATGACTCAGAAATGTTAAACCATTCTGTAGTTTTCTGCTGAAACAAATGATCCCGGAACACATTTCTCCAGAATGCTCATAAGCTGATGCACCTACATTATATTTGTATATTTGAAAATGAAACACCCTCTTGTATGTTGATATTCTCACAACTACGTAACGCAATCATAAGGAAAATCCTGCTTGATTGGCATTAAAAGTATACGAAATGACAAGGCGAAAATCGTGTTCAAGCTATGCTGAATTGGTTTCTTAAATGTCTCTAGCCGACATTTTGCAGTGCTGGAAATGACTCGTGCAATTGTTTCTGTTGCAAGGCTATGAAGCACTTGCAGTCGTTCATTGCTGACTGCGACAGGCGAACTGAAGTGGCCAAAAAGCGCCTGGCAGAGACCCAGGAAGAGATCAGTGCTGAGGTGTCTGCCAAGGTAAGAACCCCTTAAAAAGTAGAAACCTCACAATACACACAACGCCTGGTTGGGCTTTCGGAATGCAGGTAAAGTATTTAATACAGCGGTGTCGTTTCCCTGCGCAGATACTCGTGTGAAACATGCATCAAAGAAGTTAACAAACGTGAAATGCGAAATAATATCTACATACATACATGAACTGGAAATCCATGACATTAACAATGTAGTTCTAATTCTTGTATTGCTAAAGTAATATGCAACCTATATGAAACCTTCTGTTTGTATATATTCACCATCCTGTGTCGCAGGCTGTCCAAATCGAGTTTAAAGATTTTATAAAAACGAGGTTGTAAAAAAAAAATCATTTTTTTGTGTTGCATTTTCCATTCACCCACTGTTTTCCTTTGTAATGGAACATTCATTTTGGTGCAGTCATTGTGATGGTTGAAATGACGAGAGATGACTGGTGTGGTTTGCGATAAGAGGGTCCCAGTTTGGTTGAAGGGAAAAGTGTACAAGATGGTGGTGAGGCCGGTGCTGGGGCACAAGAAAGAGGGAGGACCAAGCTATTGTAGTCACACAGATGAGGATATTGTGGTGGATGTTGGGTTTGACAAGGAAGGATAGGGTCAGAAATGAAGAAGTGAGAGGAAGACTCAAGGTGGTAGAAATCACCGAGGAGATGAGAGAAAAGGCTGGTATGGTTCGGCCATGTTGAGAGACAACAGGAAAATTATGTGGATCAGAAAGTGCGAGTGATGCAAGTGGAAGGAAAGAGAACAAGAGGAAGGCAGAAGTAGAGGTGGGGGCGATATGGTGCAATCGGACACAGTGGCCCGAGGAGTGGGAAGAGAGATAGTGCAGGACAGGGCAGCGTGGAGAAGGTTTGGAAGGGCAGCGGATCTCACATGAGTGGGACAATTGCATGGAAAAAGAATATTGTTTTTACTCTCTTGGGGACACCGGGAATTAAACTGAGTATCTCAACTCATGCTCCATGTGATATCCCCCCCCCCCCCGTGCAGGCTGAGAATGTGCATGCCATCAACGAGGAGATCGGCAAGTTGCTTGCCAAGGCCGAAGCCCTGGGCGCTGCAGGCAATGTGGAGGAGTCCCAGAACGTGATGGACGAAGTTGAGAAAGTTCGACAGCGCAAGCGTGACGCGGAGGTAAAGACAGGCCCCTCACTTCCTCGCCAGCATTGGCACAGTCGTATGCCAACGGGAACCACAGCCATGACAAACATTCCTTTCACAAGCGGCAAGTCCTATACGTTAGTACAACAGTTGTGGATTAATTTTAGTGCGTAGGTTTTCACAACCAATTGTCGTCTGAGTTAAGCTAACAGTTGTCTCAAGCTTTTGCTAGGCACTACTCGTGAAGAGAAAAAGTGCTCAACACGTGGCCTAACCTGTAAGATCACACATGGTATTCATATTTAATAAATCCTGGATGGCCACCAAGATTTGAAATCGGTAATGCAACAACAGTCTTCACTTGTATTTATGTAACCACAAAAGGATTCATCTATTGATTCTTATGCTCGTCGATAGTATAGGCGAGTTTGTATTTAATGGCTTATTTATCTTGTATTTGAATTATATGCACATTTAGGCATGGAGCAAAGACAACTTATAATGAAGTTAAAAGGGAAACCGTATGAATGCCACCATCAAAATGAGACGAAAAAATAATCGCATCTACAATCAGACTGCCGATCTCAAATTCTTGAAACGTGGCTGGGAAGATTTTTGAAACATGGCTGGGAAGAGTCGATCGTTGCATAACCGCGCCGCTATTTGTTGCCCGCAGGAGGAGTACCGCAACTCGATGCCAGCGTCTAGCTTCCAGCAGCAGAAGCTGCGCGTGTGCGAGGTGTGCTCCGCCTACCTGGGCCTGCACGACAACGACCGGCGCCTCGCCGACCATTTTGGCGGCAAGCTGCACTTGGGCTTCATCGAGATCCGGGAAAAACTCCAGGAGCTCAAGGTGTGAAGCGACGCCCCCCCCCCCCCCCACAGTTATCATTTCACATTTGATGTTGTGCTTACATATGGAAGAAAATGTCTTGTAGCACACGAGCAGAAACTATTCGTACGTTTCAATGACCAGAAGTGATGAGAAGATGAATGGTTCCGACTCAAACTGTTACACTGTTTAACTGTGAGTTGTGACTTGCCATTTCTGCAAAGTGGCATATAAATGGTATCCAAATCTCGTATACATACTGCGGTCTGTTTTGGTCTTTGAGCCAGAGCAGAAATTGGTACTGCCTGAGGTGGCAAACGTTTATTCGTACCAATGTCAGCAGGGTTTGTCAGTAACAATGAATTGTCGATAGCATTCCATGCAGATTCAGTTTGATTGACTTGAAAACATAATTCGAACCACTAAAGTTTTGCAACCTTGGGTGTACTGACAACACAAATATCTGGTCTTGACCCATAGGCTATTTGACCAGCACTTTAACGGGGCAAGAAATGGTTACGAAGTGGATGTTACAGACCCTGTGAGTCTTAATTTGTGTGTTAGTAGAAAGGCTGTTTTTGCCAATATTCGGTGTGAAAATGTGTGAACGTGTAACTGTATATGGCTTATAGATTAAAAAAAACTTACCATTAATAATAGTGATTTTCAATAAAACAATGGGTTTCTATAGCTGTATCTGCTTGAGTAGGCAATGTGTAGATTAAATAGTAAATTGGAATGTGATTTTTCTTTGTGAGTTTTCAACTGGTTTAATTTAGGAGTTTGCATAATAATATGTTATGGTAACACTAAAATTAGAAGCGGTACAAGGACTCCATGTATGACTCATTGTTTGAGTTCCTCATGCTTGTCTTTTGCTATTTGGTAGTTGATAGGCAGTCGGGGACTAATTTAAACACTCACTATTGTGCTTTTTCCATTGTTGGTGGTGGTTGTATGGATATTTTTGACAACTAACACGCAACTTGTGTATGTTTTGTCATCTTAATTTAATTTATTCTGTTTCATGTACGATCTTTTTCTACGTAAGCTTTTTCCATCTGTATTTTATGCTTTGTCTTCCTTGCGAAAGCGAGTCGTCTCGTATATATATACACACAATTGAGCGCAAACCCTGCAGTCAAGGTGACCCTGCCGTAAAGCTCTTAAGCCCCGTTTGCTTTTTTTTATCGGCAGAAACTTGTGGAGGAGAAGAGGGACAAGATCGAGCAGGACCGTATGAGGAGGTTGGACGAGAGAGAGCGCGAGGACAGACCACGGAGGAGGCGAGGCAGCAGCCCCACAACACCGCAATATAATCTGGCTCGTGTGACGGGGCCAGTGACCATCGCAAGCAAATGCGTCGTAAATAAATACATAATTTGTCGTATTTGTTAAGTTGTTCAGCTGCACTAGTATCATCTCCGTTTTAACCCTCCTTGGTTTTGTGCTTTTGTGTTTCTGGGCAGGTCGAGGTCTCGATCTCGGAGCCGCGAGTACAGGGCGTAAGTTACCACACCCGTAACCCGGAAACTAAAGAGCTCTCTTATCTGGTAGCCGCATACTTTAGGCTGTCCAGTTCTGCCGGACAATATTTTAAAGCTTAATTCGTGGAAAAACAAAGACTTAAGTCGTGGCCCACACTACGTTGAGAAAGCGCCACCATTGTTAATTCTAGTGGTGCTCCTGCAATGTGACCGCCATAGGTATAAATACAGCTAATTCGCGACATGCAGTGCAATGTGAGAATTGGCTCATTAAGCCGATGGAGGTCAGTGCAAGCTGGGGAATTAAAAGCAAATGGCTACGCTTGGTCTGGGGGGAGGACCGTTTCAGAAGGGTATCGGAAGTTGTCTGTACAGGAACAGATTAAAACTCCCGCACTGTCTAGCATTGATCTGCCATTGCTGTGATCTTGGGTTCACGTTCAGTTTTCAGTTTCCCATGCTTACGACTGGGTTCTCACTTTTAGCGAAAGGGTCTTAATCCATTCGCCAATGACTTCACAAAATCCATTCGATTAAATGATATTTTTTCACTTAATTTGGCAAAATAATCATCCCTAAGAATTGCAAATTTTGGTACGATCCTCTTGCGATTAACATTTTCATCATAGCAGAAGTTGTGGGAAAATGTAAAGATGTGAAATCACCTGAACGGATATCGGAAGAGTTTGGGGATCATTCTTGAACACGGGGGGTGATCCACTGCTCTGTTATCCTTCCAAATGGATGCTTTGCAACGGTACAATAACATTTTTGGAAAAGAGGAATTTAAAAGGAAATTGCGGCACAGCAATGCATCAACGTCACGTTGGTAACATTGTTAAGTAGTATCAATTTCCTATCAGGGTTGCGTTAAAAAAATTGCAAATGACTAGCTACCACTTATTTTAATTGGCGTATATTGCCCAAAATAGACGTGTATTTTTATCACCATTTAACTATAAGCATTGTGTGTGGTTGTGTAAAGGATAGGGAAGTCGGTTGGCTCTTGTTTTGTTATCGCTGCCTGAAAAGAACAGCTTTGTTTATTTTAGTGAGTCAAAAACTGCATTGTAAGCGGGCATGAAGCATCCCATATTTACCTTGGTTCTTGTTACCGTGCCCTTACCTGCACTATAACCGCAAATTTCAAGAATACCATATTCTTAAGAAAACACAATTTAAAAAAATGGTGCCATGGACTCATCACGAGGCAACAACGTGGGATTTGTTAACAATAACATTAATTTCTTCATGGTGGATTTATTTGTGGTTTGTTGGTTCGAAATATATTCTGTATGCAATACAATTTGGATTCGTAAAGTGTACAAACACAACTGCATCTGAAGGTACTTTACAGACTTTAGGGTGGCGGTACACAGTGGGAGAAAAGGTGATCGGAACATGGAATTTAAAATCCAGAACACGAATTAAGGAAATATAGAGATAGCAGTGTGGACAACCCAGGGAAGGGAATTTACAGACCTCGGAAGCGGCAGATAAACAGAAACCACCCCCATTGATCAGGGGTTGACTGAGTCACTTGAAAGTCTTGGTTCCTGGAATAGAGGGGAAGTAGTCAAGAAGGGAGGTTATTGTCAAAATGGTCTTAGGAGATATCACACATTTTTTTATGTGTGTGACATCGGCGGGTCTCTTGTTGTTAATCTGAAATTGGATGGCGAACTATTTGACCGACTTGAGTGTGACAACATAATATTACAGTTCGTCGCATATCTGACTCGCTGTGGGGATGAGTTATAGGCGGATGCGTTGAAAGGTGCGATATGTCAACATCTATATAAATTGACAGTTTCACCATCCACAATACTGCACTGGGTCTGGGCGGTTAACCGATGCAAGTCAGAAATGCGACGATTTATCGTGTTTGCTCAGTGCGTGTAAAACGCGAAGGCAGTGGCATGTTGTATCGTCTCGAAGTACAAAAACACTTTATACTTTTCTAACGGGGTCACCTTTTTCCCCCATGTGCCCCTCCCCCCCACCCATAGCTCGCGCTCCTCGGGGGAAGGACGCAGGAGGCGCTCGCGCTCGGGCTCGGCCGATAGACGGCGCCGCTCCCGCTCGGGCGACCGCCGGCGCAGGCAGCGCTCGCGTAGCCGCTCCCGCAGTCGGCACGGGCGGCACGGCTCCTCGGAGCGCGGCGCCCGCCACACGTAGCCCCGGGCTGCCCCCACCCCGGACTGCGTGTGTGCGAGACAGAGATAGAGAGTAAGTGCCGCAAGGAGTGTGCTTCAGTGTGCTGTGGAGATGTGGCGATCAATCGATAAGAACATTTTGTTGTTGTTGAGGCTCGTAGTAGGTGCGTTGAATGACGCCTGTAAGAATTAACTGTTTCATTGACTTGTAAACGTAATTCGGACCACTTAAGTTTGGCAACGTTGGGGGTACTGACAACACAAACATCTGGTCTTGACCCATAGGCTATTTCACCAGCACTTTAACGGGGCAAGAAACCGTTAAGAAGTGGATATTACAGACCCTGTGAGTCTAATTTGTGTGTCAGTAGAAAGGATGTTTTGCCAATATTCAGTGTGAAAATGTGTTAACGTGTCACTGTATATGGCTGATTAAAAAAAATTCGCCAAACAAATCATGGTTTGGTGGTGGGGGGGGGGTCGTTACCTGCCGACTACAAAGCTTCCATGTGCAGACTTGGCACATGCATATTCTTACACGTCACACAAAATGGTTTGAAATGAAGGTCGTTTTGTTCGTAACTATACTAATGGTTAAGCAAAAGAAAATGTTAATAATCTGCGGATCTCAATGAAAGATGTAACTTAAAAAAGAATTGTAGATATGTACCAAAGCTGTGTCCCCCCCTCCCCATATTTGGAAAAACCTTACAAGTTTAATTTATGAGAATAAAAACTTTAAAGTCACGCTGAATTGCATCATTGTAGCTCTCGAAGAACTCTCCCCATATGTTTTAATACAATTTAATTGAAGTTACATGACCAGAGTTCTGTGCCAAAGCATCTGACAAATTGTACCATTTCTTTTCTCTTTAATTATTCTTCAAACGCCTAATTGGACAGACTGGAATATATACAACCTAGTTAATTATCTACATTGCAAAATCTAGCAGTGTTTTTTTTTTATTTACACTTTTAATTGCGACATTGTAGACCGACATCTCCGCCTGTTGTAGGAGAGTGGAATTTCCACCTCCGGGTTAAGGGACTACCAGGGGGGACATTAACACTGCCCAGTGTGTGTTTAATGGTAGGAGGGACACGGTGAAGTGGTAATCCTTTGAAAGCATTGAATGTTTTTTCTTCGTTTTTTTTTTGCACTGGTACAGATTGTTCCGCTGAGGGACGTGACATGACGGTCGGGTGAAGACATCTCAAACCCCAGCACACGCGCTTCAGTGGCCGGACCCCATCTCCACCCCATTCCCACGTCCACCGCCACCTCCGATCCAGCATGACACGGCACATTCTCCAATCATTCGCCTCTGGCTCCCGCCCACCCCGCCTCCTGCAGTGAAGTGCCGCATTTTTAGCCACCATCTGCATTTCAGCACCCGCCACCACCACGCCCAACGATCGACCGTTGGCCACAGCCGCCACCACTTTTGGTTTTGCGTTAAGTTTCCAACAGCAACGACTGGGGGCGCACGCTGAGTGTAACGATTTTGAGTTTTATTTCTTCCTTTAACGACTTGCGAGGGCCCGCACGGCAAGGGTTCAAATAGTGCACCGTCGCTTTCCAATTGCGTGCACACGGTTCCACGCATGCCAGCTGTTTTTACCGAAGCCCGTACGATGGTCCCATTTTGCTGCAACCGAAAGTGCTTCTAGATGCGACTGGGTGAGCACCAACTCCTCATTCGTGGTGGTACAATACACTATTGGGAATTGTAAAATTGGCAAGACGTACCATTTCGACTGCTATCATGTGTGCTCAATCAAGGATCCTGCTGTACAAAATTGTTTTTCGAGATAATTGGACTTTGAAAATAAAACAATTGGTCAATATTGTAACGCAGAAATGTATTTTAGTTTGTTTTATTATTTTGAGGAGAAAACATATGCATTGTTGAACATGGTTATGTAAATGGGCTAAATATTTGCGGCTTTTCTAGTCTTAGGTGCAGCCGTTGTACATGAAACTTTATGTTAAAGACTGTCGCTGAGAATACCACCAATATTGATAGTTTAGTTTCATTTTTGTAACTACTTATGGTGAAATTTGCGTTTCACTTCATACTGTTCTATTTAGTTTTTTTAATGTACATTTAACAGTGTACCACGTGTTGTAAAAAAAATACATTTTATGTTTTGGTCATCCCATGGTTTTTACCAACATGAGTGAGGTATCTTAAAGGCTGATAGGCATGTGTTGGCTAGTGCCTTCTGGTGCTGGTCACTGTCTTCAAATGATGGCCCTCACTGGCAGCTCATGGCATCTTTTTTTGGTCAGCCCTCGAACCCACTTGGGGGGTTTCCATATTCAGAATTAACGCAGAGGGCGATTAAAATGCAGAGACGCAGTGTAAATACAAATGTATGTAATGGTTACCCAGGTCACTCGCAAATTAAAGTTCTGGTCTTTTTAAGATCTTACCTGGGTAAGCAAAACATGAAATACGGGACTGTTTGCAGGTGAGGCACGAACAAATAAAAACTATCGCTTTCACCATTAATGCTAGCTCGTAACAGAAAAATGCTTAACATTTGAGGCAGTGGTCCATTCTTCAAACGTTAAGCCTATGGTATTTTTTTCTGTTACAAAGCAGTGTTAAATGATGCACATTTTAGAGTTTTAATTTGTGCTCATGTATCAAATTTTGGTTTATAGCCAGGCTTGACAATGGAAACGCCATGGAGTTCATGCTGTAAAACGCCAGGTGGCTGTTGCGTCTTGATAACAGGATTGAGAATGTGCAACTGGCACATAGTTTCAATTTGGATCTTGGAGAAGTCAAAGGAAAGTGCAAATTCCTACAGTTAAACATCTTGGAGGAATGTGCCTGCATGGGGACGTGCCGGCCTTGTGGCGCGCGCATTGCTCATTGAAATGAAGCATTTAAGGGCGATTTGGGCTTTTACAAGATGCCCTGGCAAGAAAATACATTACAATTGTTTTTAATCTACTTATATCACCGTTGCAGGTTTGTGATGGGTTTGTCAAATAAAGATGTTAGGCCACAATTCCAAGCAAAGTGGTGCAAACATTGAATGTATGCATGTGTGTGTGTGCTCAAGAGCGAATGTTATGTATGGTGAACGTCTTTCGCACTGTGCGTAGCCAACTGTGATAATCTATACTCTTTGGTTCTTTTGGTAAAGTCGCGTAGGTATAAAATATAAAATAAATCACGACGTGATGAAATAAAAATAAATCACAACGTGTTAATCTAGTAACAGTGCTTTGCGCTACTAACTCAGGTGACCCGAGTTTGATTTCCGATCACGGCCAAGAACAGCGACGATTATCTGAATTGGTTCTAGGCCTCCCCTAGGTCGACTCAGCCTGAAATTAGTACCTGGTGCGATGTATAAACATCGCCACTTGGTGGACAAAGGCGGTGGGGCGTGCTGCTGGCCACCCACCCCCTCGTGTGCCGTGACGGGCTTCATCTTCATAGGTGCTTGCTAACAGCACTTGCCCTAAGTCAGTTAAGGCTATACGGGGGATCTTTGTGAATGGGGTCCTGCGAGTTCAAAAAGAAAACGCGAAGCTTACTGACCGCATGCGGTTTGGTTGGTAGTTGGCACATACCTACGCTGTTCTATATCCACAACTGAGTAAAGGCCTCGTGGATATGAAAGCCTCTTCCTGCCTTCTTAAAGCCATCCGCTCATTACAAGGACTTTTACTCCCTGTACCTATAGTATAAGATAAAATGTTGTGGTGGGAGTGTGGAACGTGACGCATATCGGTTTGCTAAAATGCCTCTGACCTCGCGTTTAGGTGAACAAAACTTTAGTCTCTGCATTACCTGATCTCAAAATGTGGGTCGGTATATGTTGATCACCATTTTGGAAGTGTTGCTAAATTTGTGGCACGTTTGATAAGGCGAACAATTGCCCAACAGACAAAAAAAATACTGAGCGCAATAGCAGTTGGATGGGAGCGGTTTCCATACCAAGCAAACAATTGAGGAACTGAAAAGAACACGGTGTTCGTTTTGCCTTGGCTTTTTTTATCATTGATTTGATCTGCGTTGTTTTGGTCGACTAACATTTCCTGCTGGAACTTGCCTCGAAGCAAAACGACTTGAGCGGTTTAACCTGTCTGGCGAAAGTACAAACATGGGGCGGAGCGATTTAAAACACAAATGGAAACGTTGAACAGTGGTTTTGTGGGTGCCCACACTTTACGAATAAGACGCTTTCAAAGAAGCTCATCGTGGTGTTGGTGAATTCAACGTGTTGTTATGCAACCTCTTTGGTAAGTTATCAAACTTTGGATCCTACACACGTGACTTTAATCCTTGGCTATGTTCTAAACACCCGGCCCATTCATCCCCGCCGAAGAAATGAAGAATTTCCACAACTGCTTCGAGACCGCCCACAAAGATGAACAACCACCCGACCCTTGTTGGAGGATGGTATTTTATATCATGAAACCGATAAATAAACAAAAGTTTGTCTCCACATAAAAAAAAATTCAATTTGTAGTCGATCAGTTTACTGGCCTTCCCACCCAGTCTATTACAGCAGAATTAGAATCAAAGCACGGACAGGCTTTTACATTCATGGGTTTCATCTGCACACTCAAGCTTTGTTATGTTGCTGTGCTGACGGTAAGAGACGAACATTTAAGCACCCCTCCCCCCGCCTCGCATGCGCAACGATTCTCCGGTTTCTTCCCACGTATACAAAACACACTCACCTAGTTGAAAACATCTCAGTATTTCGAGAATAGTTTACTAGCAGGAAATATGTCCGCATATATTGTATATGCCTCTCCACTGAAATAAAATGTATCTTGCACAATTCATCATCCTCCTGGGAGTGCATCATTTCAACAGCATCGCTTCAGTCCAACCAAGCTCCGTATCGGTTTTGGCATCCGTGTCTCATCAGCAGTCAGGCTTGAGTCAATGTTGGTGAATTGCTAGGGCCCTCTCCCAATACATTGCGTCTATCTCCACGCAAAGCGTTATACTGTAATGATGTATGGTATTATATGGGACGCAGCTGTGAATATAGATGCCGTCCTGCTGTGTATTATGGCCATTGCTATGATCGGTAGAATACAAATGCAGTTCACTCCACCTCCCCTATTGAACGAATGCGATTATAATGACCGCGTGCGTGCGCCGTGGCTTACTGCGAGTCTCGCTTAAAGACAAAGGCGTTCAAGGAAGTAATACAGGTTCAGTGTGTTATTTTAAGCACGTGTTTTGAATGATAACAGCGAGCTTCGTATCTATGCAGTTTGCTCTGATTAAACGTTATGAACTCCAACGCGGGTTCCATTGATTGGCGTCCTTTATTTAACCAAGCGGGGGAAACGTTGGAGACGAATTATCGATTGTTGAGTAAAGCTTGCAAAATCGTACACACACGGCGACTGTTTAACTTACAATGCGGACCTAGATTACTGTTGCATTTGTGGTGGTTTTTTGTTCAACATGTTAGAATTCCCCCATCCCCTGTGAAGTCGGAGCTTAAGAGAATTACGAAATAAATGAGCTGTGAATGAGCTGCTTTTTACACTGCGGATGAGACATTGTTTTGATGATGACGATATCACATGATGACGATATGAGTGTGGATTGTTGTGGACATTGTGGATGATTAGCACGAATGATCAGTAATGCGGTTGATATTTGATCACGCTAACGATGATTGTGCATGTTGATGACTGATCATTGGCATTGTGGATGGTTATCTACTTTGGACGATGTTCATTGCGGATGAGCTCCGTATTGTGGATGATTGTGAATGATGCTTGTTATTATTGCGGATTATTTGTTACGTTGGATGATGTTCAATGTGGACTATTCGTTTTACTGTGGATGGTGATGATCACATTCACAGGATAAACAATAGACGCCTGCAGACGGGGATCGAACCATCACATCTTGGCTCAAACTCGCCTGACCACTCAATAAATTAATGATGTCACCCAAGCCGCAGTGGCATTGTGTGTCTTGGGGCTTCCTTATTGTTCATTTGAAAACAACGAGTCACGCTCAAAGGACTCAAATTGCCCGAGCGAACCCCGTGGTCGCTAAGCCACCGGCAGCGTTGTGATGTGGCGACCTTAATAGGTGCTCGCCAACTGCACTTTCCAAAAAAACGTGTTCCTTTGAACGCGTGTCAATGCGTGTCTGTGTGTGTGTGCATTGGCAGAGTAGGGGGCACAGGTGGTGCATCAGCCAGTCATCTCAGTCAGTCGACCCGTGGCACCTGCAGGGTCTGCCCCGTGACCTGCCAACGGGCGTTCGACACTTCACGTGGCCTCAAGGTGCACGTGGCCTGGCACAAGCGTCGTGGTGACGTCACTGCCACTTAGTGGCGAATGGCGGTGGTTGTTGTGTGCATTGTCCCGGCGACCCAAGTTCGATTCCCGATCACGGCCACCAACACCGGCGACGATTATCTGAACCGGTCCTGGGGTCACCCCCTAGGTCGACTCGACCTCGAATGAGTACCTGGTGCGGTGTGTAAAAACATAGCCACTGGGGGAGACAAAGGCGGCCGGCTGGCCACCCATCCACTCGTGTGCCCTGTCAGCTGTTATAGGTGTTCGCTAACAGCACTTGCCCCAATAGTTTGTTAAGGCTATACGGGGGATCTTTGTCTTTGTTGTGGTCCTGGGTATCCCGTAATTCAACTCGACCTCCAACGGGTTACCTTGTGCAGTGTGTAAATACACACCAGCACTGGGGAGAGACAAAGGCGCTCAGGTCACCCCCTCGCACCCCAAAAGTCTCAATAAGGCGATGTGGGGTTGGGGGCAACGTTGTTGTTGTTGTATGAATACGCGTGTTGGTGCATGCGTGAATGCGTTGGTGTTGGCACAGTAGAGAGCACAGGTGATGAATCTGTCAGTCATCTTGTAACACCTGGGTCTGTGCCGTGACGTCCTGCACCTAGCCTGGCACATCAGTCAACCCAAGACACCTGGGTCTGTCCCGTGACCTCCTGCACCTAGCCTGGCACATCATACAATCAATAACACCTGGGTCTGTCCCGTGACCTCCTGCACTTAGCCTGGCACATCAGACAATCACTAACACCTGGGTCTGTCCCGTGACCTCCTGCACCTAGCCTGGCACATCAGACAATCAATAACACCTGGGTTTGTCCCGTGACCTCCTGCACCTAGCCTGGCACATCAGACAATCAATAACAGCTGGGTTTGTCCCGTGACCTCCTGCACCTAGCCTGGCACATCAGACAATAAATAACACCTGGGTTTGTCCCGTGACCTCCTGCACCTAGCCTGGCACATCAGACAATCAATAACACCTGGGTCTGTCCCGTGACCTGCTGCACCTAGCCTGGCACATCAGACAATCAATAACACCTGGGTCTGTCCCGTGACCTCCTGCACCTAGCCTGGCACATCAGACAATCAATAACACCTGGGTTTGTCCCGTGACCTGCACCTAGCCTGGCACATCAGACAATCAATAACACCTGGGTTTGTCCCGTGACCTCCTGCACCTAGCCTGGCACATCAGACAATCAATAACACCTGGGTCTGTCCTGTGACCTGCTGCACCTAGCCTGGCACATCAGTCAACCCATAAGACCTCGGTCTGTCCTGTGACCTTTTTGCCAGCGTCGAGCCTTTTGCACTTCACGTGGCCTCAAAGTGCACCTAGCCTGGCACAAGCACTCTAATGACATCACTGCCACTATTTAGTGGCAAATGGCGGCCGTTATATGTGTGCACATATTATATGGATATGTAATTACGTTTGTATACGTGTGTATTCGTGTCTATTGTAGGTACGTGTGTGTGCGTCTACGTGTTTAGCACTGCACAGGAACATGTGTTCTCTGTATGTATATGTCTGTTTGTATGATAATCGTCACTGGCCAACACCGGTGACGATTATCTAAACCAGTCCTGCGCCTTCCTAGGTCGACTCAGCCTCAAATGAGTTACCCGGTGCGGTGTGTAGTAAACATCGCTACTGGGGGAGACAAAGGCGGCCGGGCGTGATGTTGGTCACCCACCCCCTCGTGTGCCACAGTGCCGGCTAACAGCACTTGCCCCAGCAGTGTGTGAAGACGATACGGGGGGGGGGGGGGGGGGGTTCGTTGTCTTTGTGTATATGGTAAAGTCACGTAGGAAAAAAATAAATAATAAAAGTAATAGAAAAAAACAATAGAAATTAAATAATTATTATTGTATTTCTATTATTTTTCTATTATAAATAAATAATAGAAATAAAATATTTTTTTTTCTATATTTTTCTATTATAAATAAATAATAGAAATAAATTATAAATATTTTATTTCTATTATTTTTTATATTATTTGTATTATTTATTTTCAAATTTATTTTTTACCTACGTGACTTTACCGAAAAAACCTAAGAGTATGAATCCTTGCAGTCACGAAAGCTTCAAATCTAGAATTTGTGTATATGATGTGTCTATGTAACTTGTGTGTCTGTACGTGACTTGTGTAACGTGTGTGTGTGTCGTCTGTGAAACAAAAATCGTCACAGCTCATCGGATTCCTCCAGTCTAAATAAAGATTACGATTCTGTATAATACAAAACAGCTGTGCCTGTGTGATTCATTTGAATTGTAAACATTGCATGTCAGTGACCCCTAAATATCACCTCCACCCCCACATCTTAATAGATGCTCGCTCACAACACTTTACCCTCGCCATAGTTAAGATTATTTATAGAACCAACAAAAGCTTTTTACCAAAACCTGCCTTTGTTATTGCTGCCTGTGTGTGTGTTGATGATGGTGATGGCTGCTGAGCCCACAACAGCTAACAACAAACCAGACATGGGTGGTGGTTTAAGTGAAATCGTCAAACATTATCAATAACGTGCGAATATTGGAGTAAGGAGTGAGATAAACTTGTATTATATTGTATATATTACTCACGAAAATATATAGTTATAAAACCAATACACAGCACCGTAAATATGAGACGTGCTATGAAGAAAATGGGCCCATTGTGATAAAAACAAATCCTTTGTAAAAAGCAAATGTTGTTATTGTGAACAAATATATCGCCAGTGTTTGTTGTTGCAGCTGGGGCCGTCTGGAACGCTCTTGCTTCCAACATTCACAAGCCACCGCGAACTATGGCTCCTTTAAATCATCTCGGTTGACAAACTCATTTATTTACAACCGTCTTCTTGTTTCTTTCGATAAAGTCACGTAGAAGGTAAATAGTAAAATAATAAAACTAAAACATACTAAAATAAATACAAAAATTTTAAAAAATATTTCCCTTCTACGTGACTTTACCGAAGGAACCAAGAAGATGAATCCCTGCAGTCACGAAAGCTTTAAATGGATATTTACAACTGCTTGGTGCGTTCATGGTTTGTCCTCGTTTTGCGACGATACGGTGCGAAAGAAATTCAACAGACATACACATACACTGTGTGTGTACATACACTGTGTGTGAGTGTGTAACAACCATTGTTTTTGTTTTGGATCGAGAGGAAGAGAACGGAAGGCGGGGGGGGAGGATGGGTCGTGAGAGAGAGAGAGGATGATGATGATGAGGGGGAGGAGGATGGGTAAGGCGGGAGGAAGTGAAGGAGGATGGGGAAGGGGGAGGATGGGTGGGGTGGAGGATGATGATGATGAGTAGGGGGGGAGGATGATGATGGGGAAGGGTGATGAGACTGATGGTGATGATGGGGAAGGAGGATGATGGTGGTGATGATGATGGGGAAGGGTGATGATGAGGAGGAGAATGGGGATAGAGGATGATGATGGGGAAGGGGGAGGATGATGGTGATGATGATGATGAAGGGGAGGGTGATGAGGTTGATGAAGGGGGGGGGGGTGATGACGGTGATGATGGTGATGATGGGGGAGGGTGGTGAAGGGGGATGATGATGGTGGTGATGATGATGGTGAAGGGGGAGGGTGATGATGGTGGTGGTGGTGATGATGGTGATGAAGGGGGATGATGGTGATGAAGGGGGGGGGGTGATGATGGTGAAGAGGGTGATGATGATGAAGGGGAGGGGGGTGGTGATGGTGATGAAGGGGGGTGATGATGATGGTGAAGAGGGTGATGATGATAAAGGGTGAGGGTGGTGGTGATGGTGATGATGATGATGAAGGGGAGGGGGTTGGTGATGATGATGGTGAAGGGTGGTGATGATGATGGTGAAGAGGGAGGGTGATGATGATGATGAAGGGGGAGGGTGGTGATGATGGTGATGAAGGTGGAGGGTGATGATGATGATGATGGTGAAGAGGGAGGGTGATGATGATGAAGGGGGAGGGTGGTGATGATGATGGTGATGAAGGTGGAGGGTGATGATGATGATGGTGGTGGTGATGATGGTGATGATGAAGGGTGATGATGGTGGTGATGATGAGGGTGATGATGATGGTGAAGGGTGGTGATGATGGTGATGATTATAGTGGTGGTGATGATGATGAAGGGTGATGATGAGGGTGATGATGATGAAGGGTGGTGATGGTGGTGGTGATGATGATGGTGGTGATGATGATGGTGGTGATGATGATGGTAATGATGAAGGGTGATGATGAGGGTGATGATGATGAAGGGTGATGATGAGGGTCATGATGATGAAGGGTGGTGATGGTGGTGGTGATGATGGTGATGGTGGTGATGATGATGGTGAAGAGTGGTGATGATGGTGAAGGGTGGTGTTGATGGTGATGATGATGAAGGTGATGATGATGATGGTGATGATGATGGTGATGAAGGTGATGATGGTGAAGGGTGGTGATGATGGTGGTGATGATGGGTGATGATGAGGGTGATGAAGGGTGGTGATGATGGTGATGATGGTGAAGGGTGGTGTTGATGGTGATGATGATGATGAAGGTGATGATGATGAGGGTGATGATGATGGTGATGATGATGGTGAAGGGTGGTGATGATGATGGTGGTGGTGTTGATGGTGGTGATGATGAAGGGGGGGAGGGGGGTGTTTACGTAATGGCTGCGAGGTTTAAATGGAGCCGTCGCCCAATGGCTGAGGCTCTCCGGGCCGCCAATGGCTGTGGCTGGAGGCCGCCTCGCTCACAAAGCAACAAAACAACGTCGCCTCCTCCTCTTCCTCTGGAGCGGCTGCCGGTAGACATCCACCCTCCTCCTCCTCCTCCAAGACCCTTCGCACAACGCGGAGACGCCGTGCGTCATTGTTTGTTATCGCAACAAACGATAGAATTTTGTAGTCTTCGTTTCATACACTCCACGTTGGCTACCGTCAGTCAGTCAGTCTCTGTCTGTCTCTCTGTGTGTTTGTGTTTGTTTTAAATCTTAAAACAGAGCAAACCGATCGTCCCTCTTTCACGTTCAACAACAACAACAGCGGTCGGTTGTAAACAAGCGGCTGCCATCATCGTTGTTATTGTTTACATTTTTGTTTAGTTATTTTTCTTGTTGGAGGGGTGGTGTGTGGTGGGGGGGGGCGAGTTTGGTCGTCGTCGTCTTCGTCGTCTTCGTCGTTTGCAACAAAATGTCGACAAAGATCGAGGAGTTGAAGAGGCAGCTGCTGGTGGGGCAGTTCGTGATGGTGGCCGGCTGCTCGGCGGACACGGCGCTCGAGATGTTGGTGACCTCCCACTGGCAGCTCGAGGTGACGACGACGCCTCCTCCTCCTCCTCGTGAACTCTCTCTCTCTCATCTCCTATCACTACCCCCCCAACTACCCACCCACCTACCCCCCCCCCAACTACCCACCTACCCCCCCCAACTACATACCTACCCACCCCCCCAACTACCCACCTACCTACCCCCCCCCCCCCAACTACCCAACTACCCACCCACCTACCCCCCCCAACTACCCACCTACCCCCCCTCAACTACCCACCTACCCACCCACCTACCCACCTACCCACCCACCTACCAACCTACCCAACTACCCACCCAACTACCCACCCACCCACCTATCTACCCAACTACCCACCTACCCACCAACTACCCACCAACTACCCACCTACCCACCCACCTACCCACCCACCTACCTACCCAACTACCCACCTACCCACCAACTACCCACCTACCCACCCACCTACCCACCAACTACCCACCTACCTACCCAACTACCCACCTACCCAACAACTACCCACCAACTACCCACCCACCAACTACCCACCCACCTACCCACCTACCCACCCACCCACCAACTACCCACCCACCAACTACCCACCTACCTACCCAACTACCCACCTACCCACCAACCTGTCCACTCTTCATCTACCGATCCTGCGTGTCTTCCTAACCCGTCTACCAAGTGCCCACCACCCTGTTCTTATCCAAGTATCCACATACCTCTCTTGTTCACTCCTTGCCCCGGCCACCCAAGTACTCGCCTACCCACCTTGTCCCCTTACCCTGGCTACTTCCCCTTTACTGGACGTATGTGAAAAAGAGCTTCATAGCTCATCGGATTACTCCGGGATAAATGTTTTGGTACTCGGTACAGTACTCACCCATTTTTGTATTTACTTCCCCTGCCTACCAAGTCCCCACTAGCTCATGGTCTTTTCTCATCCCTCGATATATCCAGTATCAGTCTATCCACATTCTCCCTGCCACGTACCCCACCATACCCCCGACCCCACAGACCCCCAACCCCACAGACCCCCAACCCCACAGACCCCCAACCCCACAGACCCCCAACCCCACATACCTCCAACCCCACATACCTCCAACCCCACAGACCCCCAACCCCACAGACCCCCAACCCCACAGACCCCCAACCCCACATACCCCCAACCCCACAGACCCCCAACCCCACAGACCCCCAACCCCACAGACCCCCAACCCCACCTACCTAGAACCCCACAGACCCCCTACCCCACATACCCCCAACCCCACCTACCCCCAACCCCACAGACCCCCAACCCCACCATACCCCCAACCCTACATACCCCCAACCCCACAGACACCCAACCCCACCTACCTAGAACCCCACAGACCCCCAACCCCACAGACCCCCAACCCCACAGACCCCCAACCCCACCTACCCCTAACCCCACATACCTCCAACCCCACCTACCCCAACCCCACCTACCCCAACCCCACATACCCCCAAACCCCACATACCCCTGACCCCACATACCCCCTGACCCCACATACCCCCAATCTCACATACCCCTGACCCCACATACCCCCCAACCCCACAGACCCCCAACCCCACATACCCCCCAACCCCACAGACCCCCAACCCCACATACCCCCCAACCCCACAGACCCCCAACCCCACATACCCCCCAACCCCACATACCCCAACCCCACCTACCCCCAACCCCACAGACCCCCAAACCCCACATACCCCTGACCCCACATACCCCCTGACCCCACATACCCCCAATCTCACATACCCCTGACCCCACATACCCCCCAACCCCACAGACCCCCAACCCCACATACCCCCCAACCCCACAGACCCCCAACCCCACATACCCCCCAACCCCACATACCCCCAACCCCACATACCCCCCAACCCCACATACCCCCAACCCCACCTACCCCCAACCCCACCTACCCCCAACCCCACAGACCCCCAAACCCACATTGTTCTCCTGCCTACCCACACACCACACCTTGTCCTCATTTCCTCCTGCATACCCAATGTGCCACCTTCACTCATCTCACCTGCTTACCATGTTCTTACCATGTTCTTACCATGTGCTGCTTGTCTGCACACCTTTTCCCAGTACTTACATAGTTGTCCACCTACCTGGCTTGTATCTACTACCTACTTTACCATACCTACTACCTGCGCAGTCGTCCATCGGCAATGTTGACATTGTTATCGACGAATGATTATTGTTATTATTCACACGTACTTTGGGTGCTTGTGTCGCTCGATTTCAAACGTTTGTGTTGTTGATGCGCCTGCGTGTTGCCCCATTTGTCATGTGTTTACATTTTAAAATAATCAATACTGGTATCTACTCTTTCCTGTTTTGCTCTGGCGGGCTGGCATGCTGTGTGGTATGTGCTGGTATTTTAAATATTGTGTGTCTGCAGGCGTTTCGCTGTGTTGTGTGCACGTATGATGTCATGTGTTTTGTATTGATGTCTGTTGTGTTTATGTTTCCTGTACCCGCATGTGTGTGTGTATACATGTACTGTGTATGATTTGTCATGTACCCGTATTATAGTGTTGTGTAACATGCAATATATGTCGTGTATGATAATTATCGACTTAGATTTAAACGAGATGTGTTTAAAGGCCCACAACTGTGTGGTGCTGGCCACCCACCACCCCCTCGTGTACCATGACCACCTTCATAGGTGCTCGCTAACAACGCTTGCCAAAACAAGGCTGTGTTGGGGCAATCTTTGTCGTGTATACACATGCGCCGAGCAATTGTGTGTGTGTGTGTACCAATGTCGTCTTGGCTATTTGGTTTAATGCGTGTGTCTGGGTCTCAAGTACGCAAGGACTTGATGCAGTATTTTTCGTCTTTCGTGTCCCTGACATTGTAAGTTCGTTGCCGCACTGGTGATTTGCCAACAGTCTGTTTCGCAGTGGTCTTGCATAACACGGTGATTCACTGCAGTGTACACAGACACACACACACAACAGAGGGCAGCCCACTTTCATTTAACACAACCGTGTGAAGCTAGTGAATATTAGAGGCCTGGGGTCGCTTGGTATAATAATTACACCAGCATTGTTCGCTGGAATTACAATGGCATTGTGATTTTCAATTACGAATTTTGCACAATTATCCCAGGACTGAATAAGAAAGCTGTTTATTTTCCATGAGAGTCTCTTGTTTTTTTTTTACTCGATGGCAATGTATGGACAATTCAATGAACCATCAGGATATGGGAGAAAATGGCCCAGTCCAAGGCCCTCACAGATAGATTCAGCAATCCATGACCGATAATCACCGATACGATGAGATCGGGCACATTCAGAGCGATTTGGTTATAGGCAATGCATGAGGGTCAGACAAAGGTAGTGATGATTATCCCTGGTATGCACTGCGCATGTTACTCTACAGCAAATTATGCATTTGTGAGCCATATGCTGCGAGTCATCTGGCTGAGCTATTAGAAAAGGAAATAACTCCAAATTGTCTCGCTTGCTCATGTGAATGTGGGACTGTTGTGCTTGTATTCGGTATTGGTTCTGAGCCGTTGCTGGAAATTCAACATTTCTGTGGCCGGGTCGTATGACAAACCAACTTGTTGGGTCATCAGCTTATTCACCAGACGGTGATTTGTCTCCTGGGTGTTAATTTTACCCTGCCTAAGTGGACGATGATCGTGATGATGAATTACGTGGCCTCGTCCACACTGGCTGGGGATATGTAATAATACTATTAATTCATTTTCAAGGAAAGCCTCGCAAAGTCTCGAGACCTTTTCAGAAGCGATCCCACAATTGGATGTTAGACCAGTTACTCTCGAGGCAATGGTTTGCACGTTGGAGGAAGGCCACGCATACAAAGGGGGAATAGCAATCAAAAGTCCACGCAGATGGGTCAGGAATTTGCCCGGCCACCGTACACACAAAGTTTGGAGTTTCACAGTACAGTGCCATCTTTGTGTGAACCACCAACCCCAATTTCAAAACGTGTCGAGTTCAAAAAAAATACACGTTCCACTTCTTTGTGTCGCTTGGTTTGTTGTGTTGTGCTCTTCAAGTCTGCCAGGTTTTTTTTGTTGTTGTGTGCGGGCGCACAGTCTGGCGTGTGAAGCGTACAAAATGCCGCCTTGTGTTTACATTCTGCGGCTTGGCTTGTTTTGGGGTTGTACTTCGTCACATTAACGCCCTCGTGACGATTTTTTTTGGCTAGAGGGAGGGGAGGCAATTATATACTCGGCACCAACATTGCGTGTGTTCAGTAAAACATAATAAATAATCATCAACGGTCCAGGTTCCAAACCTGCAAATTCTTGCTTGCACCAGTTTTTGGAAGAGCTGACACGAGAGGGAGGCTCTAATAGGCTACCTCTAAAGGGCGTTTGGCCTACTCTTTTGGCCAGATACCTTGGCATACGAAATACGTGAATGAATAGTATAGATAATCTAATAGATACAATTATCAGCCATGGTAAATCCACTGCTGGATGAAGGGTCTTCCAAAGCTATTGCTGTTTCAGTTCTGCGGTCCAGCACTTGGACATGAGCTAAGCAGTCCTCGGTCTTCTCGGATGTGTTTCCAAAGGCGAATTATCCTTTTAAATGTGTTGGTAAATGTCCCTTCGAGTTGACGGGGAAACATTGTTTTTTTATGTAAATTAGGTCATGAATTTGAATGTCTCAGTGGGAGGTGACTTGGGCGTTGTATCCCGCGGCCTGTGATTCAGCTCTTTGGGATGAGAGGGTTGGTCTATCACTCAGATTTGTGAACATCCCAAACCTGCTTTACTGAGAGCTGCAAATATATGGCAGTACAATAAAGTGGGGTTGCTAACCCATATGTATGGGGACCTTTATCACCTAATATGCATAGATTTAATTTGAATACTCCTGCATGTAACACTACAGAAATGTAATAAGTGAAACATTCCAATGTGTAGGACCCTTTAGATAAAAATCTTGAGACTCGGTGACACTTTACTGGCGAAATACATTACAATTATATAACTTGTTTATGAATGCCAACCTATGGACTCTGTACGGTATAATGAAGTGAAAATCGAGAGTTTGATTAACCGGCACAGCTAACATCAGTGACGAGTAAGATCTGAACTGTTTCTGTATGCCCCCCCCACCCCTTCACCAACCGGCATTGACCAGTGTGGTGAAGTATGGCCAAACCCGATGACCGACACAGCACCGGGCACGGGAGGCGTTCATTCAGACATGGATTGACAAGTGGTTGTAAAATATATATTTAAAATAAATCTGTTATGGCAGCAGGAGTGAGTAGGTCATCTGTTGAACTTGTATCAAAACGTTGTGTGGCTTCCTTCCCCTTTCCAGGCAGCTCTGAGCATCTTCTTTCAAGAGGCCACAAGCCACCACCATCACCACGCCATGGTAATTGCAGTACATTACGAAAACCCACAGTCGTGACAGCAGTTTTACTGACCCTGTGTGCCTTGTGGTTTTTTTTATTCATACACAGATCAGGTATGGCTTCCTTTTACTGGCAGAACACTTTTACAAACTCTAACGACTGCTGCTCACCAAGCACTTCCTTCAGGATGCGTGCAAGGGAACAGAGAAGTTACAACCCCAAACATAATCGGTTTCGTGACCTTTCTGATTCGTACAGAGACTGTAAGCCAGAGCGTACATTTTTAATAATATTAGTTTAGTCTCACTAAAATTTACGGACAATTTGCAATTTACGAACAGGGTAAAAATATATTTTTCAGAAACATTTTAACGATAGCTTTGTAAGATCTTGGCAAACTTTGTTGTAGGGTGTTGTGACACCAGTGGGAATACGTAAGACATTGCGACCTACATCACATTTATAATGCTCTCTTATTATTAGCGCGATCAACTGTCACTACTTTGAGATGCCAAGAGTATGGATGGCGGAGATAAAAATATATACTTATTTATTTCACCTTAACTGCATCACCGGAACCTGCTGTGGTCAATCCAAAGGACAGACAGCAGTGTCTTCACAGACACACCTCGACTGGTCAATGGCACACTCTTCCCACCTCGACTGGTCAATGGCACACTCTTCCCACCTCGACTGGTCAATGGCACACTCTTCCCACCTCGACTGGTCAATGGCACACTCTTCCCACCTCGACTGGTCAATGGCACACTCTTCCCTCCTCACGGAGCCTCCAGTTAATGCTTTAATCGTCCCAGTTGATGCTCATTTGGGCCACTGACACGTGTGGTTTCAGCGTTGCGTAAACCTGAGAGGGTACGTTTTCATTGTATTCACGAACTAGCCTTTGCTGGTGAATTCTGCAAATGCGTACGAAGACAGCAACACTTGCGCAGTTATATCACCGAAGTTGCTTGAATGGTTGGCCGGAAAATAACGAACATGTCCTCGCTAAAAATACAGAAACCTTTCGAAAGCGATAAATAACACGGTGTTGAGGGGGTTGCGGAGACTGGCTACGTCGCGCATACCATGAGCGTGTGTCCATAACATGCACTTGAGCAGCCAGGGCTATTTATACATGCGTGAGCCACTCACAGACGCCAAGATTGAAAGACATCACCTTTAGCCCCACACCCACAGTCCAGGCTTTTCCAAACTCGAGTCATCACGCCCCACTACTGTATCCGTGTGTGTGTCGGAGAAGTCGTGTAGTTGTTTTCACGCCGTGCCACGATTCCATCTACCTGGTTTCAATTTCTGAGCATGCACAATAGCAGTGGGCACATGGGATACAAACATTTCCTGCACCTCCTCCAGGTCAACTCGATCTTAAATGAGTACATGATGTGTGAATCTTAGCTTTGGGGACACAAACACCCAACGGGTGTGATACTTTGGCTTTCAACAGATATATTTTGAGCAACTTGGCATAGAACTATCAAAGAGTTATGAAATACCGTCTGGCCAATGAAAACAGAGTTTATTAAAAAGCATCTGATGACTAGCGGTCTTTGAAGTGCATAAATAATCGTGAGTTAAGGGACCAATTAAAAATGTGATTGGAAGTTGACATTTCAGTTGTCCACTAGGGGCAGCAGTGATCAGAGTTGTCCACAATTGGGCAACTATCCATTTTTTTTGCAATAGAAAACTGCGGCCACCATTACTGGTGAAACCTGCCTGCAACAATAATGATCGTATCCTGGCCTTGAGGCTAAATAGGGAGGGGGGCGGCATGCATGCGTATGTGCACCATGACCATTTAGATAATGTTGATGCTATACATTTCCAAATGATAAGCCACATTGTTGAGCTGTCGTTTGTGGCCAGGTCGCTTCTGAAAAATAGGTTAATACCTAAGTGAGCTTTACCTGGTAAAATAAAAAATAGTTCAGTTTTATTTGTAAGTTATTTGTTTACCTTTCCTATACTTTGCATTCCTATCGTGTTTGTGTATTATTATTTGTTGTAAAATTCTGACACGCCCCTACTTGACATCTGTGAAAGAGAACTTAATAGCTCATCGGATTCCTCCATTATAAAAACATATTCTCATTCCGGGGTCATCCGAGTCATCTCAGTAAGTTAACCCACAACATCTGGGTCTGTCCCATGACCTCCTGCCAGCGAGCCTTCCGATACTTCACATGATCTCCCGCTGTACCTAACCTGGCAAAAGTACCGTGGTGACGTTGCCGCCACTTAGTGGCGCATGGCAGCTGTCGTTTTCATTCACCATGACCGATTGAAAAATACTCGCGCGTGTGTCTTTGTTTGCCCGTGCAGGTGTGCGCGCCGTCAAACACGCCGGCGACACCGCCCAACTTCCCGGAGGCTCTCACGATGTTCTCGCGCCTCCAGGCGTCGGACAGCGGCGGCGCTGAGGTCGCGTCGCCCACCCCGGGAGGAGCCCAGCACTGGGCGGCATCTCCGACGACGTCGCAGGTGCCCGTGGTGGCAGCCCCACCGCGGCAGACGTGGCCGCCCGTGTCCTCGAGCCACCACGCGGCCGTGCCGTTTTGCGCCGGACGGGGAGGGCAGCAGATGACTTAACGGCCGGGGGGGGGGGAGAGCGACAACAAAAACTGACACTTCTTGATTGTGGTGATGAAGCGACAGGACAGCCGGGGGCGGGCGGGGGGCTTGGTAAATGACGTTTCCCCGAAGGCTACAAAAAAAATGCTAAACTTAATGATGATTACAGCTATTGACTTACAAGGGTAGAGAAGTTAAAGTAACAATCGTCTTTCTGAAAAAGACATCTTTAGTTTTGCAGACTGTGATCCACTTTGGTGGTGAGTCATTGTATTTGTCTACCCTAGGAGGCTGTTACTATAGCCACCACCCTTTGTCATTGTTAATACAAAAACAAAAGGGAGATTGCTAAACAAGTCTTGTACACGTGGACCCCGCTGCTCACATTGCCACATGCAAGAGTATAGAAATACGATGCTATCGTCTCAGGGTGCCATCCTGTCGCTGTGATGACATCATCCTGTCGGTGTGATGACATTGTCATGCCTCCACATGTCTTCCAAGCTTCATGGCTACACCTCGATACGATTGACTCGTAGTAAAAACAGTGAGCAGTTGGCAAATGTCTACAATAAACACCAACAAGGATTGTCGGCAATGGAGAACGCTGGTGCCATCAACCACACCTAATGAGTGGGAGACACGGCGATTTCGAAGAGGAGCAGCAGTCGTTAGCAAAAGCAGAAGCCAACTATTTTTCTTGTACGAATAATGGAAACATGCGGCAGTGCCACGGGTGATAAATCGTAGCACAGATAAGCCCATTGTTAGATTTCGTACACAGCGTTCTCTTTTTGGGTTGAAGGTGTTCTGGAAGCATTGGAAAGGAGGACTGGCATGAACGCAACACCAATCAACAGTTGGTGTATGACAGAAATCGATGGCGGACTACTGCATGTGACCCATGGACCCAGCGGCCTCCGTAAAGGCCGAAACAGAAAGATTTGTTTCGGGATGTGCGTTTTCGGACGCATGTGATTGGGCTTGTGTTTTTTTTTTATAGTAATGAATATTGTTTTTTTAAACGAGGAATGAATTATGGGTATCCGTTTTGAGGCAGCTATTATACAATGAAAAGCATTCGTAGCAAATGCTGTTCCTCATGGCCATACCTGTGCACTGTTTCGCATATACATGCTTAATGAATAATTGGAACACACAGGGGAGGACATGCCTGTGGTCAACAATTACAGGTTTGGGATGGAGCTATGAATACATTTTGTATTATGGATGCGGGGTGATGGTTTACTGGGTTAGAATAGTAGCTGTTTAAGAGTTGGGGTTCGTGTTAAAGATATTAAGTGTTTGGGGTGGAGGGTTAGTGTTACAGGCAGGGTAGGGTTATAGTTGGTATTAATTATTTGTGTTAGTGTTTGTTTTGTGCAACAGCAGTCCAGATTGGAATCAAGCACCGGAATTAAATTATTGCAGGTTCGTGTTGGATTAAAACCCACACTTGCCAGACTCAACACCTGTGTATATATATATATACCAGTAGTCTATCACTGTATGGAGGCAATACATTTCTGTTGTTAATATTGTTTTTAGTACCGAGACATTTCTCTACGAACTGTTTTGTAAAAATTGCGTGAGGATGCATTTTTTGAATGACTTCAACCTTTTTGGTGTGGAAATTGAAGCGTCAGCATCGACTGGTAATACATGCATGCATGTGTTGAGATTGTTTCGTGTTTTTCTTGGCTGATGTCCTTTATTTAAGCGACGGAGAAAACATTGCGATTTCTCTTACATGGGGACATATAGTTAATCCGTGGGTCGGAGCAGAACTGAAGGTTGCAAAACTAGGATGGTACTAATTTTTGTTGATGGCCTATGCGAGTGAATTGACAGTTGGTAGCACAATCGGTAGTACTGACTCATATCTATTACGAACCAATAGAATGTCTTAAATTTGAATGTCTACTTTTTGTGAGTAAATTCAATAATTGTGGTTTACAACTGTGATACTCGTATGCATTGGCATACCCTTGAAGGCGATGTTGGTGTCTTCTATGGTAACTCTGCAATAGTGCAAAGAAACTGGAAGTAAAATAAAATTTGTATATTAAAAAAACACCCTAAACATTCGAATGAAAATTGTATAAAATATTGAATTGCAAAATTATTGTATAGAAATTATTTAAGACTTTTTTTAATGAATAGGGTAATGTAATGTATGCCATTTAAAATTTGGCTCAAATTAAAAAAAAAAACGTAAATAAAACCAAGTTTGTTTTATTTTGATGAAAACTAAAAATGCATACGCAAGTGCTTTGAAATTAAAATCAGTCCGAGCTACAGCACAAACATGTGCAAGATGCTTTTATTTACAAGACATATTTACAGCAAGATCAGTGCAATCGCTGCTCGTTTAAGATTGTAAAAAGCTGGTACAATACAATCAAGACCACGTGCACAATTCTCTCCGATTGTTCTACACTTTACAAAAGGCAAATCAAGTTTGAGAATTCCTCTTTAAACTACTCCCTAATCTAAAGGAGTTCTGCGAACAAGATGAGAGTAATGAACCATCTGTTCAATTTGGCAGGTTTCAATGCACTTAAAAGATGTTTTTCAAAGCCCAGTCCTCACATTCTGAGGTACCACGCACGGCAATCGTCGCCATCCGTGTGCATACTAACGGCCTGATTAAATTATATTATTCTTGTCCAATTACTGGAAAACATGCCAATATATCCAACACATAACGGCTGCGAAAATCACAAGGGATGCGTTTCCGCTGTTTCATAACGGTGTGAATCTGGTCACAAGTTCTTACACTCGGCACGCTGTGCTTGTTAGTTGGTAAACACAAATACGTGCATGTGTGGCACGTGGGTGTTTGCGATACCCCACGCCACATTAAGTGTACACCGCTGGATGTGCGTAATTAGAAGTTGTGCCATGCGATAAAAACATTGCAACGGACGTTACAAGTCATCTCTGCTTCCTCCCCGCCACCTTCCTCTCGATGAGGCAAGTCTTGGGGCGGAGAGCTGTGAGGATACACAACACACACCCCTCCAGTTAGCTGTTAATGCATCACTTGAAAAGTCTAAACGCTTACACGCCACAGCTTATCTGCTAAGCCTGTGTGTGCAATTCTGACAAGGACAATGGCTTGACCTCTATTTAACAGCCTAATGAAAATCTATGCATCACGAATATTATTTTGATGTTAAGAGTGACTTGGCAAGTATCAGGGTCTATCTAGCCAGGTCTTTTGTCAGAAAGCCACGTTGCCAAAACACTCACCCTGATCAACCGACGACGTCTTCTTGCTGCTCTGCAGGATGCGGTTGTCGTTGAGGAGACTTACCTCCTGCTCTTCCGCACGGTTCCTGGGTGGGGTCCCAAAACCACCAATTACTCCGAGACTCACACACAACCACAGTTGCCAGCTAAGCTACCACACCTCAACTGCATGACTAATACTGACCTTGTGGTTTTTATATTCGCAAATATTTTTTGTTCAAATTGTACTATCTTTGTTATGTCATACGATGAAACATTTTTAATTCACGACCCTTGCAGAGCAATGCATCGCACGGTGGTTGAGATTGTCCCAAGGAAGGTGATGTTACAGAACTACCTCTGAGGCTCCAACATTTAAGAGTGAGCAACTGGTGTTCTGGGAGAATCTTGGGAGATGGAAAGGTTGATAATCCAAGGAGTGAATTGGAGCCGTGAATACTGGAGTGCAGATCTGTAGAGGAGAGGCGAGCGTCATACCGCAGCACGGTGTGTCGCTCCCGCCGCAGGACGTCTGCGCTGTCCGTGAAGAGGATGGTGTGGTACGGCGTGGGGCCGGTGCAGGTGGGCAGAATCCCACGCGCCGCCTGGCTCACGGCGTCCAGCACGCCGTTGTACACGAGCAGGTCATCCACGAGCAGCTGCAGCAAGGACAATTGCAATATGGACCATCACCACACATCATAATGTCTCATAACCATATTGGCAGTCATTGATAACCAGGCTGAGACCGTAAACTCTTAAACTAATATTTGTATTTCACCAGGTAGAGCTCTATGTAGCTCTTTTTCAGAAGCGACCTGGCCACAAATGATAGCTCAATTAAGTGGCTTATCACATGGAAGTTATAGCAGCCATATACTCTATATACATGTTTCTAAATGTGGCAGGGGAAAACTGGAGGGCCCCGAGAAAAATCCACAAGACCACAGGGAGAACATGCAAACTTCAAATTTACAAACATCAGGGTCGGGATCGAATCCACGACCTCTTGCATACCAGGCAAGGGAGTTAACTATTTCGCCATCATCACGACCTCACTATATTTGAAAACCCAGTTTTATTACGGGCAGCTGAAACCTGAATTTAAAGCCAGGTTCTCGGCAGTGACGGCTCGGTGCTACAACGTCGCGTTCGGCAGGGGTGCGTTCTTACCCCAAACTCCTTTACGCCCCTCTGTGGCGTCTTGCTGTAGTTCCACAACTTAATCATTGAGACGGTCGTAGGGCAGTCGAACATCACGTACACACGGTTGACCTGCCGCACAAGTAACACATTCAGGAACATTGAAAAAAAGTCAATTACTGAAAATACACAGTCATTATCGGCACCAAAGAAATGGACAGCTTAGACATTTGTCATTTAAAACCCCAACAACTTTAATATTCATGTCAGTTGCTGGCTGCTTGAAATTTTGGGCCTTTGGGCCTGTGCTCAGAAACTATTTAAAACATTAAAACTTCCATTTTAACTGACCACCGTTTGCTGATACGTTTTGGAGAAACTAAAACCAATTCAGCATTTGCCTAATTGAAATTCTGATTTAAAATGTTGGCTCAGCATAAGGCCCATTTACCAAAAATACAAAACTACATTTTAGTTCATTAATGAAAAAGATAATGAATGTTTAGTTTAATTGTAATAGTATATTTACTTGTAAAGCTTCACCAAATCTCAAGTATTGGATTGAAGAGGATAGGGTTTGGAATGTTTCGTACAAATTTCCTTTCCAGCATTTTTACATGTGGGACGATTTTCCTGGAAAAAAAAACACCCATGGCAGTCTAATGCCTGGATGAGGGGGAAGAGATGCAATGCTCAAGTGTGAGATTTTACAATTAAGACCGTGACAGGCACACAATTTGTTGTAATTGTTTTTTGTTGTTTTGAAACAGCAGTCCCTTTACTATATTTTCCTTAACCCAAGTCCAATGAAAAAGTGATGTTCATTCTAAATATGCCCTTTCCAGGTTATAAATAAGGACTTTATCCCACAAAGCCTCACCGAGTTCCAAAACTCATTGTCAGAATCCTGAATTTCGATATTGGGCCAAACCGTTTTAAGAAGGTAGTTTTCACATCTAAGGAAACCAAAGCACCTAAAGAAAACTCACAGGTGGATTAAAAACTTTACAAACATGACCTTTCACCCACTTGCTGTCCTGCCATCTCCTTACCACCTCCATAGGGTATAAGGGTGGAATTCTCAAAAGACACTCATATCTGCTCAATCCACTCATCTCAACTCTACAGCAATGCATTACAGGTGTGCATTACAGGTGTGCATTACAAGTGTGCACCACCACACCTAGCTGGAAAAAAAACGTTGCTGTTCTTTGCATCACTCAATTTAATCTTGACAAATTTTCATTCAGAGCCATTTTTGTATCACGTGTGGGAGCCGTGGGAGTTGAAATGTTAACTACCTCTCCTGGTATACAGGAGGTTGTGGGTTCGATCCCATCCCTGGCACCTGTATATTCGGAGTTTGCATGTTCTCCCCGTGGTTGCGTGAATTTTTCTCCGGATCCTCCGGTTTTCCCCTTCATATTTGGAAACGTGCTTTTTATAGAGTATTCTGGCTTCTATAAATTTCCACATTATTTGTGGCCAGGTCGTTTTTGAAAAAAAAGAGGTAAATTTCCACATTATTTGTGGCCAGGTCGTTTTTGAAAAAGAGGTATGTAGCTGAGTGGGCCTTATGTGGTAAAATGAAAAGTTTAGTTTCGTTCGTTTAGAGAGGGGAAGAGCGTGGGGGAGCATGGCGTGCGTGCGTGCGGCGTTGCCCGTGTTACCAGGCCGGGAAGCACAGGAGCTAGCCACGCTTGCCGGCCATCGCCGCCATCCGTCACGCCGTCCAGCAGCTTGTCTGGCGTGCGCACATCCCCACTCACTCTGTCCAACACGTTCACGCTGTCGGGATACGCCGCGATGTCTTGTCGCGTACGTGAGTCAAGGGGCCGAGCGCTTCAATGCAGCGTTCTATGTGACGAAGTTTAGGCAGCAGAGCACAGAACACGTAGCACACACGACACGTAGCACAGCATACAGTACACACAGAACAATAACAGCATTCAGCACGCAGTACACAGCACAGAACACACATCACTGAGCACAGTCCAGTACACAATGCAGCACAGAGGACAGGACACAGCACACAACATACAGCACAGAGGGTGCACCACAGAGCACACAATACACAGCACACAGGACGGTGCACACAATATACAAGGCGGTGTGCTCAGGAGCACGTCGCACAGACAGACCCGGGCACGCGTGTCGTGTATTGGTCGGCTTGTGAACGGATACTCTTGGGTGTCAGGGCGATCGGGTCGCCCTCCTCATTGTAGAATTGGAGGCTGTTGAGGCCGATGTAGTAGGGGTCGCCCCAGCTTGACAGCAGCTGGAACTGAAAGAGAACTG